TTTTGTTTTGATAAAGACAAAATAATATTATTTACAAAATACCATGCAATGACTGTGAGGTCAACTACATAGGTCAAACTGGTAGGTCAGAGGTAGTCAGATTGTCAGAGCATAAGAATTTAGCTAAGGTAAGAATGGTTGACCCCGAGAAGATAAGTAATTTAGAAAAAAGCTCAGCAATTGCAATGCATGCGCTAACACACAACCACACAATAGGGTGGGAGAGGGTTAAAATTCTAAAAAGTAATCTAGGTAGGTGGAGAGAGAGGTTGATTACTGAATCCTTGTTCATCGAGTCTACACCCAACACATGCAATAGGAATGACTCGTCACTCATACCTGAAATATGGAAAATACTATTACTAATCAAATCAAGTGAAAATCAAGAGAAAAACAATGGAACTATATAAATGAATTTAGGAAGTCATGTGATTACCTTGATATGATTATGAGCAATAAATTGTGCTTGAAACGTCATCAGTAAACATTACTGTATAACACTGTGAGACTATCAAAACAAAATTTACCCATAATGGAATTACACTCTACCACAGTGCACAAGTTTTATTCTTATATCAAGGGAGCACCTAGTTTATAATATCCATTGTCTGCAACACTTAGTGGAAGATGTCAATGAAATGGGACCTTTAGAATCTTTTTTGGCGTTCCCATTTGAATTTTAAATGCAGACAATCAGGCGTTCTGTACATTCTAACAATGCGATTGCTAAGCAGGCGGCACAAAGATTTGCAGAAAAGGTTTTTGACGACTGCAAATCAGGAGCACTATACAATAACTCTATAAATCAATGTGAAGTAAATGTAGACAGGCAAATAATTAACACCAGGCGTACAGTTATGACTTTCTCTTCACCAGATAAATTCGTCATAGCCTACGGTAGACCGGGTCTCATAACGCAGATACACAAGGAAGGACTAACATTCAGACCTCATATAGATGCTTGTGATTTCTTCGACCAGCCATTTAAGTCATCCCACATTGGGATATGGAAATGCTCCAGAGTTAGCCCATACCAGTTAGAAATTCTTCCGTCAGATATTACTTGTAAGTGCTTTCGCATTCGTACATATAGGTATGAAGTAGCGGTGCCATTTCCTCATACTTTTCCATAAACTTCTTAGATTGATTGCGTCAACCGTCGGCATTCATGCATTCAATGGCAAGCGGACTAGTGAGAAAGTAAATTTTGTTTATGTCATATTTCTTATTTCTTACAGAAGGAAAGGAAGACTTACGCTGTGTTGCGGAAAGCTGGTTCAAAAGAATTATTCATAGCCGCCGAAAATTGGATGCCGTCGAATGACATGTGTTTGTATTACAGCAGTGTAACAGATTCTGAAGTGGAAGCATGTATAAAACCTAGACCGGAATGGCTGTTAACTGACTGTCAAATGTTGGCTGAGCTAGGTAACTGTTTCGGCATTAACTACTTTCCCGTATTAGACCCTTTCCTAGAAGCCAAGAGTACTTTTTTGACTGCCAAACGAATACACAATATCCTGTCCAATTCAGATAATCTCGAGGAGACATTACCCCTAACTAATTCCAAACGGTTTATAGCAGAATACAGAGTGGAGACAAAGAACTTCGCCTCGTACGTTTATGACTCAGCTGAACATGAAGCAGTGGAGTCTCGGAAAGTGTGTTTGCCATCGAAATACCCAAACACCAATTTCATGGAAACTGTGATGGCACCGACAACCAGGTAGCGTATTCATTCAATATTCTTACTCCTTCATCACTTCCAGTCCACGAATGCCAGTGGCGACGTCTTCACCTACTCCACAGCCAGTTCAGCAGACTACGTATGTTATTTTTAATCAGTGGTTACTTTGCAGTAAGGAAAACACCGATCCCGATAATAAAGTTGTCAATGTGTTACAGTGCCTTAGAGGAGGAGTGCAGTCCGTTAATCAACTGGTGGCGCAGTTGGTCTCAGTAAATGAGTCAACCGACGTGACCATCTTGGGAACCGTCCATTGACAATAGTCAACTGGAATTCCCCATGGCGACTGAAGAAGAGTTTAGCCGACTGGAAGCGCCACTGAGAAACCCAAAATTCAAAGATTCATTCGTAAGTTTACAATTGACCTTCCATTACGTTCGGATGACGAAACTGGCTAAGAATTTATCTTTTAATCCGCAGCCTTCGTTGAGACGAATGCTCATTATGTTATGGAGCCTAAGCTGTCAAGTCGTTTCACAGCATTCGGAACGCCAAAGAGGTTAGCCATCACAAAATGCTACTTCTATAAATTATAACGTGTGAGCTTGCTCTATTTAAATATTTCTTTCAGTCGTCATTGTCAGCAAGTTCACTTCTCCTACAATTCCCGAGGATGGAGTTTTGAAATATTTGACAGAGGCTGTAAAAAGCTACTTCCACAATGTACGTGACCGTGTAGCAAAAAGTGGGGCCGGCGAAGAGTAAGTGAACAGTTTTTGTTAAATTAATGTTACTATACTAGAAACCGTTTCAGGGTATAAATATATTTACAGGTTGCTGTTGACAATAAGGAGAGTGACCAGAGGATCTCTGCTGAGGGTGACAATTTGACTAAGTTAATGCTGTAAAAATGTATAATACGACCGCGTGTTATACTAAACGTTATCATAACGACTGCTGCTAATTATATCAACTAGGTGTTTAGGTAGACAGTTGGTTCAACAGTACATATTTTGTCTATAATGACTAAATTCTTCTTGTGTGTTAACTGGAAAATTGAACGTTAAAAAATACTGGCAATTAAGGTCTTTAAGTGTGAGTATTTCTATTTTGTGGACAAATGATTTGATTTATGCTCAATAATTAAGTAAATTTTTAAAGCTGAATAAACACTTTTAGTGTATCATTATTATAATGTCAATTGTCTGTATAAGTGTCACGGTGAATTACTACCTTACTAATTTTTCTTCCTTTCCAGGATAGTTCAATAGATCTACTTGATGATGGAGGCAACAGTAAAACTGCATTCAGATTTCATATTACAAGACAATCATTCCACTTGTGTGCATCATTCGCAACTGTAACTGTTCATTAATCGTAAACAATTAATTTGCCGAAGTGTTGTCAACTGTTTTCCTTTAACCAATAAACAGATCAAATATATTTATTTCCGTAACGAACCTTTATTTGAGTTTTGAGTTGTTTGACGTAAACAAAATAAGACAAAAATAAGCGAGTAAAAGGGGAAAATTCCGCGGATTAAGGGGACAATATGCGATAAAAAAAGGGGGAAATTCTGTTAATTATGGGGACAACATGCGAGTAAAATGGGGAAATTCCGCTGATTTTGGGGAAAACTTGACTTAAAATGGGGGAAAAATATGCCTAAAAAGGGGACAATGTGCGGCATCTGGGAAAATGGGGAAAATCTTACTATCGCCCCATTTTGTCCCCATTTTCACTCCGTGGAATGTCCCCATTTTGTCTAACATTTTAACACGATTTTCCCAGTTTTTGTCGAATTGGGTTAGGACTGAATTACTTTTCATTCTTCAGTACATAGCCCTGAGCATGCTGGCCAATGTCAGGCGTGCAACTGCAACACTGCTGTCTTTAATTTCTAGCCAAACCTGTTTTATCATGTAAGTTTTCTTGGTATTTTTTGTAGTTTAGTGTATGAAATAACGATCCACGAAAATATATATGAGTCGTCGGAACTGCTCTGTGAATCCTCAGATTTTCTTAGGACTTCTTTAGGCAAGCCGCACGAACGAGGGTGATCCTAGGTTGCCTCTTGCTGCATTGTGAAAATTGACTTCATATCATTTTAAATTGCAAAATGACTGTTTGGACATCTACGATAAGAAAAGAAGTCACTGTTATTTTCCCTATACTTTAAAATATTCATGAAGATCTTTGTCTCTGAATCTACACTGTATTTCATAGCTAGATTAAGTAAGGCATGATAATGGAATATCGTATCGTCCAGAACTACCACATGCCCTATTGATCCCTATGGTTCTCTACTTGAAACAACACAGCTTGGAATACTCGATGTTATCAGAAAATGAAATAGGAACACAGAAGAAACATAGAAGAAATTTCTTTGTGGAATTCACTATGGAAAGGATAAGAAACCGTAGTTTACCGAATAACTGCTAAAATAAAAGAACTGTCTTGTGTTTGAACGTGGTCTCTGCATTAGGGACTTCAGAACTACGGACATCACAGCTTTTAAATGTAATGAATCGAATAAGCCTGTACTCTCAGCATATTCTTTTTCGTGCCGTTTATTTGCAACTTTGAACCATATTCCATGGATCGATGTCACTTCTGTCATTTCCTTTAGTTTTGTGTTGGCTCGTTCTATTTCCACTGTCAGTTCCATTTCCCTTATAAATAGTTAAGTGGCACAGCAACTATTTATTTTATTTTTATTTTTGATTACAGCTTGATTCCACACTGCATTTTTAGTACAAGTATGGAATTTTTAGCATGGATATCGGTAGCTCAAATTTTGCAGGCCGACCATGAATATGATGTGTGAGTCGGCAGGGGATCGAACCTCGGACCATGTGCATGGTCGGCGAGAGTCCAAACCACTGTGCCACTACCGAAGCTAACATTACGTCTTCGGAAACCCTTGTTGTGTTTTTTGACCTTTAGTAGGACGGGGACCAAGTTCATCATATTAAAGTTCCTCAGAGATATAAAAGCTTTCCCCGCTGGAAAGAAGCCGGGGTTGACATGTCTGAAAAGAATATCTTAAATTTAAGCTTCACTCGTTGTACTGTATCACAACGTAGAGTAACACTGTGTGACTCGGTATTTTAAAATAAAATTCGGTACAAATAAGAAGACGAAAAGGAGTCATCTGGTTTGCTGTAGATAGTGATAATTATATTCGACATTGGAATGTTAGGCGCCTACATCGTCACTTGCGCTACTGCACTGTGATGATGTATTTGTATTAGTGAATATTCTACATATGTTTCGATCTTAGGACTTTAGTTGATCTGTCGCTCTTGCAGACATGAATGTTTGCCGAAAGAAAGGTCGTTTATCCTACTTCATACGGTCGGAAGTTGAGGCGAAAAACCGTTCGGGCGTCAATGCCTTACAATATGACCAGTGTACAGAAAGACTTTTTACTGCTGGACGCGATTCTCTTATCAGAGTTTGGAACACCAAAAAGCCTGCAGTATGTTTCAGATTCTTCGCGATTTAATTTGATTTGGTGATTCTAGGACCCTCTGGTTCATGCCATGGAGCACCACGCCGATTGGGTGACAGATATTGTACTCTGTTGTGGGGGTAAAAATTGTACGTTATTTTTGTCTGTGTATTTTTAGGTTTATTGTTTAGTTTTACGTTAGATAAATTCAATGAAATTTTACATACGTTTCAGTATGATTTCCTTTACATTGAAATGATGTAGATTTACCGCTAATGCATGTATTTAATATTTGATGCATATAAATTAAGGAGTTAAGAAATCCCATCGATTTATATCACATGTGTTTTCTTCATTGTTGGTGCTGTGACGAAATAATTCCTTATTTCACACCCATTTGTATTAATACTTATCATTTTTTAACATACAGCATCAGTTTCAGTTGTTTCAACAATTTTAAGTGCGGTAGTTCATATTTGTGTCCGTATATGTTATAACGTAGATGAGAGATTTATCTTATACCGAATACCATATATTTTCTTACAACTTTTGAGAAGATGAGGTAATGGACAAATTTGTCCACCAGCGTACATTGATGAGCCTTACACTATTTTATTCCGGTCAAAGAGAGAGGTCAAAGATAGCACTCTTTAAAATTGTAATCGTATTCTGAATCAGATTTCCCAGTAAGAGGCTAGTTCTTTAATGTTTGTTCCGAAATATATTGCTTAGTAGTATTTGAGTATTATTTGAGTTCATGTAATCGTGCCACTTTTTAGTAATTTCTAAACAAATTTTATGACTGTTAGACTTATTGATCCAGAACAAAAGCGTGTTAGTCCAAGTTGCTACACTTCGAAAAAGTATATGAAAATGGAAAATTTTACTTAACTTCAACGGATGGAGAATTAACAGTAAGAGAATGGTTAGGTGGTTTAATGAGAACTTGCATAATAACAGGGAGTGCATACATCAGCAGCATTGTAAATTATTCATAGTTAGATCTTCAGTTGTCTCTAATCAATTCATTTTGATACTGACTACACCACCAAGTCTACACCTTTCGACGTGGTGCGAGGTGACAACCAGAGACTACATCGGTCGGTTTCATGTCTTGTTCTGATTACTCAAAACTCTTTTCCAACTATATCCTATTTCAGCCAACATTGCTGGTTAATGAAGTCAGTGGCTATGCCTGCAGCATATGTATCCTTGTCATTTTAGTCGATTGAGCTGCATAACGCTGTAGATTGTTTTTCACTTTCTCAGTAACTTCGCTTAACTCCGCTTAGTGACCTATTAACTGGTGATGAAACCATGATTTGGTTTGACCACCACTGGCTCTTTTCCAACCTGATCCTACGTCATTAACATCGCCTATCAAGGAAGGCGATGACTAGGCATACGTAACACATGTCCTAACCATCTCAGTCGATGTAACTTCGCAGCCTCGTCGATTAACTTTCTGTTTTTACCTAGCACTCGTACAAAGCCTAACCTCAATATCGCCCACCTTATTATACCACTTAGCAAGGGAGATATAACGCAGACAGCTAGCCAGACTTTTCATGTCTTCTACTTTCAATGACCATGTCTCACAGCCATAAAGCAGGACGGGCTGCTGAGCAGTACACATATCCTTTGGTCGATAGCCGGACATCAGGTCTGCTAAGCAGAACTGGCGTAACTTGGCGTATGCCAAACGAGCTTTCTATATGTGTGTTGTGATTTTCCCAGAGATCAGCCCGTTGGTGCTGGCTAATGAAACTTCCCAAATCAGTGAAGTGGTCAACGAGCCCCACCAACGCTTCACTCCCTGTCTTTAGGCTAGGAGTCAATATAATCCAGTCATTTAGTATCTCATATTTGAAAGGAGCAGATTGCATGCCAAATATTCGAAGATTGCTGCTCAAGGCGTTGAGAAGACTGTGCTGTAATTTGTCACCGTCTTTGCCTAGAAAGGTTCTATCATCAGCATATTCTAAGTCAACGACATTATTCCCTGGTAACAAGTCAATCCCTGAGTCGCTGAAGTCAGTTACGGTTAAGTCCATTAGTAAATCTGTGCTGAAATTAAAGAGAAATGGGGACAGTGGGAATCTCTGACGGACACCACTAGCTGTCACCACTTCAGATGACAATTTTTTACTGGTGACTCACTATAACGTATGTGCACACCTCATTAACGCATCCGCTAATTTGTACCTGTTATCAGCCTTTTTTGCGCTGACTTCGCACTTGGTTTTTTTACCCTGATGTTACGTAAACGGAAGGTGTGAGTCTTAATTTTGTCTGCGTTTAAAAGATTAGTTGTCACCATTGCTAGTGTCAGAAACGATACCACTAGTTTGAGGTGTATGGGAAGTGTCTACCATGCCGTCATTGTGTCCCTTGACTTATGTAATTTATTCCTTCTTGCTATATACTGGTTCGATTTTCCGGTAAGTAATTCAAGTTTTCCGAGGTGGAAAATCAATGTAGTCAAGTAATTTAAGCAATACTCTTGAAATTACTTTGCCTTTTAATGTTGTTCAATATAATTGACCGAAAATCTTAACTACTAACACTATTATCATTATTTTACAGTTTTTTTTGATGTTTATGATCTTACTGTCAACACTAATACCAAATAAGAACTGCCATTAACAATCCTATAACATTGTATTTACAACTGTTTTTAATGTTGTTCGATATAATAAGATGCAATACTGTGCCAAATTCTGAAAATCACACACTGTGTATCATTAGTACTGTTTTGGAATAAAGCAAATTATTATTTCTAGTGATGTTCATGTGGTTGAAAATGAGCGGATTTCACAGAATAAATACTGAATTTCTCCTTAAATTTTATTTTCGTGACTACCTAAGACATGGTATTAATTTTCTTTCTTTGTGTAACTGAAAAGCGGAAATCATTTCAAATAATTTTTGCTCTGTCTAGTTTCCAAAATCTCTCTAGTTTAACAAGGAAAATATTTACCAGCCAAATTCTCTTTACTATTATCACTGATAATATTCTTAATTGTGGTGGGCTGGATTATGCGAGGAAACAGGTATATGCTTGACCACCAATAAAAAGACTCTAGAAGATCTGGATTTCGCAAATGATGTATGTCTAATGTCACAAATTCGAAGACTTACAGGCGAAAACCCACAAACTGGCTGCAGAAGCAGGCAGCGAAGACAGGACTGCAGGCGAACATAGGGAAGACGGAGGTGATGAAGGTACCAACGAACAGCCACAACAACAACAACCAGTCACCATTAACGGGAGAGATTTAACAGAGGTCACCTCCTTCACCTATCTAGGAAGCATCGTTTCAACTACAGGGGATGGATGAGCCAACGTAAATCAGAAAGGGGAGATACGCCTTCATCAACCTGGAACCAGTTTGGAAATCTTCTGCACTCAGCCAGCATAAGGAACAAGATTCGGATTTTCAACACAAATGTCAAGTCGGTCCTTCATTACGGGTCGGAAGCTTGCATTGCGTGTCACGGAAATGATTTCCAACAACCAACTGAAGACTTTTATCCATAGCCGTCCCCTTCGCTGGCCCCATACTAAAGGTGAAGTAGCCTGCTATAAAGAATTAGCAGCAAGAAACTCTGCTGAGCAAACCAACCAAGAGCTGATTGCTCAACAAATATGTAGGAGAAAATGGAGATGGATTTATCCGGCATACACTGAGGAGGCCGTCGAATGACATCGCGCACCAGGCCAGTGCTCGAGTGGAATCCCAGTGGGAAGAGATGAGTGGGTTTCAGTGCGGGGGTGACGTGAAGGAGATCGTGTGTTGGGGGAGGAGAGAGGGATGAGAGATTATGGTCAGTTGCAGATCCAGCTGAAGAGGATAGCAGAAAATAGAAAAAAGTGGAGATGTGTCGTTGTAACCGTATGTTTCACTTGGAATTCAAAGGAATAAATAATAATAGTAGATTTCATACTTGATTTTGTTTGGATTAACAATTTGATATTATTCAGTAACTGGTCAATGAATATCATTCAGTCTCACAATTCGCCAGCTATAATTCAAGGCGTTGGGCTGTAAAATATTGCATCACCAGAATGTCGATTCAAGCAGATTTTAATTCCTAAGGCAACATCGTCTTACTGGATTTTGCAGGCATACGTGTATGCGTAGTACGAATAAGTACAATGCTTGGATGTGACTGGTCTGGGCAATGGCTGCACCTGACTTGCCATGGCACTTACTTATTGTTAAGATAAAGTAGTTTTAAACAAGTAGTAGGGGATTTCTGTAAAGAAACTATTGGTATTGTAAATATGTTGAATCACATATATGTTCTTTTCATTTTTAGTGATATCCGCATCGAATGATACAACTGTTAAGGTGTGGAATGCAACAAAAGGATTCTGTATGTCCACGCTAGGAACACACAAAGACTATGTACGGGTGCTTGCCTACGCTCAACATCGTGAAGAGGTTGCCAGCGCTGGTTTAGATGGTGCTATATATTTATGGGATATTAGAACACTGACCGCATTAACACCAACTAACAACACTGTTGAAAGTAAGCAGGATTTTATTTGTTGTTAATATTGTTATTATTATATTATCTAATCGTTATGTGACAGTAGTTATTTTCCCCTTTACTCCTAATAGTATGCACATTCTACCTATACATTCACCATTACCTAGATTAATATAAACACTTGAATGAATTTATCCTTATTATTATTATTATTATTATTATTATTATGACTACCTCCACTGTCATCCGTTAACTGACATCCCTGAACTCTGATCCTATATTTTATTAACCACATTATTTCAAATGCTTATGACTATTATTTTATCATGTAAATGTAAAGCGTGATGAGAATATACCGAAAATACGTGTTTGATTGCTTAAATCGTGTGTTCTTTAATTATCATTATGAGAATGTTTGAATTATTATGTACTCATCACTAAATTCTCATTGTGTAAAATCGGAAGTTCATATTAGCCTGGATTTTTTTATGATGCGTCACTTTTACCGCTGATTAAACTCTTAAACTCTTTAAAATGAATAAAATAAACACCTTTACATGACAACCAGGCCCTGCGCAGGCAGTGACTTGGGGTTCTTATGGGAAGCTGTGACCAGTAGGGTGCAGCAAATGAAGGTGAGGCAGTAACGCATCGAAGAAGACAATGTGAAGCGGTCGCGCTATGTAGTGAATTGGTAGAAGTTAGAATTCATGTACTGACTATTGGATCAGGTGAAGAGTCCCAAGCTAGGATGAAACGTTTGTCAAGTACTTCCAGGTTTTTCAGTGGTTCTCCAACCGATGTCCGTTCATGGTAGAATCCTCCAAACAATCAAACTAGATCCCTACAAAAAACCAATACTTGATTTGATTAATTACACAATTGATCACGAGATGACATCAGTTATAGAAACGTTGGAAAACCTGCAGGGAGTACTGGACATTCTTGGGCTGTTTATCAGTACGCATCCACTGGGGTTCGAAACCAGGAGCTTCCGATTACGAGGTGAGCTCATCGACCATTAAGCTATTGGAACCGACCGAATGGTCCGTGAATTGTATTTAGCGCAACCGTCAGTCAGCGTCCAGTACTCCAGGGTTTCCAATGGTTCTCTAACTGAGATGTCAGCTATTGATCAATCCTATAAATAATATACTTCAAAAAACAGTGTGGATACTTCTCATTCTTGATTAACACTTAGCATCGTATAGCACACCTATTTAATAGTAATTAAAAAACGAGGTGGGTTTCTACTAAACATCTTCTACTTCGCAAACTTGTAACATCGCGAAGCTTGTTTTTCTTATTCCTGTGCGTTTTCAATGGAACATAGAACTTCAAGTTTTGGATTTTTATTAGCCGTGATATCTCTATAGTGCTTTGAGATGACTCATGCCTGACCTTCCCTCTTTCTTGGCTTACTGTCGTCTGGCAAACTTCGATCGGTTCAGGAGTGTTCGTGTTGTGATGAGCATTCCACCACTGAACCACTTCCTGTTGTCATAGTTGACTCTTTATTGACTCATAACGAATAAGTTATACGTTGTGCTGCGCGGGTACATTCTCCAATAATCTGTCGCACTACACTCGTTTGGAGGACAGCAGTCAACCATTTCAGTAAATGAAAAATCCCCATATCGAAATCAAAACAGGATTTTGAGCTCAAAGTCAACCATTTGACATTTAACTTTGTGTTCACCGTTACAAAACATGTAAGAGATTTGTTGTCCATTTCCTCTTATCAGTATCACTTACAATATTTATCTAACGGAAGGTTGAGGTGACAAGGTTCCGCTGTCCAGTACTCCAGGTTTTCCAATGGTTCTCCAGCTGATGTCAAACTCATGATGAATTCCTCCAGCTAACCGATATAAGTTTATTTACATTAGGAATAGCTTTTTCCCTCTACTCTATTTTTGAACAAGATATTTTAGTGACTTGTTCGGCTATCTTTTTTTTTCCGTCTTGTTTTAGTAAACCTTTACTTCATAATGAGATTGTTTTACCTTTTTTTGATTTATTCAAAAGCTCGTCCACTTACAACGAATGATGAAAGTACCTACAGCTTAGCTATGAATCCACCTGGTACTGTTATTGTAGCTGGTGGTCCTTACAAACGTATCTGGGTATGGGATCCCAGGTCACGTAGTAAACCGTTTGATTTACGCAGTCATACAGATAGTGTACGTGCTCTTGTTGTTCGATCCAATGGTGAAGAGGTGAGTTGTATATACTCTATGTAACTAAGTCTTATTTGCAGATATAATCTGGCTTTATATAAGATATGTATGTATACACCTTTATTTGTTTCTCTAAGGAACACATGGCGTCGGTGGCACGGCGGTTAGGACGCTCGCCGAACATGCACATGATCTGGGATTCGATCCCGGCCACTGGACGCACTCCTTTACCTCGCTAAGCCAGAAATAATGCTGGTAAAGAGGAAAGGTTGGGCATGGGGCTAGCTAGCAACCCCATCCTGTAAAAATAAACATTGTTACAGAAACTTCAAGTCACTAGTTTGAAGCCCTATATTCCACTGGGAATGTGAAGGAAGAAAAATCAAGGCACTCACTCTCTAATGAACACAACTGTGACTTGTGCTTACAGCAATATTTTGATTAAGATAATCATATGGTCCTAGCTGATAGGCACTTATTTGATGATATATCAAACATTGAGATTCAAATCAACATTTGACTCATATTAAAGATTGTTAAATCCTCTCGGTGAAATGCTGTGGCTATTTCTCCCCTCGTATGTTTAGGCGGTGGCTACACGCTGGTTGTCACATAAATTTTAAGAATACAATATTCAGCGAATAGACTCTTTTCAACAACAATCGTGTATGTATGCTTTTTAAGACATTATATACGGTGAGGGAATTACGTCAAAGGTGTGAATACATGAAATAATAGTAGTAGTATGAAGTGCAATTAAAATATTTGTGATTATAATCATGGTTAAATGTTAAGTAGCAAGGCAATTTATGTCATATGTAGAATAATTCATAAGGTGTATAGATGTTGGAAAGGGGTGCATAATTAAAGGATTAGTAGGAGAATATAAAATGCTACATAACATGGTGTGAAATTTGATACGATAGAATTCAATATTGTAAAAAATTTTCTGGATTTAGAATGACAAGTGGGACAAGGGGAAACAATATACAGTGAGAATCATAATAATAATAATCGTAGTAATGAGGGAAAGGTACATAGATTCACTAAATAAACAAATGTCTTTCCCTCTACGGCCAAGGTAGGAGTAGGGATTGCACATACTTCTTTATACACAAAGATGTCTAGCTTAAAGTCATGAATTGCCAAGACCTCTGCTGTCTTTAGAAGTCTGTAACGAAGAAGACGCGGCAAGTTAACATGCATTCGGTAGATGATCTTAAAATCATGGTCAAGGTTGGTAGAGTGATAGGAGCCGATCGGGTGTTGTATAATAAAGCTTCGCACACTCTCCCTTTCTCCTTCGTAAAACCATGCTGCTGGAATATGTTCTCGTATCCGTGTGGAAAGCATTCTCTGGTTACGGCCAATGTAGCTTGCTCCATAATAGGGGCAGGTGAACTGATAGATGCATATGGAGGCGGCCAGATGAAGGAACTTATCTTTTACAGAGATGAAGAACAACATGCGGCTGGTGAATGTCATATGTAATTTTGCTGCAAAGAATAGCCTACTGACTGCTTTAGACAGACAGTTTTTGAGCATATCTGAAGCTTGATCACCTTAGAATTCCAAGTTCATGAATAAGGTTTTCTTTGGAACTGAGTCGATGACCAGTTTTAAACAGCTTATTTTTCGTGTTACTGTCAATAAATCGGTTCGGGTAACCGTTTTCTGCGAGCGTGGCTTTTAGGGAAGTCGAGTTCTGAGTCAACGCAATCAAAACTACAAATATTTCTTATCCTAAAGCAGAGCAGCGAATTTCGCAATCTACACCATTTCGCCGTAGTTACCTTTGGAAGTCAAGTTATACAGATAAACCACAATATGCGTGTGGTCTGTCTGCTTGCTACCGTGAATATGGTAATCAAGAAAACCAGAAAATATGCAAAAAACTATATACTACTGATTGGTTGAAATAAGTAGTTGCCTATCACTCATATCAACTAGTAGGGGTTACTTGCTAGCCCGGTCGAAGTGACCGATATCCGTTTCGGTCGTTGGTGATCAAGCTCGTTAGGAGTGTAGTCAGCTCAAATCAGCTTAGAGAGCCGAATAAATAAATTAACAAATATGATGCTCAGTTATTATGCGCATTGATGGAATGTGAACACTAAAGTGGTAAAAAGAAGACAGTGGCGATTAACTTCAGCAAACAATTGCTGAGGTAGAAAACCAGGGGTTCAGAAAATCCTAATTGTTTAGAATGCTTTAATGTTAATTCATTCACAATGAAAACCATTGGAAAGATGAGATCATTTTTGACAAGCTGCGACCACTAGCTGACCTCTTGTTGCCCAGCACTTAATCGAAGCTTAAGTGGAAGCTCGACTTAGGAAACCAAACATTTGCAGATTTCCAGGAAGCAACTTTAAATCGTGTTGGGCAGCGGTTCCTGGTGGGTGTTTACCATATATGGTATTAATCAGTGGTGGATCGGATTTGATACATAAACTGAGGCTATAGTTGGGATTTGGAATTCAGATGTAGTTCCTTCAGATTGTTGTCAATCTGTGGTTGTTTCAGTACTTAAAGACGAAAATGTTGGCGTATAGAAACCAGAGAGTAATTAGCTTGATCCATATAGCATCTAAGATCTTATATTCATACAGTGCCGAACTAGAGTTCGGAAGCAATATATCTCAGAAATTTAAGTAGGTTTTATTTAACCACACCTATATGCTTCAGACAGTAGCTGTTTATCTTGATTTGAGGGCAGCTTTTGACTAAGTCAACCCAGAGGTCATCGTAAAGAGGGTGTCTGGTGGGAGTATATTTCCCTATTACAGTTACCATACTCGAAAACTGTGCTTTATGGGGACCTATAGTGTGCTTTTTCATTAAGTGTCTGTACATCGAATGACAATCCTAAAATTGTGGCTTACTCTCTTCTTTGCTATTTGACCTTGTCATAGATGTACTCTTCCCTAAGTTAAATTCACATAGTTTGGTTTCATTGGATTCTTTTGTGGTAATCTAGAAGTGGGAACGCACTAATGACCCTGAACGCATACTATTTGTTGGATAACGGGACTTCGCGTTATAATGGCGCCATTGTGAACACGCTGTTTTTGAAGTGAGGTGCATATCTCATCCCGATATCATTTTGAGGTACTGTTTGTCCAGTGTGATGATAGCTAGTTAAGACTCAAAAACTGATACTCCTCATTACAATTGCGAGGTATCTGTAGGTAATTTCAAGGTAAAATGTCCTGTTTAACATGTCTTATTATTATTATTCTTTTATTTCTCTTGTAAATAAACGTTATTTTCTAAATGTGAAAACCACTACTGGATTTTCTGATTGGTCGGTTCAAGGTTATTCGTGCGTACAGATTTCATGGATCGTTATAGTTTTTTTTTTAAACTTTGCCTCTCCCCCTTAGTTGACTTAAAGAAGAAGTGCTAAGATGAAATGGATTGAAATTGATTCAATCTTCTTGCTTTCATCACCCTTTTGTCTCTTTTATTTCTCTTTTAAATTTAATTTAGATTATTAGTGGTAGTTCAGATGGAACGATTAAAATCTGGTCTCTTGGTATGCAACGTTGTACAGATACAATACGTATTCATAGTGAAAGTGTTTTTACACTTCAGGTAATAAATAATAAGATTATTATCTTATTCCACGCTAATTTTTTATTATGATTTATTGTTTAAAAATGCCGTTAAATTTATAAATATATATATATATATATATATATATATATATATATAATTCATGGGCTGACCATTGAATCAGGTCTCAGTGGCTGAATGGTATGCGACCTTGCCTTGTAACGGGAAGGCCCTGGGTTCGAACCCTGTCGGTGGGTGCGTACTGCCGATGATTTCCAAACTAGTCTGATGAAACAGCAGCTGTCCAGTATTCACTCCAATCATGGTTTTCAATGGTTCTCTAACTGATATCAATCTGTGGTCAAACTCATGAAACGAATTTAATCCTTACAAATCAACTCTTGAAAAAAAATATATATATCTCATAAATGCAGATTATTTATAGAATGACTGAAAATCATTATCAAGAGAAGCTAACACTAGTTTATTCACTGTCTACTGAGATAACTTCACTAGCCTTCCAATAAGGATGAAACACTGTTAGCCCAGTGCTTTTGGCTGACTGGCTGGATGGTTTCAGCATAGAAATTTGCACAGATGTATGTAACAGTTGGAGTTGGTACTCTCTATGTAGTACACAAAGCAAGAGAAGACAGGAAAGAGATGTTTATCAAAAGAGAGACAATAAATAGTAGTGTGAGCGAGGGGAAAAGAATAGTAAGTAATATGGAAGAACTGTAGACATTTTTTGGATATGATGAGTGCGCCATTGAGAATGATTCTGAGAAATATCAATAATTTAATTGGTATATGGTGACTAGTAATGGAATCCAGGATGTGCATTTCGTCCTGTTTGGGACTTGTCAGCTGGATGTACTTGCATTTCCCAGTGAGTTATGATGTTCCCACCAAGGCTCGAACCCAATGCTAGTCACCATACACCAATTAAATTCTAATTACATGCCCAGACATCGTCGAAGTATCCGCCCAAGAAGCGGACATGTCAACCTGAGGCCGAGCACTTCGGTCCAGTCAATCGACTGGAAAATCTAAAATTCAATTAAAATATAATTAATTGTTTAATAATTCCTCATTGTAACATTAAGAACATAATATTTGTGTATGTGTTCTTAATATCACCAATTGTCTCCAGCCTTGGGTTCTTACCATCCCTAGGAAACTAACCACCAGTCAGGAGGAAGTCTACACATCCTTACGTATGTCTGACTTAAACTAACTGTTGTGGATTTCATTGACTGATGCCAATGTCAATGAAATACCAGTTCTCCTTGATTCACAGCCTTTCTATAATGGGTGATGATTGCTTAAAATATATTGTGTGTCTGATTTAATGAACAGTAAACTAGTCGCATAGATGTTTATCACCAACTCCGGTACTCAAACCAATTATTTGTATTCCATAAGCGGTTGTCTGAGAGCTAATGAAACCCACTTAGCTAACTAGCTAGCTAGCTGGTTGAATCTCTCTAGATAGAAGCGATTTTGAAAGCATGACGTAATAATGGTTAGAAGCCATAAGCGCCTAGATCAGTTAGCACCTACAGCTGCACAACTTGACCACGAAAACTACGAAGTGATCTAATGTCAGAACTTGGAGTTGCGTAACAGCAGCAACCGTTGGATTAATGAGAGTGGATTAATGAATTTTAGCCAAAAAGTAGTACGACTATACGATTTTACCACTCTTGCATAGTGAAAATATGGTATAAAAATTATTTTCCCAATGAACAAGTAGGTAGCCTGTAGACAGCAATAGACAGTTTTTGACATGCCTCTTTATTCAGTGACGAATTTACTGAGGTCTGTATATTTCTCTTTTATAAAATGGAGTTTCCGCTGATTGATACAATGGAAGATAATTTAAGAGACGAAAGTTCCGGAATCGAAATTTAGAGTAGGAAAAAACTGAGCGTTAATTACTATCATCAGTGGTCCAGTTGGTAAGAGAGTATTTTCAATTTCGATGAGTTTAGTCTGTAGGGAATCGGTCTGTTCCAAGTTTGACCACGAATTGATATCAGTGCGTCGGTGGCACAGTGGTTAGGATCCTCGCCTACCATGCACATGGTCCGGGGTTCGAGCCCACGCCGACGCACACATGATATCTATGGTCGGCCTGCGAATTTTGGGCTACCGATATCCACACTGAAAATTCCATACTTGTACCAAAAATACGGTGTGGAATCAAGCTGTAAATCAAAAAAAAAAAAATCAATTGGAGAATCACCACTGAAAACCAGCACACGACTACTTGGCAGCTGTGTCGTCAGCCTAGTTTGGGACTCATTGCCAGTACCCACCCACCCCACTGGGATTTGAACCCAAAACCTTCCTGAGATGGTTACGATATGTGTTACGCATGTCTTACCATCGCATTCCTCGACAGTCAGTGTTCGCTGACACAGGGTCAGGTTGGAAAGGGGCCAGCGGTGGTCAAACCAAAACATGGCTTCATCAGACAATGAAGCTCACAACAGTCAGTATAAACCATGTTGGAAGGTGTAGATTGCCAAACTGGTTGGGGTCCTTGAAATGGTAAGAGCCAGTGGCTGGAGGCAATTGGTGATATAGTTGGCAGCGTAGAAGCGTCCATTCTTTGTGATTTATAATATCCAGTAAAATTCTATTGTTCTTCCATATTACTTTTCTTTTTTGCCTCATATTTCTGTTTATTATCTCTGTCTTGAATCTCTCTGTACTCTCTTCTCTTGCTTTGTGTGCTACATGGAGTGTTGCAACTCGAACTGCTGCACATCTGTGCGAAGTTCTACGTTGAAACAAGTCAGTCAGTCAGAACCTTCCGGTTGCTAGTCAAGCTAGCTCGTAGATCATTCAGTCATTGGGACCGGGCTCCTCAATGACCAGCCAATGAATTCTAACTTCTACAAGTTGGTGGTTTTAGCGGGACTGGCACCAACCAGTGTATCATCGCTGGCGACTATTTATCCTCACTCCCGGCCTGGTGGACCCCACCGGTGGTCATGACTTCCCACTAGAACTCCAGTCAGTCAACTGCATCCTGCAGGCAGTCACTAACGAATATCAGATTAATTTTGAAGAGTTTGTGTATAGGGATTTGATTTGTTTTAAGCGCTGTCGATGTGTCCGATACCAGGAGGAAACAACTGTCCGGTACTCCCTGGTTTTCAGTGGTTCTCTGACCGAATTTATTTTTATTCATGACTTCTGGTTTAGAATATCTTAATGTTTTGCGTTATTATTATTATTATTATTGAATACATATTATTTGATACAATTGCTTTATTAATTCTATAGGTTAATAATAACTGGACAACTATTTATTCTGCTGGTAAAGATCGTAAAATTTGGGCAACTGATTTGCATAATCCGTGTCATTCCACACTGATCGGCGAAGAGACGGATCCAGTTCTAAGGGTATGTGTTTTGTCCCATCGGTAATTTGTAAAACATTTCAGTTATCAGTAATGCACAAGTCAGATGATATTTTCACCGCCCTCTATTCTAAAACATCATAATTATACCACAGTTTTATTACCTCAAACAAATTCAGCACCGACATTAGGGACTGGACGCATGATATCATTGGCCACAGCCTAGTGAGACACATCAATATCATATTATTATTATTATTATTATTACCATTATTGTTCTTGTGGATTCTGATTGAAGCATCGGGGGCTTCAACAGCCCATCTTGACTTTATCCCACTCTCTGAGGTCCTCTTTACCTGGCCCCATGACTCCCCATAATCTCTGATCTGCTCCATGTCACCGTTAGACCCATGCTCAAATCGTTATTTCCCATATGGGTTCCACTTGAGCGATGGCCTGGTGTCCGGTGTTTTTGGACGGTCTCCTCAGGAGGGAAATAGTTTGTTGTTTGGTTCGTTCCCGGAAATTTCTTGTCGCTAATTGTTTCTGGCCAGCAATTTGATCTTCACTATGGTGTTGGCGATGGAAGCTGTTGACAAAAGTCTGTAGAGTAGCCTACCGAAAATTTTTTTTTTGTGGCGCGCAAATTCTCTGAGCCATATTGAAGAAGTGCTTAACTTGAGATTGATACTGAAAATCCGAATCGTCTTCTTTATGCTGGTTGAGTTCAGTGGAAGATTTCCAAACTGATTTCAGAGTGATGATTATCCGTGTTGCTTTTTATATCCTGACTGATTTTGACGTCCTCATCCGTGCTGTCTGTCGCCTGGAGTTTCAACCACAGGAATTAGGAACGGATGAAGATGTCAAAGGCAGCCAGCCAGAATCGGAGAGGCAAGATACGCTTTCATCAACCTGAAACCAGTCTGGAGATCTTTTGCACTCAGCCAACATGAAGAACAAGATTCGCATTTTCAACACTAATGTGAAGTCAGTCAGTCAATTCTTCTATACGGGTCAGAAACTTGCACTACGTGTCACGAAAAGGTTTTCCAACAGCCAGTTGCAGACTTTTAGCAACAACTGCAGCCTTTGCTGGCTCCATACTGAAGATCAAATGATCAGCTGGCTAGCAAGAAAGAATTAGCAACAAGAGACTCTGGCAATGAACGAACCAATAAAGCAAGAGCCGATCGCTCAATAAATATGTAGGAGAAAATGGAGATGCATCGAGCATACGTTGAAGAGGCCGTCGAATGATATCTGGCTCAATGCAGACCAACGCTCGAGTGGTATCCAAATGGGAAGCAACGAGTGGATCGTCAGAGTGAGGGTGATATGGAGGAGATGAGAGATTACGATCAATCGTGGACCCAGACAAAGAGGACGGCAGAGAATCGAAGAAAGTGGAGGTGTGTTGTTGAACCCCTGTGTTCCACTTAGAACCCAAGGGAGTAATAATAATAACAACAAATTAATCTGTAATGGATATTGTTTAAATGTATAAGACACAGTTACTTATTTTGTATTGCCCCCTTTGTTGTAAAAGAAACCTTGTTAAGTTGTGGGCAATTGCTGAGTCTGAACGTTTAGTTGGATGCGTGTTTGTTTGATCATTAAGTTTCATTTGTTCAGTACTACTAGTAAAAGTGTTTAACTTGTTTCAAGTGACTAATACGAATCCAGTTTCTTTATATTCATGTGCACTCCAAGTGGAGGAACATACGGCTTCAGGTTTCAGCTTTGAAGTTTCAGTAGCGGTAGGGTTTTATTTTTGCGGGATAGGGTTGCCAGCCTCACACTTAACCTTCCTTCTCTACCACCGGGCCTACTACCGGCTGACTGAGGCAAAGGAGTGAGTCGACAGGGTATCGAACCTCGGAATGACTGCTTGACTACTGAACTGCCGACTGAATAAGAATTCAATAGTTTGTACATAAGTCGGTTGTACAATTCAAGTGGAGTTGTGGTGCAATAGTTTATCGGTCTGATTATCAACCAATCAGTTATAGGTTGAAGTTCCACTTTCCCTTTCGAAGTTCCAATGTAGTCCCCTTATCAAGTGAATATAGATGTACATTGTTGTTGAGAATGTTATGAAGTTTAACAAAGTTTCCTGGTTTATTTATTTCATTCGCTTAGAAACTAGGTAGACTGGCTTCGTCTTCTCTTTATTTCATAGTTTGGTATTATGATGGCAAAACTGTGTATCTTGGTTTTTTATGGCAAGAGGAAATCTTCAGGAAGCCTTCCGTCTAGGTTTTGTGCTTTTTGGCAGTCACCAGTCACTCAGCCAGGTGAATCTGCAATCTTGAAGGAACTCATTTACATCCTCCTGAGATTCGAACCATTGTCACCATTCAGTAGTGCTGCACTCATTGAGCGAAGTTACCACTAAGGAGCTATTCAGACTGACGGTTGAAAAGTACCAACAAGTCAGGCAGAGCCTCCTGCCAAATTACCTCCAACCATCTAATAACATCAAGTCACACTTCACAGTGATTGAGAGCCACCTAGTGACGCATGGTGGCCACATTGCAAACTTGAGTGATAGAAACCAGTCTGCAACAAGCGAGGACTAAACGCATGGCTTTATTTAGTGTCCAAGGAAAACTGCATGTCATATATACGTAATAGGAATTTTGCTGTGTTATATTTGTTTATCTTTTTATGTAAAATCCAAGTGTAAATTAATTGTTACTATTGTGCTCAGAAAATGTGAAATAATATTTATACTACTTACTTCCAGTAATATAGCATGTTTTCTCTAATTGTTTTTACTTTCATACGAGTAATGTGTTCATTATGGAATTCAATTTTTGGCTGATCTACTTAATATTCTGTTCTATTCTTGAACTGAGATAAGTTAACTTGTCAGGAATAAGTGTGTATTTCTCATCGCATACTATCAGTCAATTAGAAAACCCATAGGAGTGACAAAGCACCATTGCACAGAGGGCTTTACTCGTGTACAGGGGATCGACAACGCTGTGTGTCGCTTACAATTTCACCGTTACCGTCTTTAAATCTTCTTTTGATTTATTATACATCACCACCGCTTGTTGGAATTAAATGATATAATATCGTCATCATCCTGGAGAGAATCAAACAAGCCCTGGATGCAAAACTCCGACAGGAACAAGCTGGATTCAGGAGGAACAAGTCATGGATTGATCAAATCGTCACACTACGGATCATCATTGAAAAAAGCTTGGAATGGCAGTCACCTCTCTATCTCAACTTCATCGACTTTGAAAAGGCCTTCGACAGCGTCAATCGAGAGGTGATTTGGCAACTACTTCGCTACTACGGGGTGCCATCGACAATTATACATCTCATCCAACAGTTATACGACAATGCTGCATGCCAAGTAATCCACAACGGGAAACTTACGGAATCCATCGAAGTGAGGACGGGAGTGAGGCAAGGCTGTCTACTATCGCCAATGATATTCCTGATTGCAGTAGACTGGATAATGCGACAGACAACGGGCAATGAGGAAACAGGCATAAAATGGATGCAAGTCAAAAGAAGATAGGACTTCAGGTGAACACAGATAAAACAGAGGTGATGAAGATTCCTGGCCAACAGCAAAAACAACAGACGACAGTCAGCATAAATGGGGGGAACCTGAAATAAACAACCTCCTTCACCTACCTGGGAAGCATCGTTTCAACTACAGGCGGAACTGACGGCGGCGGAGGTCATGTGAGGAGGAGATGAAAGCATGTGGGCAGACTTGGAGTGGGGTGAAAAAGTTGGCAGAAAACAGAATGCAATGGAGACGCGCAGCTGAAGCTCTATGTTCCTCTAGGAATTAGAGGATATAATAATAATATCGTATATGGGATATGGTAATCCTCACTCTCGACCAATTGATAGAACCCACTAGTCACGTCTCACTAGAACCCCATTTAACTTCATCTACCCTTAGCCAGCATCAGATTAATTTTTAAGTGTTAATTTGTATATGTACGGTATTTTTAGGTTATTTATTTCTTTATTTTTCTATAGATTCTTTTGCATGAAGGTCAGAATCAATCGTATATATGGTCTGCAACATGTAATACAAATGTATCACGTTGGGTAAGTTAACAAGTGGAATATTTGGTTTTTTGAACTTACTTCCCGGAATAGATCATTCATTTCCCAAACTCTGTCTGTATGTTTTCGACATAGAACTTTGCACCGATGTGCAGCAGTTCGAGTCGCCACACTTCCCTCAGTACACAAAGCCAGAGAAGAAAGTAAAAAGCAATACAAAATAGAGACAGTAAACAGAGATATGAGGCCAAAAGAATAGTAATATAGAAGAACAATATAGTTTTATTGGGTATTATAAGTCACAAGGAGTGGATGCATCTGCACTAGCTGGCCATTGAGAACGATCACTTTCAGCAATATCACCAATTGATTCCAACCATTCGTTTTTACCGTCCTGAGGACCCCAATCAGGAAGTCTACACCTTCCTGCGTGGCTTAGACCAACTGTTGTGGATTTCATTGACTGATGAAGCCATGTTTTGGTTTGACCACCACTGGCTCTTTTCCAACCTGACCCTATGTCAGCTAATATTGCCCGTCGAGGAAGGCAATGACTGAGCACGCATAACACATGTCCAAACCAACTCAGTCGATGTAATTTCACAGCCTCATCGATTGATTTCCCCTCCTTACCTAGCACTCGACGCCTAACCTCAATATTGCTCACCTCACCTCCGGACCGATAGCTGCTACCTTGACGTGGTGGTTGGGGCTTGCACATCGCGATGACCCAACAAGCTGCACTGGCTGGAACCAATGTTCCTACCATGCCATGAAGTTTGTTAGGAAGGCGATTAGACTAAAAGAAGTTACCGGGATTGTGTGAGAATTTTACTTTTTTACACTACGCTGGGGGTCTGTGGGCGAAGTCGTACTGCTGCAGAACAGGGATATAACAGCAGTTAGGTGTTTACCTCAGATGACCAACATGCCAGCCAGCTATGTTGTCTCTCCACTCCGTAGAGAGGGAGTTAGAAAGGGACGACCCGAAAAATTGTACATCCAAACTTCCCCCACCTGCGGTGGTCCGTAACCGGCGGTATGTTTACTAATACGGAACCAATCCAAGAAACCAGTTCATACAGGCCGTGTGTGACCGGTCTCAAGCAGTTGTTCCCTGGGCTCTGCGGTCACGCAACACTAACCCTCTTTCTGTTTCAGGTACCCGAAGAATCTAACAACTTCCACGGTGTGGGCAGCCGGGAAGTAACAACCGCACACACACTTCCAAAAGCACACGAAACCTTCCTGAGCATCATTCTCTTTTACATGTCCCAGAATGTGAGCGGTCACACTTATTATGTGTCAGGTTTAATGATTCTAGCCAGCTGCACAAGCAGAATTAGACGGGGCAGTGTTTGGACCCCAGATTCACTGCTTGAAAGTTCATTGCATAAGTCATTGAGACAAGTGTCCACTGTGGGAATTACTTGATTAATAATACAGAAGATTTGTAGTTCAGGTGAATGATTTTAATTTAGTTGTGTTCTGTGAGTTGGTTGATACAGAAAATCAACTCAAAACAGATCACATACTCAACTATACTAGCAGTAATCCAATGACTCACAAAACAAACTATGTACAGACATTGTTTAAAAGAGTCCAAACACACTAAAGCACTTCAGTGCTGAAAAGAATGAAAGAGAAATACCTTCTAGCTGTTTTCAAGAACAATGAATACCCATACAACTTTATCAAAAAAATAGTGTTTAAACTCAAATCGTAAGACAAAGAAGAAACCATCGTCAAAGATCACAAAAAGATTCACTCTACCATATATAAAGAATATCTGTGAAATAACGGCTAAACCATTGGGAATAGATATATAGCACAAAAGTCAACCAACACAATTACTTCTTTTTTTTTTGATTTGCAGCTTGTTTCCACACTGTATTTTTGGTACAAGTGTAGAATTTTCAGCGTGAATATCGGTAGCCCAAATTTCGCAGGCCGACCATAGATATCATGTGTGCGCCGGCGTGGGCTCGAACCCCGGACCATGTGCATGGTCGGCGAGCGTCCTAACCACTGTGCCACCGACGCACACATTCGATATTGTGCAAACCGAGCGATCCAATAGGAAAAGAAGATAAGATCCAATGCTATCTAAACAATAAATTGCTTGTATTAACTGCAATAGACACTACATCAGTCAAAGTGAACTTCCCCCTCGCCCCGTCCCCCTCTTCGAATCTGAATCCATTGACACAGATTAGCTGTGAAAAGATGTGATATGTATTGTGTCATACCGATATATGCGGATAATTATAAACACCAACTTGATTCGGGTAATGACTGACTAGTTTCAACATAGAACTTTGCACCGATCAATGTGCAGTAGTTTGAGTCGCTACACTTCACTCAGCACACAAAGCTAGAGAAGAATAAAGTGAAAAGAACTGCAAAATGGAGACAGTAGAGAGAGAGAGATATGAGGCAAAAAGAATAGTAATATTGAAGAACAATATAGTTTTATTGGAAATTATAAGTCACAAGGAGTGGATGCATCTGCGTCATTGAGAACGATTTTGAGTGAATGTGAAAATTTGAAACCTAGGAAACACCAAAGATGCCAAGGAATTGCTGGAAGCCTGGTACTCAGATAATTCAGCAATTTACAGACACATTACTATAGACCCGATTTACTGAAACTTGAGCTGAAGATGTTATCTAGGGGGGGGGGGACAGCGAAAGCTTCACAATTAAATCAACCAGGTCAGAGACCACAATTAAATTGAAATACTTGATTGATATCAGTATCCTCCTATTATAAGTGGGAGGAGGTGGGTTATAGGTGAATGGCATAATAAGGTGAGCAATATTGAGGTTAGGCGTCGAGTGCTAGGTAAGGAGGGGAAATCAATAGACAAGGTTGTGAAGTTACAAAGACTGAGATAGTTAGGACATGTGTTACGTATGCCTAGTCATCGCCTTTCCCGACGGGCAATGTTAGCTGACCTAGGATCGGTGAGGTTGGAAAAGAGCTAGCGGCGGTCAAACCAAAACATGGTCTCACCAGTCAATGAAATTTACAACAGTTAGTCTAAGCCACGTAGGAAGGTGTAGACTTCCTGGTTGGTGTCCTCTGGACGCCAAAAACTAATGGTTAGAGACAGTTGGTGATATTGCTGAAAGTGATCGTTCTCAATGGCCAGCTAGTGTATATGCATCCACTCCTTGTGACTTGTAATTTCCAATGAAACTGTTTTGTTCTTCGTTACTACTATTCCTTTATCTCACACCTCTGTTTACTGTCTCTATTATGCATTTCTTCTACTTTCTTCTCTTGCTTTGTGTGCTACAACGAGGGAGTGTGGCGACTTGAACTGACGCACATATGTGCAAAGTTCTATGTCAAAAACAGACAGACAGACATAGGTGGATGGTGTTTTTGAGATGTTAACAGAATATTGATGTTTCTCCTTTTTGAACTTCACTACAGTCAACTACTTTATAATGTCACTGTAAAAAATAAAGAAAAGATTCTCGCATAGTCAAATGATAAGAAGTCTGTCATGCAGGAAGTGTTGTATGCCTCTGTGGTGAAATAAACGTCAAAGTTTGGCTGATATCACTGCCCCTACTAGATGAGAATCTCTCAAATTATGTGTGAATTTGATAATCTCGATATTTCAATGTAACTACAGTAAATAGCTCACATAAAGATTATACAGATGGGAATTCTTAAGTTAACCGGTTTGCTGTTATCACAGCTCGATTACTCACGGTAAATGTTTCTTAATACCCAGTTTAGAATACCTGCCCGACTGATAGCTGCTATACTGTCTCGTGATGGTTGGGTTTGCATGTCGCAATGACCTCCTAACAAGCTACACTGGCTGGAACTATTGTTCCTGCAGGTCCTACCCTTCCAGAAAGATTGTTAGCATAGCGATTAAACTTAAAGCAGTTACCACCGGCATAGTGTAAGAATTTCTTTTTACACTATGCTGGGAGTCTGTGGGCAAAGTCGTACTGCTAGGGGACAGGAATGTAACAATAGTAACGTGTTTCCCCTTTCTGTTCACTCTGGAGAGGAGGGGGGTTAGAAATGATTGACCCTACCGTGGTCCAACCCTGGCAGTAAGTTACTAATACGGAACCAAACCTAAAATCCAGTCCAGACAGGCTGTGTATATCCCCGACCTCTGCGGTCATACAACGCTAATACTTGCATCACATTTTTACAGTATATCTTCCATCATAATCATCATTGATTCGCATGTGTCTATCTTTCTTCCTTGTACCACATTTTTGTGTAGCCTATTAAACGTCCTGGTGGAATATACGGTCGAACAATAATAGATCATCGGCATAATTATTCAAATCATTGTGCTGATGTTAATAATAATGTCGCTGCTGCTGGTGGTGGTGTTGGTAAGGAATATCCTACGGATAAGCATCAAATAGTGATGACAAAATGCGCTGAATATCTCACCACTCCATTGTCTGTATCAATATCAAATGGTATTTCAAATGATTCGACCAGAGAGGTAGACAATTCTGATAATACTACAACTATTACTGCTAATACTAATATTAACACAACAACAACAACAACAACTACGAATAATACTAATAATAATGGCAATGAAAGATACAACCACAGCACAACATCGCTAAAACCTGATTTTATTATAAAAGGTAAAGTGTTACTCTGTAATTGTTATTTTCAATTTCTAACTGTCTGTTAGAGAGAGAGAGAGAGGCGTATACCTGAGAAGTTTGTTAACATCCTGAAAGCCCTATATACAGAAATACTTGAGGTTGAGTGAAGGCATACAAACAGCTATCACATCACTCTTCCTAACTAACAAGGAGGGGGTTAGACAGGGTTGCCCGATCTCTCCACTTCTCTTTAACTTTGCCATCGATGACATTCTAGAGACATCTGTGAAGGAAATGCGAGGTGGTGCTTATATCTGCTCCTTGGAGAAAAATATTTTAACCTCGTCTTACTATGCAATGATAGCACGCAGGCCACCCAGATCGCACTTAATGAGTTGGCTATCAGTGTCTGTAAATATGGTATGTGGCAAGATCGCCAATCATTCTTGCAGGTGAACCCTTTGAAAATGTCGATAAGTTTGTGTCTCTGGGTAGTTTTGTGAGTGCTGGTGGAGGTGTGACAGATGAGATTTCCAACCGTATCATGAAATCTAGGGCGGTATACGCCAATTTAAGCCACATCTGGCGCTGTCGTGTCGTTAGCCTGGCTCTCAAAGGTCGAGCTCACAATGTTATGGTACGTGCAGTCTTGCTCTACGCCTGTAAAACCTGACCTCTCCGAGCTGAGGATATACGACGACTCTGTGTATTCGACCATCGCTGTTTCAGGAGGATTGCTTGCGTTCGATGACATCGTGTAAGTAGTTCTGGGGGCTGGCAGTTTGTGTTTTGAGACAGTAGAGATCACAACTCACTGAATGTTGTCATTTGGGAAAAACACCGACTTCGGTGACTTCACCGTGTACTTCGAAAGTCATCACAGAGGCTTCCGTACCGGTAGTCTCTATTCTTTAGCCCTGGGATGGAATGGAAAAAGCGGAAAGGAAACTATTTTTAAATACGAATTGATTAAGCTTTGAATCAAAGCAAATTTTAAAGCCTTTTAAATCGATGTGAGATTGTAAAAGCGATGATCTATAGAATGAGAACGCACGAGTCACCTTGAGCCGACCAATCAGTGAAGCTACAAAGACTGAGATGGTTAGGACATGTGTTACGTATGCCAAGCCATCGCCTTCCTCGACGAGCAATGTTAGCGGATATAGGGTCAGGCTGGAAAAAAGCTAGCGGCGGTCAAACAAAACTTGGCATCAGTCAATGAAATCCACAACAGTTGGTCTAAGCCACGTAGAAAGGTGTAGACTTCCAGGCTGGGGTCCTCGGGACGGTAAAAATCTATGGTTGGAAACAATTGGTGACATGGCTCAAAACCGTTCTCAGTGGCGCAGATGCATCCACTCCCTGTGACTTATGATCTTCAATGAAACTGTTTTGTTATTCTTTATTCTCCTTTATCTCACACCTCTGCTCACTGTTTCTATTATGCTTTTCTTGTACTTTCTTCTCTTGCTTCGCGTGCTACACGGAATGTGGCGACTTGAACTTCCGCACATTTGTGCAAAGTTCTATGTCGAAAACAGACAGACAGACAATCAGTAAAATCAGTGGTTTTTAAATAAAAATGGCGTTTATTTATTTACAAGAGAAATAGATGAAGTAGTAGTAAATTCCCGAAACCCAAATATTATTTACCGTAGGGCGACCACGGTCACACTTCTTTACGAGAGCGGTTTAATCGATGGGAACAGTAACACCAACCCCTCCCAACATCTGCGTGAAAGTATTCATCTTCCGGGACGCTATATCTCTGCAATGATGGAACCACTGCACGCTAAGCATTAACGAATTTTCCGCCTGTACATCCATTGATTTCACCCTAGTCTTTAAGATGCAATAATGACAGGTAAAAAGTGTATTTGTCAGCGGCAGTTCCGATTTAGAATAGAAGGTTCCTAGATAAGAATGGAGTGAGTGTGTGACTTACCATTACGAATACTAATTCATTTCCTACTCTGTGTGCACCTCAACACTACAAGTCCATTACTTGCTTCTCAGCACCCGTGGATGTAGTGGAAACATTGCAAGAACATTACGGCTACCTACGTGGTTCCAACCCATTATCTAAACAATACTTAAAAACAAGAAGGGGGTAGAATTTGCACCTCACTTGGTGAATACTTTTTATATTGGCGCTATGATATTGATAGGTCCCTTTATCCAACGACTGGTATGCGTTCAGCATCGTTGGTGCGTTCGCACTCTTGCATTGTGATACTTCAACATGGCCTTAAAAGTCTCTGGATGTAGATGTCGTGCTTACTGACATTCCTTAGCATGGCGTTTATCGGCAACACTTAAGATACTCATAATCCCCTCAAAGATTTGGAACCGCTTCAGTCAGTTACATCACCATCGATCTGTCCCACCAGACTAAACAATGTTCTTTGTTTAGGCCTTAGAGCCAAATAAATTCCATCAACGAAGACTGCCAGTGTGACCAGCAAACTAAGTGACTCACTACCGTGATACACTTTACAGTGATATTATTACATGGTTTGAAGCAATTGACACAGGTCTTATGTCCAATTTAATTCGCTCGTATAAGTACGTCAATATTACTGTTCATTCCGAAGTGAGAGAAATCCAAGCGCGTATCGTCTTTATCTAACAGCTTTTAAGCTGTATTTGTTAATTTTTATTCTTGAAGATGCAACCATAGATAATAACCTCACAAAATTACGCCTAATTATATAACACGATATTATAAATTGATTGCCTTTCTCTTTTTACCTGTGTAGTCTTTGTGTTGGAAATCATGTACGCATATAAAATCTTGATATAAGTATAAAACTTGGGCACTATGGTATAGCATAACTCCATTATAGATAAGATTTTATTTTGATAAAGTGTCACAGTGTGTTGTACAGTTATATTAACTAATGACCACGTTTCGAGCACAAACTATTGGCACTCATAATCATATCAAGTTACTCACTCATACAACTTTCTGGCTTCATTTATATACATGAGTGGAATTGATGATTAGACCTTTGAATTAAATCAATATAGGATAATGTACAATCAGAAATAATAATAATATGAGTGTTGATGTTGTTCTCATTGTTTGTCCGTTATTTTCTGATTTTGAGGGGAGCAACCCAAAAAGTTGCTTCTCTCTAAACTTTTACTTAATGTAATCATTCTTTTCTCAGGCGTGAGGCTAGCAACCCCACCCTGTAAACAAAAATTGCTAAAGAAACTTCAGTATGATGAACCTCCTTGCACCAAAAGAAAAAGTCTGTGTAGGAACATGGAACGTCCGAACTATGTACGAGACTGGGAAAGCTGCCCAGATCGCCAACGAGATGAAAAGATACGGAATACAAGTGCTGGGAATATGTGAGAGCAGATGGAATGGGAGTGGACTCACCAAATTGTCAACAGGTGAGTCAGTGATCTACTCCGGTCACCCAGAAGATAACCACACGCACACCGAGGGCGTGGCTATCATGATGTCACCAACGGCAACGAAAGCCCTGATACAATGGGAGGCGATTTCGTCCAGGATAATGACCGCCAGGTTCAACTCCAAAGGAAGGAAAGTGTCAATCATACAATGTTATGCACCCACAAACAACGCAGACCTCGAGAAGAAAGAAGAATTCTACAGGCAACTACAGGCAACAATGGACAATACTCCAGCTGGCGACATGAAAATACTAATGGGAGACATGAACGCCAAACTGGGACCAGACAATACGGGAAGGGAACTCATCATGGGTAGAGAAGCTCTAGGAGAAATGAATGAAAACGGAGAACTCTTCGCCGACTTCTGCGCCTTCAACGAACTGGTGATTGGTGGCAGTGTATACAAGCACAAAGATATCCACAAGGCTACATGGGTGTCACCAGACGGGCAAACCAAAAACCAAATCGACTTCATCTCAATCTCAAGGAAGTGGAGGCGCAGCCTACTGGACACAAAAGCAAGAAGAGGAGCAGACGTTGGCTCAGACCACTATCTCGTACAAGGGACAATCCAAATCAAATTAAAAGCTTTCAGGGAATCAGGAGCTGCAGATAGACCACAAGCCAAGTTCAACACTCAAAAGCTGAAGGACCAGGCTACAAAGGACATCTTCATTGCAAGCATAAAGGACAAAGCCGAGACACAAATCAACACTAGCGAAGAGGTCGGCGTTGAAAAGCACTGGAACAACTTGAAAACGGTGTGGAGCCAAACCTGCATAGAAATTCTAGGCAGAAAAAAGAGACAGGACAAACAGTGGCTCACTACGGACACTTGGAAACTAATAGAAGAGAGAAGGACAGTGAAGCAAAAGATTATCCAGTGCACTGACGAGCAACAAAAACAGGAGCTGAATGCAAGCTACAATACACTGAACAAAAGAGTGAAGAAAAGTGCCAGGGAAGACAAAAGAAAATATTATGAAACCATGGCAAACGAAGCAGAACAAGCTGCAGGCAAAGGAGACCTCGCCACACTCTACCAAACAACTAGGAACCTTTCGGGCAAACGTTCGACACAGATTAAGCCAATAAAGGACGACAATGGAAAGTCAATCACCAAAGAGGTGGAACAGAGAAAGCACTGGGTTGAACACTTCAAAAGACTTCTAAATCGTCCGCCACCTACAACACGTCCAGCAATACCAACAACGGAAGCAGAACTACCAGTGAACACTGACCCCCCGACGAAATCAGAAGTCCTGAATGCAATCAAGATGCTTAAAGCTGGGAAAACACCGGGACCAGATGGAATCCCAGCAGAGGCTTTGAAAATAGACCCAGAGACAACAGCGGACTTGATGACACCACTACTGGAGAAGGTGTGGAAAGAGGGCAAAGTACCCGAGGATTGGAAGAACAGTTACTTATTCAAACTTCCAAAGAAAGGAGACTTAAGTCAATGTAAAAACTGGCGTGGAATTATGCTTCTGTCCATTCCAAGCAAGATACTAAGTCGCATCATCCTGGAGAGAATCAAACAAGCCCTAGATGAAAAACTTCGTCCGGAACAGGCTGGATTCAGGAGAAACAAATCATGTATTGATCAAATCGCCACTCTACGGATCATCATTGAACAAAGCTTGGAATGGCAGTCACCTCTCTATCTCAACTTCATCGACTTTGAAAAGGCCTTCGACAGCGTCGATCGAGAGGTCATTTGGAAACTACTTCGCTACTACGGGGTCCCATCGACAATTATACACCTCATCCAACAGTTATACGACAATGCTGCATGCCAAGTAATCCACAACGGGAAACTTACGGAAGCCTTCGAAGTGAGGACGGGAGTGAGGCAAGGCTGTCTACTATCACCAATGATCTTCCTGATTGCAATTGATTGGATAATGCGACAGACAACGGCAACCAACGAGGGAACAGGCATAAAATGGACTGACACAAAAGACTTGGAGGATCTGGATTTCGCCGATGATATATGTCTGATTTCCCATAAACTGGAAGATATGCAAGTGAAAAGTAACAAGTTGGCAGAAGAAGCATCAAAGATAGGACTTCACGTGAACATAGATAAAACAGAGATGATGAAGATTCCTAGCCAACATCAACAACAACAACAGACCACAATAAGCATAAATGGGAAGAACCTGAAAGAAACAACCTCCTTCACCTACCTGGGAAGCATCGTCTCAACTACAGGCGGAACTGACGAGGACATCAAAGCCAGAATCGGAAAAGCAAGACAAGCTTTCATTACTCTCAAATCTGTGTGGAGGTCAACAGCAATCAGCATCAAAAATAAGATCCGGATTTTCAACTCCAATGTGAAGTCAGTGCTACTATACGGATCAGAGACTTGGCGAGTCATAAAGAGCATCTCAAACAAACTTCAAACCTTCATTAACAACTGTCTCCGCTCAATACTCAAGATCAGATGGCCAGAAAAGATCAGCAACAGGGATCTCTGGGAGCGAACCAATCAGGAACCGATTGTGAAACAAATAGGCAGAAAGAAATGGAGATGGATTGGCCATACGCTGAGGAAACCATCAAGTGACATCACTAGACAAGCCCTCGAGTGGAACCCGAAAGGGAGGCGGCGAGTTGGTCGTCCAAGGGTGACTTGGAGGAGGTCATGCGAGGAGGAGATGAAAGCATGTGGACAGACCTGGAGCAGGGTGAAAAAGTTGTCAGAAAACCGAAGTCAATGGAGGTGCGCAGCTGAAGCCCTATGTTCCTCTAGGAACTAAAGGATACAATAATAATAATAATATTGATGAATTACAATCAGATGGGAAATAAGACTAATGTTTTTATAGTCAAAATAACTAACTTGTTAGAATGTTGTGATGTAGGTTAAAGGACCCGGTGGACCCAATTATACAAAATAATATAATTTACAAAATACCATGCAATGACTGTGAGGTCAACTACATAAATCAAACTAGTAGGTCGGGGGTAATCAGATTATCAAAACATAAGAATTTAGGTAAGGTAACAATGGTTGACCCCTAGAAGATAAATAATTTAGAAAAAAGCTCATCAATTGCGTTTCACGCATCAACACACAGCCACACAATAGGCATGGTGGGACACAGTCAAAATTCTAAGATGTAATCTATGTAGGTGGACAGCGAGAGAGATTGATTACTGAATCCTACCTGGTTCATTGAGTCTACACCAAACACAACACATGCAACAGAAGTGACTCAACTCAAATACCAGAAATATGGAAGATATTATTACCACGAGTCAGTCAGTCAAATCAGAAGACGATAATAAATAATCTTAAAATTCTAATTCGATTCACGTACATTGTAAGAACATCTTATTTCCCATCTGATTGTAATTGATCAATGACACTCATATTACTATTGTTTCTGAATGTACATTACCCTATATTAACTTTTATTCCAATATCTAATCGATTCCACACATGCATATGAATGAAGGGAAAAAGTTGTGTGAGTAGTGCCTTGATATGATTATGAGTGGCAATAATATGTGCTTGAAACATGGTCATCAGTTAATATAACTGTACAACACTGTGTGACACTTTATCAAAATAAAATTTTATCCATAATGGAGTTGTACTCTACCACAGTGCCCAAATTTTATACTTATATCAACTTAAAACGTTTTCATATTGCAGTTAAATAATCGCTTAATTGACTTCATGTTCTTTTGAATATGACAAAAGTTAATGCATGTGGTCACTTAATATACCTATGTGATGAGATTTCATTATGTAATCAACAGATAATGTTTTCATTGACTATGCTAGTGACTATAATGTCGAATTCCTAAAGAGACAGCCTTTTCCCAGTTTTCTGCAGGTGTGATACACACATTTGCATACAAACTGTAAACTATATAATATATATATATATATATATATATATAATATATATATAGACATCCAACAGTGTCGTACATTAAAGAATTCTTCGTAACTTATCTGTACATTGAAGTTCTCCCCTCTATTAGATTTCATTTGGTTCACTTTTCTAACTTCTAGGTGGATCACCAGTTGTACAGTTTCATATATGTCCAGAGAAACGTTTTATACTAACAAAGGATAGTGAAGGTGTAGTTGCAGTGTATGATGTCTTAAAGGTAAGTTCAATTCTTGTGTATACTTTTTTTAACGTGGTGAATAGGTAGGTATAGAATAGAATAGTTTGAATGTAACTTCAGAGCCTCATATGGCAGTCAAATCTCTGGCCCAATTTCACCGACTGTGAAAAGACCTTGGACAGCATTCACCGCGGATTAATTGGGGAACTGCTTCACCGTTATGGTATGCTCGAAAACCTTAATCACCCCTATTCAACAGCTAGATGACAATGGCATATGTCTGGTGATCCAAAACAGAAGTTAGACAAGACTGACTGCTTACTATCACCTATGATATTCCTAATTGTGCTGGACTGGATTGTGCAGAAGACCACTTATGTGGACCGAGAAGACAGAAATACGCTAGACCGCCGAAGACTCTAGAAGATCTGAATTTCACAGATTAATAATGTCTAGTGTCACACAAACTCGAAAACCGACAGGCGAAAACCAACAATCTGGCTGAAGAGACTGACAACAAAGCGAAGACTTGGAGTGAACGTAGAGAAGACGGAGGTGATGAAAATAATCGTCCAACAAATAACAATAACAGCCAAGCAACAGTCAATATCAACGGGCGAAATTTGAAGGAGGTCTCTTTCTACACTTATCTGGCAAGGAAGCATCGTTTCAACTACGGGCATTCGGTACGGATGAAGATGTCAAAACTAGAATTGGAAAAGCAACTTAGAAATCAATTTCGAAATCCGTTGAACTCTGTCTCACCATAATCCGGAAATTCCAGATTTTAAACACTAATGTTAAGTCAGTCAGCTCCTCTGAATGGGTCAGAAACTTGCATTGCGCGTCACGAAGAGCGTTTCCAACAACCAGTTGCAGACTTTAATCATTTGCTGCCCCCTTCGCTGGCTCCATGTTCAAGATCAAATGAGACTGTTGAGGAAGAATTAGGTAGAAGAAACTCCGACAACCACTGAACCAACAGGGGAGAACCTATTGTTCAACAAATATTCAGAAGAGAGTGCAGATGAACAGGACACACACGCAACTGAGATGACCGTTGAATGATATCACTTTCCAGACCATGGATCGATTGGAACCCAAATAGAAAGCTACAAGTTGACCGTTGGTCCTAGGGTAATATATGGAGGCGATCGTTAGAAGAGGAGATGAAAGACTATGGGGAACCGTAGGGCCAGCTGAAGATGACTAAGGAGGATAGGTCGAAGTGGAGATGTTCTGTTGAAGTTGTATGTACCACTCGCAACCCAAGGGAACAATAATACTAATAATTAGTTACTCTTTTTTAAATGTCTTGACTTTACGATCCCTTTGAAGAAGGTGCTGATAATTCAATCCTTTATGAAAACAAAAGAATGTAAGTATGAAACAAAGCGGATTGTAATTAGGCGTTGATTGAGGACAAAGTGAAAATCTAGATCACTGTATGAATGGTAGTCTGTTAATTCACTGGTTATTTCAAATAGCCTCAATCTATTAGAACAAAATATTATCTCCTTTCATTACATGGTAATCCTTGCTACTTATCTATCAGAAAATTTTCTTTGCCGACGAAGTCATCTACTAAGGCTGTACAATTGTATTATACGTATTTTGGCAACTGGCCAATTGGCAGATGTTAGAATTCGTGGGCTATTAGATTGGGTCCCAGTGGCTTAATGGTATGCTAGCTCGCCTTATAACCAGAAGGCCCTGGGTTCGAACCCTGTCGGTGGGCGTGTACTGATGAAGAGTCCCAAACTAGGCTGACGAAACAGCTGTCCGGTACTCCCAGGTTTTTGAATGGTTCTCTAACTAATGTCAGCTCATGATGAAAATCCTGCAACCAATCAAATTCCTACAAACCAATACTTGAATATGTATTTTTACCGAAAACGTACAGCAGTCTATTTTCGTATGTATGTATGTGTATAATTTGAAGCCTATAGAAATAGGTTGTGCAGTGAACAGAAAGTTTTTTTTGAATTTTGGCTTTTTAACGTAAGACTGATCCTACAGAGCTGGTCTACACCAGTTTCCAGTGTTAAGCATATGTTGTAAAGTTGTGTTAAATGTGTTGATCTCTTCACCTAGCTTGATAAGTTTCATTAAAGCCAATAGACTTGACCTCAGTCCCCTGGGTCGTTTGGATTTTGTCCTGGGTGTTCCACCTCTGGTTGGATCGTAGCTGCTCACTGTTGTTAGAAAGTACCACACACACACACACACACACACACACACCAGTGGAAGAAAACAGCTGTCCAGTGCCTCCTTGATTCATTAATCGATATCTGTTCGTAACAAAAATCTCCAACGAAGTCATTTTACAGATTCATAAACAATTTTAATTTGTTTTACTACTCAGTAGCATTTTATTTTAAAAGGAATACTTTCCCGCTTTTTATTTTGAACACACAAACGCAAACATACATACACACACACACGGAAAACAGGCATCAATGAGTGAATGTTTAGGTGTGGTTTCATTTGAAGAAGAAATAAAGAAACGCGAGAAACTCATCTACGTTCCAAATTGGTTTATTGTTGATTTGAAGTGTGGAGTAAGTTACACACTAACATTCCTATATAATAATATTACTCACCTTTTTCTTACTGTCAGTTTTTTATTTGCTGTTCATTACTTGATTTGAGCAATAAGACCAACAAGTATCAGTATGGTTAAGGCCAAGTTAAACTTTTTTTCCTTCACGTTCCCCAGTGGAACATAGGGCTTCCAGCTAGTGGATTGAAGTTTCTGTAGCAGTGTTTATTTTACAGGATGGGGTTGCTAGCCTCATGCCCAACCTTTCCGCTTTACCAGCATTATTTCTGGCTTAGCGAGGTAAAGGAGTGCGTCGTTCGGGGATCGAACCCTGGGCCATGTGCATGGTCGACGAGCGTCCTAACCGCTTTGCCACCGACGCACTAAGTTAAACTTTAAGCACCACTAACTGACAAAGGAGTGCGACCGCACCAATGACCTTAAAACACACACTGGGCAAGTCAGTGAAACCTGGCAAATAATTTTGTCAACATCAACAAAATATGCTTATCAAAGTGTTATGTTAGTAAATAGGATATCTGGGAAGTTTCAGCTTAGCTTTGGGAAAGATTGTGTACGCCTTAAGTCAAGGACAAGTTAGGGTTAGGCTAGCCTAATAAAGGCGACATTAGAGTTGGTTCGAGTTAGATTACGGTTAGTTTAGAGATGTTTTCACGTCACGGTCAGGTTCAGGAAAGGTTAGGGTTATTGTTAGGGTTAGAAGACCTAAATAATTACCTGCATAGAATGTGGTTAAATGACTTTGTTCATATAAGAATCGTACTTGTGCACTGTGGCGGTAGAGTATAATTCCATTGTGGATAAAATTTATTTTGATAAAGTCTCACAATTTTATACAATAATATTTACTATTGACGTTTCGAGCACAATTTATTGCTCAGTAAATAATAATGTATAACACTGTGAGACTTTATCAAAATAAATTTTATCCACAATTGAATTACACTCTGTCGATACTCCAACCTATAACTGAGAGCTATTTTTATCAAATGTGAGGGGAAAGTATCCTCTGTAGCACTTTTCTGCATTGTTTTTTTCATAAATATATGTATTCCATACACAAAAATGCCTCCTTCACATGATTGGTGCGTTCAAGGTCATTCGCTGATTGGTTGTAGTTAGTGGTGTTTAAAGTTTAACTTTGCCATGGTTAGTCAATTAGAGCTCACTTACTACTGGGAATAGGCTATGAGCTCTACCTATTGTTTGATGGTTTACCATACTGCCCAGTTGCCCAGACTGTACTGATTGGGTCGGGATTCGAACATGGGTCTAGTAGAGTAGGCTTCAAGTCGAGTTTAGAGAAAGACGTAAACAGCAGCGAAGTAAATTTTCTTTTCGATGATTAATTTTTCATAATCTGTACAATCGTATACGTATATTTAATAAAGAATTCGTTAGGCCAATCAGATGCCGGTTGAATTTGTCCTCGAAAATGTGTTACTTAATGTAAGGTGTAGTCTAGACGGGGTGACTAATTGGAAATTAGAACAGGGGTAGCAGTTGGGATGACGTAATAAGTGTGAGAAAAGGACTAGTCACTATATAATTGTGTAGAATGGACACGAACTAGTGGAAAGACGATAAAGTGTTTTTACATAAAATCTGTATGAAAACGCAAAGTTATTTATTAATAAACAGTAATAGAGTGATAATAAAATAAGGATGATGAGAGTAATAATAATAAACTTACATAATAAAAGGAAGCAAAATTATAGTGATAACGTTACTCTGGCCATGGTAGGGTGATGAGGGAATGTATGCAGTGCTTTTGAATGCAGAAGTCCGGTTTCAGATCCCGAATAGCTATGTACAGACGGTGTATTCAAAGTCCTTTCGTACGATATTGAGGGGTTTCGTGTAGCACTGTGCACAAGTATTCGTGTGGGAGTGCTTCATGTCGAGAGTTGACAGGTGTTCGAGAATGTAGCTACTAGTATTCTTCATTTCATCTCTGGCTAGCTAGCCAAGCCGGACAGTGTTCCAAAATAGGTTTTCAGACTTGATGTTGTGTATGGACGATATAATTGGTTCTCCATGAACAAGTAAACTGATAAATACATAATCAGGTAGCCAAAAGCGGTATCTCATCCTTAACGTTTCACTGGAATAACTGTCTGCTGGAGAATATGATGCGTTGGGTGACTGCTTGAAATGTCTTTTACAGAAATTAAGAAAGGTTTGTGCTCCAATATCACCTTGGAACTCTAAGTTCACGAAGAGAGTTTTCTCACGAACAGTTGAGAATTTTAGTGACGGGGGTTTTCCTTTCGTGTTATTGTCAATATATATCGTTCTCCAGTAGAGTTTCACGTAGTAATTTTAATTCATTCTCTATTGTATCTTCCGAACAGATTTTTCAAATCCTTGAGCATTAATGTAGGTATTGAGTTTCGCTTTTGAACCAGTGGGACAAAGCTCTGGAATTTGATAAACTGTCCCATCTGTGTTGATTTGTAGTATATTGTATCGAATAGTCTTGTATTCTATTAAGTAGTACATCTGGGGATGGAAACGACATATTTGCTCCACTAATCCATGAGATTTTTTGACTTTCGAATTAAGCCACATGGAGAAGTGTAGTCTACCTGTCTGTGATTCTTAGAAAGCTAAGAATCAATGGCTGTAGACTGTTGGTGTCAAACCGTTTTCACTGGCAATAAGTGTGAAAAGTGACTAATCAATATAATTATTTAGAGTGAACAAAAACTAGTGGAAAGACGATAAAGCGTTTGAAAATACAATTTTATTAATAACAGTAATAGTGATTATAACATAAGTATGATAATAATAATGAACTTGCATAATGAAATGAAACCGAATTATGGTAAAAACGTTACTCTGGCCATAGTAGGGAGAGCGGATGTATGCAGTGCTTTTGAATGAAGAGGTCAAGTTCAGGATCTCGAATAGCCAATGATTCAGCTATGTATATATAGCGTATTCGAAGACGTTTTATGTGGTATTGGGTGGGGAACTCTGTGTGACACTGTGAAGCATTCACGCGAGGGTGCTAGATGTCCAGATTTGATAAGGTGTTCGCGGATAGAGCTACTGATATTCTTCATTTCATTTCTGGCTACCTAACCGAGCTGGATAGTGTTCCAGAATACGTTTGCGAATTTGACGTTACGTACGATCGATATATTTTGCTCCACATAAACAAGTAAACTGATAAATACACAATGAGGTGAAAACTAACTGTCGAAAAGAAAATTTTCTTCACTGTTTATGTCTTTTTCGTATCATTCAGTTTGGAAATATTCTGTTCATTGAAGTCGAGTTCTGAAACCATTCAACCAAATATCTATACTTGAGTCATAAATGAGGTGAGTACACGTGTGGCTTACTGTTCCAGAATTTGTCAGGATGATTTATTCACATATCTTGGTGTTACCTTGTGAATAACAGGACGTATTGTGCGTTATTGAAAAATATTCGTCGAAATTCAGTCAGTTATACCATATCACTCAAACTGTCTGTCAGTTTTCCTTTAATAAAACTGAGTTGATTTATTGTGATGAACCAACAATAGCACTGTGCAGGTGTAACACTAACAAAAAACCAATGCTAAACTCGCATTTGTGCATCGGTGGTTCACAGATATGGAATTCTCGTCAGTTATGTCTCACGTGGGCTGGGGTTCGATTCCCGACTGAAACACTCCCAACCCTCGCTTAGCTGGTAGCAAGGCACCAGTAAAAATGGAATGTTGGGTGTGAAGCTAGCAACCGTTCCACGTAAAAGTAAACACCGCCGCTACGGAAACTTCAGAGCTCTATCTGATGTCCTGTTACTAATGTCATGGTCGTAGAAGAGGTTGGACAAAGAAACATTTCTGAACACGATGAAGTCAAGGTTTATCCGTATGACTGATTGCTAAGGTTTTAGCTGGATGATTAAGATGTGGGCGAAATCCTTTCGAACGACTTGCTCGTGTTTTATATGTGTGACTGTGAAAGGCGTCTATGCTGATGTTGATTGATGCATCACCAGAAATAATAATATGCTCCAGAATTGATTGAGTTGTTAGCTGTTCTATCTTCTCCTTTTGACAACCATCATACTGGTAAGCGTTCATGGGCACATGTCGCTTATTCTCCTCGAGTTAGTGGTGTTGTTGTTGGGTTACTTTGGCTTTACTTAAACAGGTACGCATAGTAATATGTTTTCTTCTTTTCCCCACCCCGTCTTCGTATCATTTTCTCAGATGCCTATAATTCACTTAGATGAAGGTGATTGTTTATCTGCCTATATTAATGCCTCTGATGCTGGTCTCCTGAATGAATTCAGCGATCATAATGAGAATAAAAACTCGAATTATTGTTATGATACTAAAAGTAAGTAGATGATGTGTTTGCGTACGTATGTGTATTCGTATTTTTGAAATTATTTACCAGTTTGGTGATATTTAAAGAGTTTAGTAGTAAATGTTTATGGATCTAAACCTCCAATTTACTGTTGTCTTTTAAATTCACAGGCGTATTCTGTACTGTTCACTCGAAAAACCAAGTTTACTTATAAAACAATAATGGATTTTGTTTCAAGCTTGATTATGGATTGATATTGGTTAGAGGACCGTTACATCGGTGAAACAGCGGTAGCATGCTCGCCAACTAACTACGCATGTGATTTGTGGTCTGAATCCTAGCCAACGTATCCCTAAGCCTCGCTAAGCCGGTAGTAGGATCGATGAAGAGAGACACTTAGGTGTGAGGCTAGGAATCCTCATTAGGTTGAAATAAAACCACTGCTGGGAACGTAAATGAATAAACAAGGAATCTTTGAAAACCAGCAGCTATTTCGTCAGGCTAGTTTGGGATTCATCGGGGCTCTAACCCAGGACCTTCTGGTTACAAATGAAGCTCGTAGACCATTCAGTCACTGGGGCCCGACTCAGTGGTCAGTCGATGAATTCTAACTTCTCTTAATTCGTGATTTTATCGCTACTGGCGCCAGCCAATGTGTCATTGCTGGCGAGTATTTGTCTTCACTGCCGACTGGGTGAACTCCATTGGTCGAAAATATTTGCCAATGAAGGTCGTTTTTAGGTTCATGGGGATGCTTTTTATAGTGCTGGAATCTTGCGAATAAGGATTCAAGACGATCTCCTAGCTAGCAGTTTTTAAAGACAAGCATCGAGTTTTATATCATTTTGTGACTAATTTTTTGTTAGCCATATTTTACAAAGTTTGTAGTTACGTTAATAAAATGTAACTCACTTAGTCATTTACCCATAAATGTTTCTATAATCATCGAACCCGGTGGGTGTGTACTGTCGCTGAGTCTTTATCTGGGGCAAAACGACTGTCCAGCACTCCAGTGCTGCTTTCCAAGGGTTCTCTAACTTATATCGATCTGTGGTCAAACTTGCCCGACCGAAAGCTGCTACCTTGACGTGGTGGTCGGGCTTGAACACCGCAATGACCTAATCAAGCTATACTGGCTGAGACTTATGTCTCTTGAGGTTCTACCATGCCAGGCAGGTTGTTTGGATAGCGGTTAAACAAAAAGCAGCTACCCCATCCAATACCATGATTCAAACAAATTCACAAAATTTCATGCCGGATCGGCCGTGGCCCGGATTAAAAACGACTGCGCTTCCTGCTGCCGTGTCACAGGGCAGGAGTGATGAGTATGCTACTGAGGCACACCAAACAAAAGAGAACAAACAAAAACAGGCCGCGTGTGACCGGCCTCAAGCAGTTGTCCCCTGGGCTCTGGAGTCACGCAACCAACTTCCACGGTGTGGGCAGCCGGGAAGTAACAAACGCCCTCACAATCCGAAATGCACACCGGTCAAACTTGAAACGATAATGGATACCAATTATTAATGTTAGGCGGCAGGAAAGCCCTAGATCTGACCTAGGTTTCGTGTTTATCGACATATGTCATCATGCTGTATCTTCAATCTTGAAGTGATTGATGCCCCCTTGAAGATTTGAAACCACATGACACACTCGTTAATCACCAGTCGTCAATGGGTTTAGTCATTATTACACTCCTGCAGGGTGTCGTCACTCATGGGTTGTGCTATGTTTGTACATATGGAGTGCTTTGCTTTACTTGCTTTACTTCGGCTATCTCCTACGGGAGGATGAGCCGGCTTCATGAACGTCTCGAATCATCGCTGCCCAGGCGCGGCGATCTGATGCAAGGTTTTGCCACAGGGTTTTTTGTTTCTGAGTCTGTTAATTGTTTTAGCTATTTCGGTTGGAGTGGGTGGATCACAGTCAACTACGTAGGGTGTTGGTAAGTGTCGTATCGGTCGATGAGACGGTTGACCAGCGTTGCGATTGAGTAGCTGCTTGAAATGTTCGGCCCATCGTTCCATCTTACCATTGGTGTCCGAAATAATTTCTCCTGATGCTGTGCGTAACACAGCATGACTGTTAAGGCGTTTGCCAGATGATAGGCGTATGAGGCGATAAAGTTTTCCGAAATCGCCTACATTTGATGCTGCTTCCATGTTAGTCGCCACATTAGACCAATAGCGATTTCTGTCATTCCTAGCAGACTGTGTAGCTTTGCGCCTGAGGGAGCGATAAACTGGAGACTTTGCTAGGCGAGCGTCTCTGGCTTGCGAGGATAGATGCATGGTGTGCTCTGAAATCCAGTCTTTCTGCTTGTTGGATGTGGTACCCAAATGCGACATTGAAGCTTTAGAGACTACTTCTTTGAAATGATTCCATCGTGTCTCAGGTGTATTAGAAGATGTGGATGTTGGTTCATCTGCGGCGCTTAGTTCGGCCTGGATTTGTTTGGACAAGGCTTGTCGCTTTGTCGAACATTGAAGCGGGGCAACATTGATACGCTTCGGAGGTCGCGCCTTCTGGCGTGTTGTTAAACGAAGTTTGAATTTCGCCCGAACTAGAGTATGGTCTGATCCCCCTTTATTTCCGGCCTCTGCGCCACGATAGGATCGACAGTCTTCCACCGAGGAGATCCAGCGTGAGCGCACTAGGATGTAGTCGATCTGATGTGCAGTGCGACCGTCGTTCGAATACCAGGTGAGAAGATGTTTTCTGGGGTGTTGAAATCGAGTGTTGGTGATATATAATCGATTGTAATCAGAAAAAGCTAAAAGTCTATCACCATTACGGCAGCGCTGATCGAGACCGTGTTTGCCTAGTATATGTTTTGTCGCGTCGTCTGAAGGGCCAGTGCGGGCGTTCCAATCGCCGGCTACTATGAGAACGTCACGCTTTGGGATTTTGTTGATTGCCTCTTGAAGATTGTCATAAAATTCGTCTTTGATACTTTCATCAGAGTCGAGGGTTGGGGCATAGACAGCGAGAACAGAAATGTCGAGCGGGGAACCCTTGAACCTAGCGACTGCAACTCTGGAGTTGACCGGTTCGAATGATATTAGGGCATTATTGGCTTTGTTACTGAGAGCAAATGCTACCCCATGTTGTCCCGAATTATTCTGGGGTCCACTATGAAGCAACCAGAATGAAGAATCTGTTCCAGGTACGGCTATTCGGCGGGAGCCATGATCGGGTAACCTCACTTCAGATAGACACGCTATGTCCACCTTGTAGTCGTATAAAGAACGCATGGTGATAGACTGGCTACCAGGATCCAACAGCGTCCTAACATTCCAGCAGCCAACAAATAGTTGGTTTCTAAGTGTTAATTTCCCAGCTGACTTACTTTTCACACTGGCCACCGGGTGAGCACAGGGCGCGTCGCTTACCGGGAACGCCGTAGCATGGTGAGAGTTGTTTGTAAGAGAGTTCATGAAGTTTCATGGGAATTTGGTACGAGTGATGTCCCCAGCATCGCTCGGCCTTTTGTTTGAGAGTGCAGCTCTAGCCTTTACACAACCAAGTGTGACCTACAAGGCAGTAGGAGTGGAGTAGGGAGTCCACTATCCATTGGCAGCCGGTGACCGGAGTTCGGTTCATACGCCTTTTTGAATGGGGCCAGACATCCAGGACATCCAACAAGCCCTTTGTCCATACGTCTGCCGGTGAGCTCCAGTGAGCTTCATACGCCAGTCGTTGGAGGTTTGGAATCAGGGTTTAGCCATCTCCCCTAGACTGTCATCCAATGGACAGTCAACCCGGTGAAGAGCGCCGGGCATCCGCTTTTGCCCTCTCACTTTGGTGAGAAACACCTCCGCCACGTGAAGGCAGTGAGTAGGACTTCCTCAGGAGAGGCAATGTAAGACGCCCGGTCATATGGGAGCATTTCAAGAGGTGTGCGGAGGGGTGGCCAACCCGCAGCGCAAGGCACCCACCCCGACCATCCTGAGGCTTTGGAGGCGTACATATGGAGTATGGCAACTTGAACTTCTGTGCTCATGTGGAAGGTTCTAGTTTGAAAAATTAGTCTTAGTCGAAATGCTGCTGACTACAGCATGAGGTAATGCAGGTTCACTTCTGGAAAGGGACATTAAGTTCTTTAAGGTTGTGTAGAATAAGCACGGAACCCATGTCCAAGAAGGTTACACGCGACACTGGATTTAACTCCATGTAACATTCGTTCAAAATGCTCACCACGGTAACGAGTCCTCTAGGTTAGTAATCACACCGGGAATTCATCTGTTCAAATTCAGTCCACAAATACTCAGGACACGACAATAGATTATTAAGATTAGTATTTTTGAAAATATTCAGTGTCTGATGTCGTCGTTGATTAGTCGGACCGAAATGTTCGGCCTCTGCTGACATGTCGGCGCCTAGTACGATCTATTCGACAATGTCTGAGTATTAACTTGAAGTAATTTAGGAAGTGGTGACTAGTAGTGGAATTCGTGATGCACATTTCGTCCTACGTGGGAATGACTCCTTAACTGGATGTACCTGCGTTCCACACTGAGTCATTGATTGTGTTCCAACTGATATTCGAACACAGTACCCATATTTTCAAACGCCAAAGCGTTATCCATTTGACCACTTGGGCCATGCTTTGGCGTTCAAAACGGTGGGTATTGGGTTAGGGTCTCATCAGGGCTGCCACCACTCACTGAGGAATGCAGCAACATCCAGATGACAAGTTAGTGCAGAACAAGACGAAATATGCATCGTCCTGGTTTCCACTGCTAGTCACCATTCACGAAATTATAAAGATTAGTTCTTTATCGCTTTGTGTTATAATTTAGCTATCCACAAAGTACATATTTCTCGATATATTACTTCCTCGTACAGAAAGAATTCTATTTGTACTCTCATAATGTGAAGTTGCGGTGAAACGAAGACAATTTTAGCAAGAATGTTTGTCTTAAAAAGTTGGTAAAGATTTCTACAATAATAACTAAGTGAAATAAAATGCTTCCACATGATATTTAGGCAATTACTGGTCGTGATAACCTGATCAAACGAAGTAAAACCACAGCTAACTGCACTAGCACATAAAGTAATCGATTAACCATAATCAGTTCATATACAGAGTCAATCGATGTCGTTGATATTATTGATATAAGTATAAAACTTGGGCACTGTGGTAGGGTATAACTCCATTATTGGATAAGATTTTACTTTGATAAATTACACAATGCTCATAATCATATGAGCAATAGTTTGTGCTTGAAACGTCATCAGTTAATATTACTGTATAATACTGTGTGATTTATTAAAATAAAATCTTATTGATATTAGGCGGTATTTTTATGATATGTGAAACCTTATAACGTAGTTTTTTTTCTATCTTATATGAAAATGCTGTGTGCGTCAGTGGTTCTGGGGTAGAACGCTTTCCAACTATATCGAAGGTCTAAGGTTCGATAATTCACCGACTCACTCCTAATCCTCGATAACCTGGATAGATAGGGAAGGTTGGATATGAGGCTAGCAGCAGCTTCATGCAGGTCTACTAAAACTTCTAAGTTCCAGCCTGAAACTTTGTGTTCCACTCGGGATGTAAATGAATATGACAAAAAAATGTGTGTGAAAATGCTGTCATGTTGTTGAAATTTAGTATCGAATGTGTTTATTTCGCTTTTCTCTCTTTTTCTACTTTCTAGTTAATTATGGTTTTGTGCTACTCAGATCATTGTTTGCACGTCGGTTACCTGTTGCTTCGGGAAACAATAATTTGGACAATGGTATGTACTCAGTGTGTGTGTGTGTTGGTGTGTGTGCATGAGTGTATATGGGTGGCTACTATTTCTGCAAAATTTGATATTTTTTTCAAATCTGCTTTTTTCCTTTCGTATGCTTATTTCATTTCATCTGTTTTCATATGGATCAGAGAAGAAGTTGTACAATTCAAGAGGAGAATAAGTATGGACATTTTGCAGACTGACACGTATCGCTGTCAGCGAATTTCACTTAAAAGAAAATAGTAATTAAAGATTTTACAGATTTTGAATACAGTTCAGGGGAAAAGAATTACAGTTATTGTCTGATTGATGAATAACTTAAGTTCAAATTGTCTTAAGCTAAATTCCTCCAAATCGCAGTCAGTCAGGTTGTTAATTTCACATTCTGAGGCAAGCACAACTTACATGAACTGGTTAGTTCATATGGATCGACTATCAAAGATGCCACAGAAGTTGAAATTAAGTAAGATGTCATTTCTTCTGATCGGTTTTCCTGGTCTTCCTACATCATGTCGGTGTCTAGAAAGATATTTCGTTTAACCTTCTACGTAAAGAAGTCAAAACAATCTTGTATCACTCAGTCTCTACTTTATAAGTTTGTTAATTCTTGTGTTCTTACTGTCCTTCTTAGCTGCTCCTCCACACTTTATCTCTCCTGGGTTACTTAAGAAAGACTGCTTTGTTGTACTGCGAAGGGAACTAAGAACTGTCGTTGGAGTGCGATTGTACTATCGTTAAACCAACTCGTTAACACTGCTGTTGTAGACAGACACATGGACTCATGCAAGAAATTAGGGATTATTATCTTGTCAGACCCTGGGCGTCCTCTATATACACAACTCTCTCCTAGCATCTGTCTCATCAGGTAGAAGTAGAAGCAACTATAGAAGACTGTAATAATAATAATGATTTATTTTACAGAATGGAATTTTCAGCATTAATCACAATGTTGCATCTAATTTCCTCAAATTATAAATATAAAATGAATCACACAGAAAATTTTCCACATTTACAATAGGGGTAATGTCAGAAACATGCAGCATATAAAATGGTAATAACAATAATAATGATAACAGCTAGGGTAATAATAATAATACAAGTGAAAATTGCCGTGGGCTTGTTTCACACAGTATTGTCGATTCGGTATAGCATGTTTAAAAATATTGAATATAATGTTCTCTTTACATGAAATGGTGAGCGGGAAAACAAAGATTACAGCAGTCATAGAGATAAGTTGGTGTTTGCAATTATGAGAGTAAAACAAAGAAGCAACAGGACCATAAATATAATAGAAACAATAAAAGTAAAACTCGAAGGTGTTTAAGGATGGATGGAGGAAATTGTTTATTTACTAGATGAAAAAAGGTTAGTTAATTCTTTCCTGACACTATTTTCATCACATAAAATACGTGCCAAGTATGGTATCATAGAATTCTTATACTTAGATGTGCGAGCATACAGTTTTCTGAAGTTACTTCTTGTTCTACCTGAGGAGATGCAAGGTGAAAGCTGAGGGTAAAGCGGATGCTCCAAGTCAGACAAAATCCCTTTAGCAAATTTATTGCACGAAGTCAATCGACCATCGACAACGATGTTAACTATGTGGTCCACTGGGACACCACTCACCCTACTGACAGTCTTCAGCATTCTACGAATTGTGACATAGTCCTTTTTAAGCAAACTAGGAAAGAATTAGGGGGAACAATAAAGAAGAATAGGTAGGATGCAGGAGTTTATGAACTGTAAGAGGAGGGGTTGAGTTATACCCGAGTGCCTTAACTTCTTAATGTAAAATGTCAGGCGGAATATTTTACTGGAGATCGCTAAGACATGGGAAGACCAGGAGAGATCAGAAGAGAGAATGAGTCTAAGATACTTAATTTCTGATTTGATTCCTATATCATTGTCGTCAATCTTACAACTGTCATGAGAATCGATGACTTCTTTTAACTGTCTTTTACATCTTAAGCTGAAATCAACAGTTTGACACTTAGAAGGATTCAGTTTAAGACCGTTAGACTCAGACTATTTACTGACTCCCGACAGAAAGCTATTTATTTTGGTACAATCTAGCTGGGAGTTAACAGCCATTGAAACTGTTAAATCATCAGCTTACTTCACAAAGTTTATTTCATCAGAGTGAGGTAAGTCATGTAAGGAGAAAGAGAAAAGAACAGAAGAAAGGATAGCGCCTTGAGGGACACCAGCTTCAGTAGGCAATGAAGTGGAAGACTTCCCTTTATATACGGTGTACTGCTTTCTATCTGAGAAATAGGAATGTAACCAGTTAACAGCCCAACATTCTGTTTGACTAGCAGCAAGTTTATTTAATAAGATGTCCCTAGGGACCGAGTCGAATGCAGATGTATAGTCTAGGAAGGCACAACGAACAAATTTAGCCCCCTTGTCTAGACTGGAAGCAATGTTATGATATTAGACGGCAGCTGCATCTAAAGTGCTTCTACTGTGCTTATAGGCAAATTGTTTAGGGTCATTAAAGGATTTAAGCGAAGGTACAAGACTAAGTAAAAGTAATTTCTCCATAGTTTTCAGAAAAGGAGAGGTAACAGCAATGGGTTTAAATTTGACACATGCTCCAGTAGATAATTTAGGTATAGGTCCAACTTTAATGTCCTTCCAAACGGCAGGCTGAATATTACTGTATGCTCGGACGACTAAGCATAAGAACTCTCCAATACCGCATTTGGCTGGGACACATTTTATGTGATGACGGGAATGTAAGGCGGAACACTAGCACCAACTTACTGCGAAACACTAAGTAAACGGCCTTTTTTTCTTTTCCATTATTGCACTACTGTTAATAGTTTTACTTTATTTAATTTTATACTTGAATAGTATAATCAATGTAAATGGCGTGTTAAAACACACCATTCACTACCTGTGTATTTTTAGAAAATTAGACGTAGTACTGTACTTTATACTGAAAACTCCGTATTTTTACTAAAATACTGTTTTGAATGAAGCTATTATTATTATTATTATTATTATTATTAATTGTTTCAACTCCTAGAGATTCGACTCTCTTTCATCGGGTTAAATAATTCAGTCAACTATTTGGATTTCTTTATATTTTCCTTCGTAATATTTTACAAGGTTATATTACTTTTATTATGCATAATACTGGTCTGTTTACAATTGATTGATGCTCACCTTTAGGTCGTAATGAACTGGTTGCGGATCAAATTTTAGAAATTCCTGGACATACTCCAATCATACTAAGGTATTAACAGTAATAACAATAATAATAATACTAATTTTCATTAATTATAGTGACGGTAGTGGTCGACCACTTGATCGATTATTAGCTCGTGATGCTTCATCATTCAGTGTACGATTACGTCGGTGTAGTCCAGAGCCGAAATGGATTATGGAAATTGTAGAATCTGTAAGTTGTCCTGTCTGTGTTTATCTCGTGAGTCTTGCTTTATTGGAGGTTGGGAATATATTTCATCTATCGCTTTCAAGTGTTTGGTATATGCATGTCATAGATGGGGTGACTGTCAGTTGGTTTATGATGTTATCTTATAACCAGCAGTTATAATGAATCCCTTCAAGACAGTCAACATCAAGCTTTTTAATTGTAGCTCAACAACAGTCAGTCGAAAATTTACTATTTGTACCTGAATAGTTTTGAAAGCAACAAGGTTGAACGAAAGCTTCAGAATTTACCTCGTAATCTTTCTTCTATGGGTTCCGAGTAGCACATAGGGCTTTAAGTCTCGAAGTTTCAGCAGATGTGGGGACGCTGTCCACACTCCTGACCGTTCCTCTCTTCCAGCCTTACTATCTATCGGTTGGCTAACTAAACGAATTGAATCAGGAGTATATTGATCGGGAATCGATTCCCCTAATAACACGCGTGGTTGAATCACCAAACAGATCCATCCACTATTTGTGCATAATTTGCGGGTTACTGTTCACGCAAACTTCGGTTACTTGAGAAAATCTATTTAGATAGAATCCTTTTCTGGAAGCTCAGTTTTTAAGTGAGTAAAGCGTTTGTAACATTGTGTGTTTGTGCACCATGCATTGTCCCTGAATTCCAGAGCTCATATGGACCATTAATTCAAGGATCAGGATAAACTGATTCATCAAGACTTTTGGAAGTTTTTCTTAATTTTAAAAATTTCGTCTTGTGTCTAATGATGAAAGTAAGGAATTATCGACGAGGAAAGTTGCGACTAGAAAGTATATAAGAGTCTCAGGTAGCATCGACTGAATGGTGTAAATTGATAATTGAATCAGTTAGGTTTCTTTTGAAAAATAAACTGTCTGGAGTTCTATTGAGAAGTCGTGACTACCATTGGGGGGATCCATCGGGTTGGGAGTGGGGACAAATACACATTGACCGGTGCCTGTTGCGCTGGTCATTGAGTCAGGTCCCAGTGACTGGATGATCTATGAGCTAGCTTGACTTGTAACCGGAAGGTCGTCGGTCCGAATCTTGGCAGTGGGATAGGTGGGTGGCTGATGAAACAGGCGTCCAGTGCTTGAGTACTGGTTCTCAATGGTTCCCCAACTGATGTCAATCCGTGCTCAAATTTAAAAATCAAATGAAATCCTTATAAGCAAACTCTTGAAGAAAATACCATCTTGTTACATCATATCAGTGAACTTGTGGTGTTTAACTCACATTGTATTATATTGTTTACTTTCCTACAGTGTAAGCTGCCCAAACCTGTGCGTATAGCATTTTGTCTGGTACCTGCAGTCATCGAAGTAGACAATCAAGGACAACAGTAAGTACTTGCCTGACTTCTCTTTTGGTGCTTGTTTATTTTCACAGTGCACAATTTTAGTCCTTTCTTACACATAATCACTCACTTATCTGTGTTGTATATTCTTTTCCAAGAAGTTGAACCGATAAGAGTTGTTACTTTTAAGGACTTAATTACCTGGAGATTTTCGTATACCAGGATATCAGCTCTATCCCTGTAGTGTGAACAAGTGTGATACTAATTCTCATCCTCCTAATTTGAAGTAGGTTGGATGGGATTTGAACCCTTGGCGCATATAATGAAAAGTTGAGTGCCTTAACCAATGAAACCACAACTCCATGACCAATAGAAGGCAGTTACGCGTACATTAAACTAAACTCTACCTAAAATGAATGAAGAATCCCATAAACGCAAGAAAGAAATTCCGACAGTAATAATTACTACAGGTGTGAACTGAGCTGTGCTCTACTGACATCTCAATTGGTTTTTTAAATGATTATGGAGAAAAGGTGGAAATCTCAGCTGTGAATAGTTTTTATATAAACTGACGGTGTATTTAATTATTTAAGCAGTTCAGAGTTCTTGGTTTATCTAAAACTACAGGATACACTTGATACAGTTTCATTACGAAACTGTTGCCTCATTGGAATTCCAGCCTACTTGAGATGTTGTTTCTGTGTTGTGTGTCAGGTCAACAAATTGAGAAAGTAAGTTTAGCTTGACTTTTTAATAGCCTTGCCTGGTGCAAACTGATTGGTTAGTTGATAGATTAACGTAAACCTGTTTTGTCTTTATCAACCAAGTAGGACAAATGATCAGTGTACATGACGTTTATATATATCTTATATGACAACATAATATAACATGCCCCAAATCTGTATTAAACAGCTATCTGATGGCAATTGGTGGATGGTAGCTAGCAGTGGAATACAGGATGCGCATTTCGTCCTATTTGGGACTCGCCAGCTGGATGTACCTGCACTTCTCAGTGAGTGATGATGTTCCCACTGAGGCTCGAACCCAATGCCCATAGTTTCAAACGCCAAAGCGTTATCCACTAGACCACTGGATTCCACTGCTAGCCACCATCCACCAATTGTACACTAATTAAATGCCCAGACATCGTCGAAGCATCTGCACAAGAAGTCGACATGTCAACCTGAGACCGAGCACTTCGGTTTAATCAATCGACGGGAAAATCAAAAATTCAATTCAATAGCTATCTGATAATGTCACGGAAAATTAACTGAAACGTTTAAATTGAATACAGGAGTAAGACAAAGCTGCCCACTATCACCGATGATCATATTTCTAATTGTGGTGGACTGGATTATGCGGCAAAGTTAAACTTTAAGCATCACAAACTACCAATCAGCGAATGACCTTGAATGCATCAGTCAGATAAAGGAAACATTTTGGTTTATGGAAAACACATATTTATGAAAAAAAATACCTAAAAACGTTGCATAGGATACCTTTCCCTGACATGTGGTGAAAACATCTCCCAGTTTAGCACAGGAGTATCATTTGGAAAGTTACACCACAATCTATACATATATTCATCTAAATGACTATAAAAGACAACCTTTTAAAAACCATTAGTGTCCCTACTCCTGCTTTTTAACTTTCCCCAAAAGTCTTCCATAGAACTGATGTGTGTCCCTGTAATGGGATCCATAAAATCATTAGAATGGTTCTCTGTGTAGTGAATATATCCAAGGGATGATAGGAAGTTATAACCTTTTCACTCATCACGTGTACGATGACACCTTCTCCTCTTAATAACGAAGTGATTTTCTCCATTTTCCATGATGCGATATCTCTGCAGTGCTGGTACCACTGAACTGTTCATAGGAGACTATTTTCTGTGTTTCAACACCTACACGTGTCTCAGGCTGTTTTAAGGCGCAGTAACTACAAATATACAAAATCTGGGTTGAGGACAAGTAGGACCTGACAAAAAATGTTTACTACGAAATATTCGAATCTCCAGCTTACCTTCCCTGACATTCGACTCGAATCAAGCAGAATAGAACCTTCAACTTACGTGAATGAAACTCACTGGACCATTCAAGGTGGTCATTCGCTGATTGATAGTTATTGGTGCTTAAAGTTTAACTTGACCGATTATGCGGACGACTGTGCGTTGAAGCGGGAGGACAAAAATACTCTGGATGGATAAGAAGACTCCTGAAGATCTGGATTTCACGGACTACTTTTGTCTGATGTCACACAAACTCGAAGACTTACAGGCTAAAACCAACTAGTAGGCAAAGAGACAGGCAGTAAACACGGGACTTTGAGTGAATATAGAGAAGACGCAAGATAACCAACGAGCAGCAACGACAAGCATCAATTACTATTAATAGGAGAAATCTGAAATAGGTTACTTCCTTCACTTATCTGGGCAGGAAGCATTGTTTCAATTACACGCACGGATGATGAGGATGTGAAATCCAGTCAAGATCGAAAAGGCAAGATAGACCTTCATTATTGTAAAATCAGGTTAGAAATCTTCTGCATTCAACCAATATCGAGAGCAAAATTAGGATTTTCAACACAAATGTTGATTCAGTCAGTCAGTCAGTCAGTCCGTTCTTCTATACAGGCGAGAAACTTGGTGTGTGCGGCTTGAAAGGCATTTTCAACGGTCCACTACACACTTTTATGAACAACTGGCTCTATATTGAAGATGAAATGGCTAACCAGAAAGTATTAGCAGTGAACAAGAAACTCTGGCAATGAACGAATCGATACCCGAAAACCTATCGCTCAAAAATATCTTAAAGAAAATAGAAATGGATGGGACACACGACACTAAGGGAGACCGTTGAATGACATCAATGCACGCCATCTCTCGAGTGGAACCTGAATGGCAAATGATGAGTTGGGTTTGAGTCCTAGAGTGATATGGAGGAGATTGTTTTGGAAGGAGATGAGAGACTATGGTCAATCGTGGGGTCAGGTAAAGAGGGCCTGAGAGTGTAGGACAGAGTGGAGATGTGCTACTGAAACACAATGTCCCAATCAGAACTTAAGGGAACAAAATTTATAATAATAATAATAATGACATCACCTAGCGGTAGAGTCATATTAGCAGACGTTAGTATTCATGTTCCATTGGAGTGCATCACACTGACCGAATAGTCAGTGGTGTCTCACCTCGTAATTTATAGGTTTTGGATTCGGTAACCAGTTGGGTCACGGGTGCGTAATGATGAAGAGTCCCAAACAACGACGAAAGAGCTGTCCAATACTCTCTAGTTTCTAGTGCTTTTCTAATTGTGGCTGGTTAATGATTTAACTCAATTTATTAAAGTTTCATAAGCCATATGAAAAACCAATAGGATTTAGGTTTGCTTGTTATGAAGCACACTGTCACATATCAAAGTGCAAAGTTCTATGTCGAAAACAGACAGACAGACAGTCACATATCAGTCGCTGTTCACTGAATACTAAAATCTTGTATAGATATACAGCACATGATTTCTGTATTGAAGATTCCTACATAAATCAGTTGCATTACCTATTTATTACGTGTAATCTACGTCACACGTTCCGTCTTGTCTACGACTTATTAACGGAAAGTTCACAATTATGGTGTTATGTTTCCCTTCTAATCAACATACAAACGGAGAATCACTATCGCAATTAAATCGTTGAGCTCAGAGATTACAATCACAGGAAAAACCTTCCCCCTGATTAATTTTCATCTATTAATTACTCTTGGTATAATAAACATTTTCACCAATAACATTGTGGTTTCTGGCTTTTTCCTTCTTGACTAGACGTGTTGTACCAATGAATTCGTTGAAAAGAGATTCATTAGCTGCTAATGATGTTCTTTTAATCCGTAAAGTAATGGAGCATGTATTTCAACGATTGTATAAACTGGCGGATACATTAACAACTAATGGTACACTATCGAATCCACCATCACCGAGATCAGGTGAGTATTTCAATTTTTGGTCAAAAACTCTATCTATGGTTTAACTCTTTCATTGCTTTATACATTTATATCCTCTAAATTTGTCTGTATCCTTAAAATAGCTACATACTTTGTAGTTATTGTGCATTTGGGATGTCTTATGTGTTTCCCACTCTTTGTGACAGTTTCGCTCTCTCTAACTGATTGATAGCTGTTTGGAAATTATCATTTAAGATTTATATATTCAGCCTGGCTATCAACTGTTTCCACTCCTGTCTTGACATTATTAAAAATAGTTTTGCCAACTGTCCGTCATCCCTGTCGTTTTCGCATGTCAGTGCAGTATCTGCTGTGGGTAACTTTGTGATTAGTGTGATTCGAATAGTTTTTGTTCGTATATCTCGCAGCCGACTAGGTCGTATTACTGGTCCTGTCAGAATCGAAAGAATGGAAGACAACGTAGAGTAGAGTAACTCTAAACAATAGCGAGCTAAACGAAGGACTCAAGTAAACGATGGATCTAATGACCTTGAATAACCAATCAGATGAGCGCATACTTAAATCGTGGATATATAAAGATACAGTAAATGAATTGCGTTGCGAATTTCATTGAGAGATAATATTTGACTACTGTAGGGACAATAGGCTTATAGGAAGCTTGCAGATATGATGGGCTAGTGTCTTTACAGAGTTATGCAGTCGCTTTTCATACCTACGTGTACAGATGTCTAGGCTGTGTGGCACAGAAAATCTGTCCGAAAAGATATATCGTTCCATTTTAGGTTCATGGGTGCTGTAGAGTGGTGAATGGATCACGAAACGGTATGATACACAGTTATCTGGATTAATGTAGTTTTCAGAAATAGGTTTGAACTACCACTGAAGGCTCTGATGAGGAATTAGGAGGTTTTCTTACGATACAGACGAGGAAGTTACTCCTTATAACTATTTTTCAACACTTGAACGTCTATAAAAGAGCTTTTTCAGTTACGCGCATTTACTACGAGCTCGTCTGTTTGGTTTATCTAGGTCATTATGTCCATTTACTTAGGTTTTTCTTTCGAGCCGCTGTTGGTTAAGTGTCACCTATAGTGTAGGAGGAATGGTTAAATAAAAAAAGGACAGCAGTTGATCGCGTCATAATTTTCCCTTAGTTACCTATGGTGATATGATTAACCAACAGTTATATATATATATATATATATATATATATATACTTCATTCCTTGAATCGGTGAAATATCGTACTGTTGAAAGCTTTCTGGTTCGAAAATGTCTGAGTTTTCGTTGATGAACATCATTATCGTAGACAACACAAGCTTAAAGTCTTATTAGTAAACGTTTCAAATTTTCGCACCATACTCTTCATCGAAATAATTTAGTGACTGGCAGTGGAATCCAAACTTATGAGCTGGATGTGCTTGCGTTCCCCAGTGACTGACAGTGTTTCCATTGAGGCTGAAACCCAGTAGCCATTATTTCAACTGTCAAAGTGTTATCCACTAGACTTCGCTTGGGCCAGTAAAGTTCGACTCTCAGTGGGTACACTCTCACTCACTGGGAAATTTCGGTACATCCATCTGATAAGTTCGCATTCCACTGCTTGTCACCATTCACCAAATTAATTCAAGTTAGTTCTCATATATTTTCGAGAAGTCTGTACTAGGTGGGGACATGTCAACAGAAGCCGAACTTTTTGGTTCAATTAATCAGCACAAAAATCCGAATCGAATTTTAATTTTCACATTCAACCTTGATATTTCAAGCGACATAACTGTACAAAGCTCACTCATACTTAGTTATTCGTAAAACTGTCACAGCATGCTAATTTCTTTGGTGTGTATTTACGCATATCATATTTCTCCATTTGTGTTAATAGCTGGCTGGAAACAAACACAGTCATATATATCAAAGGGTATCGATGTATTACACGGTTGTGCAACCGATTAAGTTTTACGGAACCATCTACATTTTTAGAATTCTTCCTACTTCTACGGTTATTATTGATAACAATACTGTTACTTTTATCATCTAGGACAACATGATGAAGCAGGAGGTCAGGGAATGCCGCCAAAATCGTCTACCACCAATTCCTCCTCCTCCTCCAATTGTGGTACCACATCTGATCCTCAAACACCTGTAATGGCACCTTAAATCTTCCTCCAGAAACACTACAAGTTGACTTGGCTCGAATAATGGCTGCAGCTGTATCCGGTGATCCTAATCCTGAAAATATTATTGAAATATGGTGTGGAGATCAGGTATACAACACCTAGTCTTTTACAGGGTTGTTAGTGATACTTTAATTATATGTTGACGATCAGTTTTAGTGTGAGCTTGCATCCTTACTGACTTTGTTTTTGAGTGAGATGTCTATGTGGGATCCATCGGAAGGAGCATTTCGTCCTATTTGGAACTAACTTACCAGCCGGATGTACCTGCACTCCCTAGTGAGTGAGTGAGGCTCGAACCCAGTATCCATAGTTTGAAACCCCAAAGCGGGGTTATCTAGTAGACCATTTGGGCTCCAAGAACCAGCCCCTCGTATGTAACGGCTATCAGCTACTATTATGTAATTCAGTTTGGTTTTTCTCGTTAACTGATTGGACCAAAGTGTTCGTCCTCTATCGTTACTAATCTTCTTTAAATAAACAGCGTTTTCTGCCTAATTTCGCCTTTACCGTGTGTATCTAGCAATTTAACTGCTCCTGTTGAGCCAGTTACATAGGGCCATACAAGTATGCGTGTTTCTCGTTTAATTTCTGAACATCACCCCGCAAGTAAAGAACAAACTAAATCCATTCATAGCTCTATTCCATTTCATCTTGTGGATACAGAACACAAGATTAATTGATGTTAACGAGGCGGCTTTCAAAGTTATTTACCTAATACCAACAAATCTCAATTTCGCCCTAAGAGTTCGACTACTAAATACTGTTGAGGCTGTCAGTTGGGATCCGCATTAACAAGCCTAATTTATGTGTCCAAAAGAAGAAGCTAGTTCAGACATTGTTCTTACTTTGGCCATCTAGGTTCGAATGATCCTCAACTTTTTGTGAAAATTTCCTTAATTTTAGTTGATATTCTACTTGCTATCATTATATTATTGATTATGCATCTTTCTTGAACTGTAATTCCACAAATATATATATATATATATATATATATATATATATATATATATATTCAAGTATTGGTTTTGTAGGGATTTAGTTTGATTGGATGGAGGATTTCATCGTGAGCTGACATCAGTGTTAGAGAACCACTGGAAAACCAGCTGGGAGTACTAGGCAGCTGTTTCTTCTTGCTTTGGGACTCCTCAGCAGTACGCACTCACCAGGGTTCAAACCCAGGACCCGTGGTTATGAGGCGAGGTCGTAGACCATTGAGGAGGTTGAAGATGAGGCTGTATCTCCTCGAAGAAGACATTGCAAAATGGTCACGGTATGTCGTGAATTGGGGAGTAATTAGAATTCATGCGCCCATTGGTCTAGGAGCTCACCTCAGAACCAGAAGGTCGTGGGTTCGAACCGTTTTTGTGGTGCGTACTGATCAAGAGTCCCAAACTAGTCTGGCGAAACAGCTTCCAGTACTCCCAGGTTTTCCAGTGGTTCTCTAATAATAGTAATAATAATGATTTACTTTATTCCAACAACAGTACTTGTGATACAGAATGAAATTTTCAGCATTAATCACAATATTCCATCTAATTTCCTCAAATTATAAATATAAAATGAATCTCACAGAAAATTTTCCAAATTTACAATAGAGGTAGTGTCAAAAACATGCAGCATATAAAATGGAAATAACAATAATAATGATAACAGCTAGGGTAATAATAATAATAAGAATACAAGTGAAAATTGTTGTGGGCTTGTGTCACACAGTATTGGCAATGTGGTATGCTAACCAATGTCAGCTCATGATGAAATCATTGCAGAGCCAGAAGAGGAGGGAATGATCGAAAAGGATATTCTATGTTTTTTCTAGATGTTTAAATGAATATTTTCGCTTTATGCTTGTTTTGTTTTTGCTTCAACATTTCTAGTGTCTGGATCCAAATATGAATTTACGCAGTGCTCGTTACTTCTACTGGAAACAATCAGGTGACTTGGTATTGAGCTACTTAGTTAGCAAAGAAAATGGTATCAACAACAGTACCACTAACAGTACTACTACTATAATAATAACAGTACCAATCTAGAGAATGCTAACACTCCCACGAGTATTACTAACTCCCTCTATCTACTACCGCCTAACAGTCAGCATGATACAAATACGACCACTACTACAAGTACTAACAATAATAATAGTGGTAGTATTAGTAAAAGAGAAGACAATATGAAGGAAAGTAATGAGTCCGTGATGAAGGATGCCAAGCTAACCAGTGGATTCTCAGCAATGAATATCAATAGCTGAGCTATGCATTTCTGTTCCCTCTCTCTCTCTCTCTCTCTCTCTATATATATATATATATATATATATATATATATATATATATATATATATAAACAAGAATATGTTGGCAAATAGTAGTAATTATTATCATTATTAATATTATTTTTATTATTATCGTCATCATTATTATTGTGATTTGACCAGAACTCGATTCTCTGCTAATAATCTGAGGTGGAATGGCAGTAGTGCAGTGATGAAATGCCTAAGGGCTGCCAAATACACACACTTACAGATGCGTACGTACATACACACACACACTCACACTCACGTACACCAAAGATTGAATGAATCTCCTGTATACACCCTCAAAGATACACGCACAGGGACACATCTAAACGTTACACAACAGTAATAATCACTATCTTCTCGTAAGTAAGTCTTCTCGTAAGTAAGTACCTTCTCTGTTTATATGTATGTATGTAAATTATTTCTTGTTCTGTAATAACCGATTACGACATTGTTTGAGTCTGTTCTAACTGTTTTGTACACACACACACACACTCACAGACACACATTTATTGTGTTTGTTATGTCTTTCATGTGTAATAGTTTGTCTTTTTTCTACTGGAAAAGTAATCGGAATAATAATAATCATAACAATGATGATTGGTATTCCTATCCTTCTCATTGTCCTGTTTAACTATTGAGAAACACTTTATGGTATTGATTTATTTATTACTGTATGATAATTATGATTATTAATATTTTTTACAACGAAAAATTGACTACTACTGTTAATTTTAGTTAGTAGTATACTAATAAGTAACTACAATAATTATGATGATAATGTACAATGTAATAATGAAAAAAAAAACAGAGTGTAAAAGAGGCATTACACTCCTTAACTGATTGATTGATTGATTCATACACCTTTTTACGTCTCTTCCTTTTCTCACCTTACTGTTGTTCATTAATATTAATATTGTCTCTTATTCTTCTGCATTGTGTTCATAAGTTTGTTTTTTTTGTTTTATTTATTTTTCATTTTTTTCAATTTATTTGTATAATGTTGATTATTTTTTTTGTTTAATCGTCTTCTTGGCTATCTGTGTTTCTACCTAATGTACATTTGAATGTTCATATATAGAAGAGCAACTAAAAGAACACACACTCACACATGATTAAGAACACTTTTCATCATCTCAATTGATTTATTGGTATTTTTCCTTTTTGTGTTTTTTATAATAATAAATAGATTGATTGAAGGTGTTCAATTTGATCTTGGTCGAATTTGTAATGTTGAAATTTGTACATTATATTTTTGATAGCTAAATGGGGTGTGTGTGTGTGTTGGAGTAGAGTGGTGTGTGTGTGGGGGGGGGGGTTGGCCAATGAAGAGAAAAGAAAGAATTACAGGTTGAAAATTACGTGAAATCTTGGAAACATTCTACGATATATGTCACAATGGTTGTATCGCCGGTGGAATACTCACCAAACACTCACATGGTCCGAGGTACGACCCCCAGCGGACGTACTCCCTTAGCGCTTGCTTACTAAACAATAAGCCCGGTGAAAAGAGGAAGGGGGAAGGTTAGGTGTGAGGTTAGCACCTCCCTCAACCTTGTGAAAAATTACCACCAGTACTAGTGAAACTTCAAAGCAGAAGCTTGAAACTTCGATGTTCCTCTCGAAACGCAAACGATTAAAAGTATAAAAAAATATCACAATGGACACTTTAGTAACCTCATAAATTTATTCTCTCTTATGAATTTAAACAAAGTAAAAAGAAACAACGGTATGTTCAGAATATGATACGAGGCCATCGTTCATTTTGTCGTGGGGTTCTCTTCAACTGTTCACAATCTAGAAGTTGATTTTTTTTAAATGCATGTCCGATTTTATCATACTTGCAAGGCTCAACATGATTTTTGTTAACAGACAGACACATATGTGAATAAACAATGTTCAGAAGTTCCACTTCGTGTAAGTTAAAAAGGAGGTCATGGTTAAAAAAAAACTAGATCTTCTATACTTTCTGATGAATTTCGAAAGATAACAATTACTTTAGAAAATTTTCTCAATGTTGAGGAGTGCTTGGTCCAGTGTTATTTTTGTGAAGCATATTCTTCTGGCTGCGTGAAATAGAGTTTTGACTAATGCTTATTTATGGCTGATAAGACAAAAACTATCGAAACTTAAGCTTAGCCTATTCTACGTGGATTTTACGTGAATGAATCTTTGCAGATTCCCATCTTCAAAGCGCTGTATGGCAGTATCGAGGAAATAGAACATTCCATCGAATTCGTGTGCCATTGTAAGTGAAGTCAATATTCTGATGTGTGTCACTGAACATTTACAGTAGACGAGATGCATAGATTTTCACTATGACATAATATGAAGGCGTTGTCGTCAACATACCGACACTTTTCTGGTGTCTGCAAGTATGGGGACTAGTGGACTGCCCATAACTACACCATCTATTTGACGATAAAGGTTGTTATCGAATTGGAATTGTACATCCATAGTGCATATTTGTAGTAGGTGTGTAAAATTCCTCTACTTGCAAAAGGAGCAAATCGGAATGCTGGCATATGATATTGACAGTTTCATGAAATGGAATCCTTGTGCATAGACAGGTTACATCAAAGTATCCTTTATAAGTCAAGTAGGTGGAACCCTTGAACATTGTTCATTCATATGTCTTGTCTCTATTAACAAAAATCATGTTGATCCTTACAAGTATGATAAAATTCTATATACTTTTACAAAATCAACTATTAGGTTGTAAGCAGCTGATGAGAATCTGATGACGAAATAAATAAATGATGACCTCATATCATATTCTGCACAACCATTTTTTGGTTCTGCTTTGTTTAAACATTTTAGCTGGCTTGTGTATTTAATTGGCTAGAACTCTGCTAATGAGTCTAATTGTTATGTTACGACAGAAGACAAGGGCCAGGCAACAGATCCTTTATTGAGAAAATCAACAGATATTTATGGATTTTATTATTATTATTAGCGTGATTGTTAGCAGACGGACAGAGTCCTCTGATTGGTTGTTTTCTTGCTGAAAGTTAATTTATCATCTGCTTGTGGCAGTTTCTTCGTAGGTCACATCATCTATCTGTTAATCATATCCGCCCACGCAAAGTCTTGCTGTCTAACGATTTCGGTTAGCAGCAAGGTCTCACCACAGTTATAGCTTTAAAAAATGTTTTAAAGGCTTTTTTATCAAGTGACTGTTAGTCTGAGTTATGTAAGTATGTGTATACTGTCTGACTGGCGGGGTTGTCGAAAGGGGAATGTCATTCATAGGCTTAAGTAATTGGAATTACAGGCAATGTATTTAAATAGCCCTCCCGCTAACCTGGTGACTGTGTAACAACCCCGTACAAAGTGAGATATGCACAACTTCTTAAAAATTATCCACTTCAACCTCTGTAACTTAAATTCGACTAAATTTCAGGGGAACATTGGACTTCAACAGCACATCTCCATCTCCTCCTGTTCTTTGTATTCATGTATGACTGGCTTCACGACTGCCTACTAACACTCTTATCTCCCTCTCACGCGATGTTCACCTTGTTATCATCGGACTTTCAACTCGCTGTTTCCCATTCTTGGCGAGCTATATGCATTCAGTGGTCCTTTTTTAATGCTTTCTGAGTAATTCAGTCTATTCCTGCTGCCTTCTCGGTCTTCATTAGATTTATGGTATTGAAAATCTCTGCTTTTGTTGGAGGATTGGTGTCCACTGGTAGTTGGCGGTGGTATTTCTGAACACCTTGCAGGTGGTGCTCGGTGAAGTGATCAGCCCATTGTTTTTCTTTGCTCCTCCCCTTTGGTAATTAGGCTCCCTTCTGTATCTCTTATTGGTTTCATGGATGTTGATCTCTTCTCCGATAATGACTTGGTTGTTTGATGTAATATTCTGAGGTCTCTCTTACTTTCGGACTGTCCGCTTCAGTTTCTGCCATCTGTCTTTGCTTGGGTTCACCTTCGTTTTCACCTCTCTCTCCTCTATTAACTCTCAGGTGTCCACGGAAAGCTATTCCTTGTCGTGTCTATTCTTCCGTCTTGAAACGCCTGTACACGGTTCTTTAAATATCAATTTCAGACAGTTCCAGTGTCCTTCTACATAGGTTTCCTCGGTTATATGTCACTGACTTTGCTCTGGTGGCTGCAATGAACATATCCTTGGTAGTTTCATCTCTCAGTTTCTGAGTGTTTATTATTTACAGTTTCTTTGAAGGTCTGTTGCACTAGATTATAGTCTGAGTACTGATTTTGTGTGCAGTAAGCTGCTTCTCCACTTTTTCGAGACTAATCAATTTTACCTTAATTTTGATGTATCTATTTGGTGAAACTCATAGTCGCTTGTGCTTGTGCACACTATCTTCAGTCATCAAATCACTGAAGGCACAGAAGTCTGAGAATCATTCTTCGTTCTCATTCATTTCGCCAAGAACCTTACAAGCCATAATGAGTTTTCTTCGTAGGTTGTTTGTTGCCAATTTACTATTCCTATCACTCGTGAGGATTTTGATATTGCCATTTGGTATCTTGCCCATTGCTGTTTGCAGTTGTCTATAGAATTCTTCTTTCTCTTGTTCTGAATTGTTTGAAGGCGCTTAGCATTGGAAAGTTGTAGCTTTCTTCCCTTTTGAGCCGAATGTTGCTGTCATTATTCTGAGGCATATTGGTCCCCATTGCATAAGAGCTTTGACTACTGTTGGTGACATCATGATAGCCACTCACAGCCTCGGTGTGCTCGTGGTTGTCGTCTGGGTGACATGAGTAGATTATTAAAATTCCAGTTAATAATTTTAGAAGTCCACTTCCATTCTACTTGCTTTCACAGATTCCTTGCACTTAAACTCCATATTTCCTCATTCCATTCACAATTTGAGCAGCCCTCACAGCATCGAACATCGTGAAAACAATCTATGTCCACATGCTTTATATTTTCTTTCATCGAAAGAAGACACATCGGCTGACTGGCGTCCTGAAAGCTTTCACTAGCTGGTGTTATTTCCGTATCTTGTGGCGATTGGGCTGAATTTTCGTGGTGGAGTCGGCAGCCCAATGGACCGGCTAGTGAACTAGTAAATGAGGCGGGGTTCTGAGGAACATCAATTTCACACTGTAGAATTGTGAATAAAAAAGATACAAATGATTTTAAAAATAAATATGGATGCTCACCTTGTACTGTTCGATCATTAATCAAAAATAGAGCGCAGTCGAATCGAGCTGTTCTACTCAAATTAATTAAAATCTCGTAGATATGTGATACACTTTCATCTAGGAAGAGTTTAAAAAGAGAGGAAAGTGATACAGTAATGAATAGAATTCAGCTTCTTATCGCATTCAAAAGGTCTCCTAATTCATAACACCATCTATTACAGCTATACTTAATCATATACCAAGTTTCAGGATATTTATGTTAGTACCACTACGACACAGTTCCTTGAAGTCAAAATACTTTTTTTCTGTTTTCGACCTTAACTATCAATTTGGTGTGCAATATCAAAAAAGTAAGTCTTCAAGTAGTTTTGCTGTGTTTTTATCGAGGTGAGTATACAGTCTGCAAAATAACATTATTATATTATTGTTCCCTTGGGTTCCTAGTGGAACATAGGGCTTCAACTGCACGTCTCCACTTGCTTCTCTCTTCTGCTCTGCTTTTCACCTGCATCCCTGTTAGTCCATGCTCTTTCAACTCCTCTTCACACGATCTCCTCCATGTCTACCTTGCACTGACGTCCCACACGCCGCTTCCCTTTCGGGTTCCACTCGAGGGCTTGACGCGCGATGTCACCCAACGGTCTCCTCAGCGAGTGTCCGATCCATCTCCACTTTCTCCTGCATATTTGTTGGGCGATTGGTTCTTGTTTTGTTTGTTCCCATAGTTTCTTGTTGGTGATTGTTTCCGGCCCGGCCATCTGATCTTCAGTATAGAGCGAAGACAGTTGTTGTTTAATAAAGGTCTTGAATAGGCTGTTGGAAATATTCTTTGTGACCCGCCCACCAAGTTTCTGATCCGTATAGGAGAACTGACTTTACGTTTGTATTGAAAATCCGACTGAATTTTGTTGTTGATGCTGAGTGGCGAAGATTGGTTTCAGGTTGATGAACGTACTTCTCGCCTTCCCGATTCTCGCTCGATTTGATATCCTCGTCCGTTCCGACTGTCTGTAGTTGAGACAATGCTCCCTAGATAGGCGAATGAATGCGGTTACCTCTTTCAAATCTCTCCTGTTGGTAGTGATTGGCGGTGGATGTTGCTGCTGTTGTTGTTGGTTGGTTGGTTATTTTCATAAACTCCGTCTTGTCTATGTTCACCTGGAGTCCTGTCTTCGCCGGCTGCTTCTTCGACCAGTTTGTCGGTCGGTTTTTGCTTGTAAGTCTTCGATTTTGTGTGACATCAAACATAAATGATCCACGCGCGTAATCCAGGTCTTCTAGGTTCTTCACGTTGGTCGGTCCAGGATATTCCTGTCTTCTCGTTTCCCACTCACTGTCTGACGTATAATCCAGTCAGTCCACCACAATTAGGAATATCATTGGTGATAATAAGCACCCTTGTCTGACTCCTGTGTTCACGTTACTCCAAACGCCTCTCTGAGTTTTTCGTTGTGGATGACTTGACATGTGGCGTTGTCGTACAGCTGTTGAATAAGGTTGGTGAATATTTGGGGTACGCCGTAGTACTTGAGTGGTTTCCAAATTGTTTCGCGGTCAACGCTGTCGAAGGCCTTCTCAAAGTCTATAAAGTTGAGGTAGTAATCTAGACGAGGTTGCAAAATAACAATGAAGATTACTAAATCCAATAACCGAGGTGATAGTTAATCTGCTATTATATCGAAATAAAGTTTACCAAGGAATGATGACAAATTTTTGCCTTGAATGCATAAAGGTAGTTTAAGCTTCCTAATAGTCAGCTAGGGCTTCCATAAACTTTGTGATACGCTCAGAACACGTTTTACAGATAGGTTTAAAAGACGTGTGTAAACATTAATTTTATATCCTGTATCCTCTGTAATATGTTTCGCGATAGAGGAGATAGGTCACCTGTTTTCATCATTAATGGGTTCTGGAGATTGTGTTTTTTCTTCTGAAGCCCTTTCTTCCAGAGATCGATAAATCCTCCCTATGTATCTGTGGCCACACGTACATTTGAATAGGTGAATACAGTGGAATGTAACATAATTTTTCGCATTTTCTAAGGCCGATAAAGTTAATCTCTAAGTGTATGACATGGTTTTGATGCCACCGTTATGCCATACAATAATGAGAATCCTACATGAGGTCTATGATATTCCTTCCTTGTATAATAGTACTAACGAAGTTTCAAATTCTTTATTAATGTCATTATTTGCACTAGTGACTCTATTTCTCTTATGAGTTATACACCGTTTTGGTACAGGCATGGAATTTTCAGCGTGGATATCGGTAGCCCAAATTTTGCAGGCCAACCATAGATATCAGGTGTGCGTCGGCGTGGGCTCGAACCTGGACCATGTGCATAGTCGGCCAGAGTCCTAACCACTGTGCCACCGACGCACATACACTTTTGAATGAAATCTGGTGGGCAGGTATTCACCAGTAATATTTTCCTTATTTATTTGACTTCACTACTTAGATCTTATATTTTACCGTCTAGGCTCCTGACTGAATTACAACAAAATTTCACTAGACCTTCCTTGATAGATTTTGAATGGGATGAATCAAAGGTTTTTAGTGATTATTAGAATATGTCGGTTTTGCATTAAAGCTATTATCTGACCCACCTAACTGTTTTCGTTTGATTTTACGATCTGCCCTAGCTAACTCAAACTTTTCATTTTCTAATTTTCAAATGTGAATCGGATTCTAACTACCACTAAGTTAATTAATATATATGTGAAAAAGTGGGTGGAAAGATGCATACATTCACCACATTAGACAATGAAATATCGAAAATACCAACAAATCGTCAAATATTCTACTTACTTTCAGTTGACATTTTCATATCAATTGCATTCAACAAATCATCCAACATTTCAGCTTCCATTCGAATTCCAATTACTAAATATGAAGTAATAGTAGTTTTTTTTAAAAAAGGAAGCAATTATGAATTTTTGTTTGTTTTTATTTCTTCTCAACATTCGTTTTTATCATAAATAATTAATTTACTACTGAAACAAAGACTAACTGAGTTTAGATTCATTTTTACACTGAATTACGACGTGTTAACAACCTTAGTGGTACCACTGAGTAGTACAGTAGTTAGCCTTTAAACAGGTACCTTATCATGAAAACGATCAAAAAACCAGTGTGGTGAGAGCAGGCCGTGAGAAAATATGAGCAAGGCTGATTCAACAACCAATCACAGCAAAGATAACGTGGCAAAATATGATTCGCAGATAGAGAACTCTATTTGTCGAGGAATCCCGAAACAATCAATCAGAAGCCTGCGTTTGTCTGCCTAACTTCTGATAAACAACCAATCAGACGACTGCGCTTGTCTATAATAATATATGTGAAATATGTATAAATACGTGTTGATTTTCATAATAAAACGATCTGTTGCCTGGCCCTTGTCTTCTGTTGTTACACCAGCACTCGAGTAGGCAGCTTCGTCAGCCTAGTTTGGGACTCTTCCGCATTACGCACTCAGTTAGTGAACGCAGACATTCGAATAGTGACTAACTCTGTTTATCACTGTCACATGCATATCAGTCGTCAAAGGAGCAGTGTAGGTTTCAATTTATATTTCACAGGTGGATATCGGATGTTGAGTGAATGGCTCGGTAAAGGAACACTCACTACTGACTGACTGTGTCAGTAACTGTCACGGAAGTAGAACCAAAGCGAAGGATTCTGTTGTTTTCCTCCAACCAGTCTACACTTTTCTACTTAATTTAGAATAATAGTTAGTGAATTTGAGAATTCATGACTTCTTCCAGTCTGATCCTATTTCTACTGATACGGAATATTGGGACATCAACCATTTCATGACATGAAGGTTTGACTAACTGACTAACTCATGTTATACTGGATTTTAAACCTAACTTCTACACTATACACATGCATTACTAATTTAACAATGGTCAAATGCCTGCGGTCTATTTGTTGAATGGTCTACTTTTAATAACCATGTAAAACATCACCCCCCCCCTATATCTGTAAGAATTTCCACAGATATATTTTTGGTTAACAGACTAATAACTAACGGACCACTTACAGAAGAATATACATGTCGACTACTTATTGTATGCAACAACGCAATCTGAAGTGTATGAAGAGGTTAGCTAAACTGAATGCAATGATCATGTAAACGACGTAAAAGAATACAAACATCATTACCAACGTCAAGTAAATTGGTGGATGGTGACTAACAGTGGAGGAAACTAGGATTCCCATTTCGTCATTTTTAGGAATCACCATTTGGATGCACCAGCATGTCAACTTGATGCCTAGCATTTCGAATCAGCCACTCAATGGGAAGGTTCAGATCTAATTAATTGATTACAGATGCCCATTGAAAAGAGGCAGCTCTCAGGGCTTAAATGGTTCATCTAGGTGACGTTTTGGTGTTAAAACAGTGGCTATTGGGTTCAAGACTCATTGGCAAAAGCACATACATTCAGGTGACGAATCCTAAATAAGACGAAATGAGCACACTGGATTCGATTTCTAGTCACCATCCATCAATTTACTTCAAGTTTTATCCCCAAACATTGTCGAAGCAACAGGCCAAGGAGCAGAAATGGAAACCTTAAGCCCGAGGACTTTGGTCCAATCATTCAACAACAAAGTCTAAATCGAATTAATTGATAACCAACTATTGAGAAGGTCAACTGTTGACAGATCAGTTTATAATTCAAGCTGCTACAGTTCTCAACAATACAGAATGTGAGAACAAACTCGTGGATTATAAGGTGGAGATAATAATTGATGGTGAATATTACCACACTCGCTTTGTGACCTCAAGATCTAGATTCTAAACTTTGGTGAACTCATCTATCTTCTAATAGCATGCAGGTAAGTGGTTTAAATCTGCTATCATATTTTCTTACTGAAGGATAAAATGCAGGCCAGCAAAATGCGCTTAGTTTGTCGGCGATCAGTATAAGTACTTATTTTACACGCTCTGTAGCTTCAAAATATAGAGTAGTCATAAAATACTGGAAGAGATCTTTGCCTGAACTCATTATCTCATCTAAGCCGTTATAAGTAGTCGAGTATTTCACATATCTGTATAGTTATGCGTAACGGAGTAATTGTATTCGAAAATCCCTCATGGACTATCTATTTACAATGTTGAGACTTATTTGGATATTTTAATCAACTTGGTGGTGATTTTCCATTTTTCTTTTAGTCTGTATATCATTTCTCTAAGGTTTGCATATAATCTCTTCACTTAGTTCTTATTATCTATCTTTGTTCTTGTGTAGTGCATAATTTAAAGGCTTTTGTTTGCGGCTAAGTGATTTTGTTTAAATGAAATCATGGTCGGCGGTGGGGATTTTGACTTTGGTACGTGATTCTAGCTGACAGAGTATTGATCTCAACTTGTTGAGAATATTCTTCTTGGTTTTCAGTTACTTCTTAGGGTTGGTTTGTGGTAAACTAACTTTGTTGTGCAGGAACTGTTTTCTTTTGCAAGGAGACTATTTGATCTGTATAGCCGCTTACCTAATGGTATTGTTGAGGCCATTATGAGTTTTCATAATTTTATTATTACTGTTAAATAGGGAGTCGTGAACCAATCCCCATGAAGTCGGTTTAGGTGTCAAATATTACATTTACAGCATCTCAATGCATGCTGTTCTGCTTTGTGTTAATAAAACCTGGTCTCTTTAGGATTAGGATGTGCAACATCTCTAAGTGTCCAGTCATCATTGTCCACATATAACTGCTTAAATACAGTTCATTACCTTGTAAGTAAATCTCAGATCCAACTATACATACTTAGATGAGGTGGAGATCGTAAGCTACAGTTTTCACCATTCTTCTATATACTAACAAATGCTCGTTTAAATCTACCGTGTATAAACGTCTACAAGTATTATTCTTTGACATCAATTAGAGAATCATTGGGAACCATGGGGAAGTGGACATATATTTCAGCCTGTTTTGAAGCTCCTCAGTGGTGGAGACTATACTTCCTAAGCAGGAACCAAACTGACAATCTTCAGATTACAAAGCGAGGTCAATAACAATTCAGTCACTATTCTGGAAGTCTGATGATCCATGAATTCTAACTCATTACAGTCCATGATATAGTGTTATTATCAGCCAATACCGTAGATTGACATCCAATTCACAGTTAAATGTGGTATGATGAAGAAGATCTGTAGCTCAGGTGGATGATTTTGATGTAATTGTGTTCTCTGAGCTGGATAGTTAATTTGAGAAGATTTTACCGCCCTACTAGGCGACATCTTCAGCGCATAGTTCAATTTACTGAAGTGAGCTTTTAGATTTCTCCACGAGTTTAATGGTCATCTCTCCTGGTGACCTTGGACGTGATTAGTTGTTTTTGTGTGTTTTCATCAAAAGACATATACCCCCAAGGAAAGCACAAAGAAAATAACCCTACCATATATAAAGGACATGTCATAAATCACTACAAGACTCTTCAAACCTTTAGGAATTGACATCGCACACAAACCAACAAAATCACTTCACTCAGTTCTATGTCAACCAAAAGACTCAACAAAGAAAGATAATAAAACCCACATCGTCTACCAAGTAAATTTTAACAACTGCGGAAAACACTACATTGGCCAAAGTGGACGTCCTCTTCGTCTTCGTATCCACGACCAAAAGCTAACCGTCAAAAAGCATCACATCCACTCCCTCGCTCCTATCACCTCACTGCATACAGACAACATGGGCATCAATTTGACTGGCACAACGTTCAAATATTAGACAGAGGAAACACCAAGAACGCTAGAGAATTTTTAGAAGGCTGCCTGGTATTCCAGTGAATGATCAATCAATAGACACATCAAGGTAGAAAAAATTTATCGACCGATAAGAAGGAAATCTCGCACACACAAAGGATCAAAATTTAAGTCAAAGAAATAATCAGTTCCAATACAAGTAGCCTAAAGGATGTGAAAACACACAAAAACAACCAATCACGTCCAAGGTCACAGACAAGGAGAGATGATTAATAAACTCGTGGAGAAATTAAAAGCTCACTTCAGTTCAAATTGAAGTATGCGCTGAAGGTGTTGCCTAGTAAGTAGAGCGTTGAAAGCTTCGCAAATTAACTATCCAGCTCAGAGAACACGACCACACCGAAATGGTGGTCTCAAACTAGAGCGAAACAACTGTCCAGTAATCCCTGGTTCAACCTCACTCTTAATTTACTAGCCTGTTAAAAGCTTAGAAAGGTGAAGAGTTCGGGTAACGTCACGTTGAAAGGGCAGTCTTATCGCTACTGAAACTTCAAAGTAAATATTGTTCATCTTTATTCTTACTTTCACTCTTATCAACAGCATTTCACTGATATTATATACTGAATAGTATTCAAGCGGACAATTTACAACTTACATTTTGGTAATTCTTCCGGTTGTATATAGTTCAGTAATTTTATAATTTCATTTGTAGCATCGACTGGACTAAACTTTTCCATATGTTGAATATTTATCCAAAATGTTTGAAATTCATGAGGAGTCGTTATCTGTTTCCCTATAAGTTTAATTGACAAAAAATAAACATTTAAAAAAAAACACGAGTTATCTTTATATTCGTTAGGATCTGATTAGTGGTTTTACTTACTCTAGATAATTATTTATTACTCACTAAAAAATGTTTACTGTCTCATACATTCTTTAATAGCATGACAAATGATTTCAGTCCGTGATAGGGTTGTAGGTGAGTATTGCTGAAGTTCATGGATCTGTCTGTCTGTTTGTTTTCCACATAGAACAATGCACATATATGCGGCAGTTCAAGTCGCCACACCCCTCTTTGTAACACACAAAGCAAGAGAAGAAAGTACAAGAAAAGCATAATAGAGACAGTAAACAGAGGTGTGAGACAAAAGAAGAGTAATAACGAAGAACAAAACAGTTTCATTGAAATCATAAGTCACAAGGAGTGGATGCATCTGCACCACTGAGAACGATTTTGAGCCATGTCACCGATTGTTTCAAACCATTGGTTTTTACCATCCCAAAAACCCCAACCAGTCAGGAAGTCTACACCTTCCTACGTGGCTTAGACCAACTGTTGTGGATTTCATTGACTGGTGCCATGTTTTTGTTTGACCGCCGCTAGCTTTTTTCCAGCCTAACCCTATATCCGCTAACATTGCCCGTCGAGGAAGGCGATGACTAGACATACGTAACACATGTCCTCACCATCTCAGTCTTTGTAACTTCACAACTTCGTCGTCTGATTTCCCCTGAATGGATAATCCCCGTCCAGGCATTAATGAAAACAAAACACGTAGTGTTCAACGAAGAGTCTGTTTTCAGAGGCGAATTCATTTTCTTAGCTACAAAATCGCAAATATATATGTGTTATTTTGTATGTATGTGTACATTAATTTAGTCAAAGAAAAATAGACAATCGACTATGGTTATTTTAACTAAACAGGTGAAGATTGGTAATACAAGTCAAGAAAATTAAGTGTTAATGTAATTATGGTAGTAACAAAGGTGATGAGTTGTCACAAACAGTTGTTAAAAAGAAGTTATGTAATAATAATATGAATAGTTTGATGAGTGAGTTTTACTCAGGATGCACATAGAAACAAACTAGAGAATACGAAATTACGTGAGAGTTTTAAATGAATACAAGAATTATAAGCAATTAAAGAATTACGTAATTTGGTATTCTCTACTTTGTTCCTATGTTTGTCCTGAGTAAAACTCAATCATTAAACTATTCATATTATCACATAACTTCTTTTTTAACAACTTTTTATGACAACTCATCACCTTTGTTACTAACCTAATTTCATTAACATCTAATTTTCTTGACTGATTTTGTATTACGTAACTCCAATTACCAATCTTCACCTGTTTCGTTAAAATAACCATAAACAATTGTATATTTGTTTGACAAATTTTAATGTACACATACATACAAAATAACATATGTATATTTATATATTTGCGATTTTGTAGCTAAGAAAATGAATTCGCCTCTGAAATCAGACTCTTTGTTGAACACTACGTGTTTTGTTTTCATTATTGGTTAAGTTTGCTAAACTAGGGTGAAAAGAGTGCCCAGTGATTTCTGGATCTCAGATACCTAAATCTATCTTGATATGAATTACAGGGAAATAAACGTGTGTGTATCAGTGGTTCGCTGGTAGAAAGCTGTTCAGCCACGTAAGGGCTAAGGATCCAAATCGCTCTTAACATACTTCTAAATCTCGTCTAGTTTACTAACCGTTGGCAAGGTCAGCAAGGAGGGAATGTTGAGCGTGAGGCTAGCAAACCTAGTCTCACAGAGACTACTCCACTGCAGATGATAACTCTTAGACTGAAGCCCTTTTTTCCACTCAGAATGTAGAGAAGTGAAGAAAAATGTGTGTCATATTGATTCATTATATTTGTGATTATTGGCTCACAATGTTTTAAGAATCCTAAATGGATGACTAACCTTCGCACTCATTAATTCAATTCATTCAACGGTTACAGACATTATGTATTCCTGTCGTTATTTCAACTGAGAAACCTCACTTTATATTGATTGATTAGTTATCAGAGAGGGAGAGAGAGAGAGAGGCAGTAACTAGATTTCATCTATTTACTCTTAAGTGTTGGAGCTGACTGGCTTTTTTCAGTGCAGTTTGAAAACGAATGACAAAATGGTAATCATATTAATACGGAATATCTGAATGGACAGTAATATCTTCATTAACAATTTTTTCTGAACGAAAAGGCGATTTCGACTCTTATCCATGAGTTAATTTATTATTTTTCTTGCTGTTTCCTTCCCATCGAAACACAACACCAACAATTAAATACTTTTGATGACATTAGATGGTTGGAGGCAATTTTCAGGAAGCCTCATCTCACTTAGGTTTCGTTCTAGCTGGCACTCGTTAGTCAGCAAGGCGTATCTGCAACCGCCTTGAAGGAACTCATATCCCTTCTGAGATTCGAATTCGTGTCACCCAGTGCTGCAGTCAGAGACGTGTCCAATCAAAGTATCCAGTACAATCCCGCAGGAGGATAATCGCGAGCTTGAATAGCTCAGTGATAATGTCTCTGAATGTCGCACTGGGTGACACGGGATCGAATCTCAGAGGGGACATGATTTCGTTCAAGGTTGCAGATAGGCGTTCTTGACTGACGAGTGCCAACTAGAACCAAACCTGGGTGAATTGAGGTTTTCTGCCCATTTCCTCCAACCATCTAATATCAACAATTCAAAGTGCACAGTGATGGACAGTCACCAAGTGGTATGGTGGCCACATTCAAACTTGACTGATTCAGTCTGCACCAAACAAATGACTAGACACGTCATACTAGTTACTAAATGTCCAATCAAATTAAATAGTTTATTTAGAATCAGCGAGTTAGCCAAGCATTTATCAAAGGAGGCTAGAAGCCTTAAATGAATTTTTCAAAATAAAAATAGCTCTATTCTGAGAGATTCTTTACATAATGTACAGAATTTTCAGCAAACTTTATTACATGATATTTCCCCTTTATCTACGATCTTAAAATAAAAAGTTTTGATTGCTAGTAGATCCTGTTGTAACCACAGAAGACAAGGGCCAGGCAACAGATCGTTTATTTACGAAATCAACACATATTTATGGATTTTCATGTACATTATTATAGATTATTGTTAGCAGAAAAACACAGTCTTCTGATTGTTGTTTCTCACAGAAAGTTAATCTTGCATTTCTTTGTGGCCGTTTACTGAATTTCCGATTATCTATCTGCTAATTGTATCCGCCTACGCAAACAAAGTCTGGTGTGGTTGGTTGTTGAATCAGTCCTTGTTCTTATTTTTCTCACGACCAATATTGGGGACGTAAACATTGACGTAAATTACTGTCTACCAATTTGGCCAGCAGCCAGCTCTCACCACACTGTGATACAGTTCTATCCGACCTGAAGCGCAAGCCTATCCCTCTTCTGATATCTCTTCTTATTCTTTTTCGAGAAATACACGCCATTTGGTTGAATGACAATTATAAAAAGTTTAGGAGTACATTTTATAAACTAAGGAACCCCCACTCAGAAAGGAACATGTCATGCATTAGGATAAGCTGCCATCCATCGAGGATAAGGCTGTTCCTCATAATTAGTAGAAACTTGCGAATAAGCTGGTTGTGAATATTTAAAATACTTGCCAGAGTAAACAATACAATTAGATTATTCGATTTAAACAAAATGAATAAGAGAAATTTTATATGCAATATATTGAGGGAGGTTGTTTTCGGTAGCCCAAGTTTTAAGAAGGCCATTTTCTTCCTCTTCCTTATGAATACATACACCAGACCACCTATATGTAGTAGTCACCACATAAACTTTCGCTTCAGAGTCAGTGGTTCATTAGTAGAATGTCTGCCAACCCCTCATGTGATCTGGATTCGATTCCTAGTCAACGCACACACTCACCTAGACCTAAGTTGACCGGTAAAGAGGGAAGGTTGAGCGTGAGTCTAGAAACTCCACTCCGTAAAAAATCCCCCTACCCAGCTACTCAAACTTCAGAGCTCCCACTTGAAGCCCGACGTTCGACTTAGGCTGAAAAATATATTTCACCAAAGAGAAAACGTCTTCAAGCCAATTTCCTCCAAATACTGAATATCATTCAAATTCACCCAACTTGGAGAAAACAACATTCCAGAATAGACCGCTATAGAATTAAGCCATTATCAATACTGAAAACCATACATATATATGACATTGCTTAGATCCTAGAGACCAGCCAATTCAAGCATACCAAAAAACAGCTTACTTTGTATAAACCGTTTAGTAATATCACTTTCATTGGTTGTATTATTATTAGTTCTACAAGTTTGTTTATTTTCTTGACTGATAATATTTACAACTTCCCAGTCATTATCGATTGGTTTTGATATAACTGAATTGTCACTGGAGGTGTTCTTTGAAATATCCTCAGGATAAGGGAATTCATCAGTGGATGCAGTAATACTTGTACATTGTACGCTTGATAATCTGTCATAACCATCATCATCAGCATCATCGCCATCACCATTATCGTAATTGTCGCTGTCAAACTTCTCGACTTCTCTCCTGGTATCTTCATCATCGCCAATTTCAATATTTGGTAATTCAACTATTTCAATATCGGTTGCTGTTGTTGTTGTATTCAAAGTGCTATTTTTTAATGAAGAAGGCCCGTCTACACTCCAATTCTGTTCATTGAAATGAAACGAATATAAAATAAAGAAAAAAACAGGTTTCAGAGTCTTTAATATTCCCAGTTTTCGAACCTCTGACCTATTGGTCACAAGTTAAACGCCTAGACCGATTGAATGACACAAATCACTGCCTTTGAGTTATGTAAAAACGATAATGATGAAAACATTGAAACAATAGCCTGATCTAATTCGGTGGATAGTGACTGACAATAGAGAATCAAGATAATAACTGACTGATACCCGTTGCAAAAGAGAGGCTCTCTCGTAACCCGAGTGGTGTAGTACTCAATGCTTTGGCGTTTGAAACGATGGGCTCTAGGATTAGGGTCTCTTTGGAAACACCATCACTCATTGAAAAATGCAAGTGCATTCAGCTGGTGAATCAGTCTCAAATAGGACGAAGTACACATCCTGGTGGATACTCCTGCTAGTAACCATCCTACAAATTACTTCAAACTAATCCTCAGACATCGTCCAAACATCTGCACAAGCAGCCGACATGTCAACAGATGCAGGATATTTCGGTTGAGTCAATTCAACGGTGATGAAGAATCATGGGCAACACCAACAGCAACTACAGACAACAAACAGCATCAATGGGAGAAGCCAAGTATCTAATATCATCAAATCAATGTGCACCGTGATGACGAGCTACCTAGAATGGTGGCCACATTGCTAACCTGACTGATAGAATTCAGTCTGCACCAGAGAAAGACTAGACACGTAACACTAGTTACTAATGTCCAATCATAATTAGTAGTGTATTGAAAACCATTAACAGATCAGGCTTACATCATTCGGTTTGAACATACAATAAAGCCAGAATTGAAGAACCTTATTCTATCATATATCGAGTGTCCAGTAAATTGCCAAAGCCCTCTAGATATCAAATACTCCAGAAATCAGAAGCTGGAACAATATGCTCAAACAGAACCAGAGCTCTGCTTGCAAAAGAAACAGATTTAGCCAGCCACTCTTGCCTTCTGTAAAATCTAAAACTTCGTAAACCGTGTATCACTTTTCCTAATATATCTGATAGCCAATTTAGCATTGTATTTATACATATTATGACATATATGCATGTTTTGAACTGCTGCCCACGTAATCTTGATGAACCAATGTTATTTACAAGAAACTTATTGCTGTTAGTAACAATAATTCTTTAATTTTTATGGACATAAACCTGTAGAGGCTGATCAAGAAGGTGTCGAAGAGAATATCCTTAATTCACTAATCCGTTTCTTGAAGGTCTGCTTCCTCGAATTCCACTTGTACTCGCACGAGTTCGAGTCACAGAAGGGATATGAGTGCCTTCAAGATTTCAGATACGCCTGCCATGCTGACTGGTAAATGCCAGGCAAAACGCATGAAACCCACGTGGTCCAAGGCTTTTTGTCAATTGCCTTCAAACATTTATTCATCTGGACTTCACCGATGACATATGCCTGATTTCTCACAAAATGGAAGATATGCAAGTGATGAAAAGCAACAAGTTGGCAGAAGAAGCATCAAAGATACGACTTCAGGTGAACACAGAGAAAACAGAGGTGATGAAGATTCCTGGCAACACCAACAGCAACAACACAGACAACAATCAGCCAGCATAAATGAGAGGAACCTGTAAGAAACAACCTCCTTTACCTACCTGGGAGGTATCCTTTCAACTACAGGCGAACAGAACTGACGAGGATATCAAAGCAAGAATCGGAAAAGCAAGACAGGCTTTCATTACTCTTAAGTCTGTTTGGAAGTCAACAGCACTCAGCATCAAAAATAAGATCCGAATTTTCTACTCCAATGTGAAGTCAGTGCTACTCACTATGAGGATCAGACACTTGGCGCGTCAAGAAGAGCACATCAAACAGTTGTCTTCGCTCAATACTCAAGATCAGATGGCCAGAAAAGATCAGAAACAGGGATCTCGGGCACTGAACGAACCAACCCAGCAGGAATCGATCGTGCAACAAATATCCAGGAAGAAATGGAGGTGGATTGGCCATACTATGAGAAAACAAACTATCAAGCGACATCAATAGACAGAACCTCGAGTGGAACCCTGAAGGGAAGCGGCGAGTTAATCGTCAATGCAAGGGTGACTTGGAGGAAGTCATGTGAAGAGGAGATGAAAGCATGTGAGCAGACTTGGAGCCAGGTGAAAACTTGGGCAGAGAACCGAACGCAATGGAGACGTGCTGCTGAAGCCCTTTGTTCCTCTAGGAATTAAAGGAAATAACGATAATAATCAACGCGAAAGTACAATTTTTCAATTTCTACTGTAAACATGATTAATATGATTTCGAGATAAAATCAGGTAGATGGTTATGACTAGTCTTCAGAAAACTATACTTGAAAATTTAACTTTGAACAGTAATGTTTACTGATGACGTTTCGAGCACAATTTATTGCTCATAATCATATCAAGGTAATCACACGACTTCCTAAATTCATTTATATAGTTCCATTGTTTTTCTCTTGATTTTCACTTGATTTGATTGGTAATAGTATTTTCCATATTTCAGGTATGAGTGACGAGTCATTCCTATTGCATGTGTTGGGTGTAGACTCGATGAACAAGGATTCAGTAATCAACCTCTCTCTCCACCTACCTAGATTACTTTTTAGAATTTTAACCCTCTCCCACCCTATTGTGTGGTTGTGTGTTAGCTCATGCATTGCAATTGCTGAGCTTTTTTCTAAATTACTTATCTTCTCGGGGTCAACCATTCTTACCTTGGCTAAATTCTTATGCTCTGACAATCTGACTACCCCTGACCTACTAGTTTGACCTATGTAGTTGACCTGACTCACAGTCATTGCATGGTATTTTGTAAATAATATTATTTTGTCTAATTGGGTCCACCGGGTCTTTTAGTCTACAGACCTTGTCCTATCTGAGTGAGTTTGTAGGTTTGAATGCCACCCTAATTCCTATTTTATTCAGAATCCTACATAGAGTCTCAGATGTCCCCTCTTTATATGGTATAACTGTGGATGACTTGTATTCTTTCTTATTTATGTTATTATTACTAGTTTCTCAATTATTTTTATTTTGTTTTTGGCCTTTACCGATCTTCCTAATGAATTTTATAGGATAGTTATTCAACACCAACGCTTCTTCCATCTGTTTTAATTCATCATTTAGATCTTTTTTGTGCTACTTAGTGCCACTGCTCGGTTTGTTAAACACTTGACTACGCCTGCCTTAACAGTTAACGGATGAGACGAATTAAAGTCTAAATATCTATTAGAATGCGTTGGTTTTCTATAAACACTAGTGTGTAGTTTGCCTTCTTCTATTCTTTTTATCTTACAATCTAGCATAGCTAATTCTCCTTGTTCATTTTCTGATTCAAATGTGAATTTTATTCCCTCAACTTGTGAGTTTATATGTGTCAAGAAGCTAGAGATGTGTTCTGTTTTTAACACTGTGAAAGTGTCATCCACATATCTCCACAATATTTTCGGAGTAGGGTTAAATATATTGAGGGCACTATTTATGGACAGCTAGGAAAATATTGCCCTCAATACATTTAACCCTACTGGTGTTGAATAACTATCCTATAAAATTCATTAGGAAGATCGGTAAAGGCCAAAAACAAAATAAAAATAATTGTGAAACTAGTAATAATAACATAAATAAGAAAGAATATAAGTCATCCACAGTTATACCATATAAAGAGGGGACATCTGAGACACTACGTAGGATTCTGAATAAAATAGGAATTAGGGTGGCATTTAAACCTACAAACTCACTCAGATAGGACAAGGTCTGTAGACTAAAAGACCCAGTGGACCCAATTAGACAAAATAATATTATTTACAAAATACCATGCAATGACTGTGAGTCAGGTCAACTACATAGGTCAAACTAGTAGGTCAGGGGTAGTCAGATTGTCAGAGCATAAGAATTTAGCTAAGGTAAGAATGGTTGACCCCGAGAAGATAAGTAATTTAGAAAAAAGCTCAGCAATTGCAATGCATGCGCTAACACACAACCACACAATAGGGTGGGAGAGGGTTAAAATTCTAAAAAGTAATCTAGGTAGGTGGAGAGAGAGGTTGATTACTGAATCCTTGTTCATCGAGTCTACACCCAACACATGCAATAGGAATGACTCGTCACTCATACCTGAAATATGGAAAATACTATTACCAATCAAATCAAGTGAAAATCAAGAGAAAAACAATGGAACTATATAAATGAATTTAGGAAGTCGTGTGATTACCTTGATATGATTATGAGCAATAAATTGTGCTCGAAACGTCATCAGTAAACATTACTGTATAACACTGTGAGACTTTATCAAAACAAAATTTATCCGTAATGGAATTACACTCTACCACAGTGCACAAGTTTTATTCTTATATTAACTTTGAACAGTATTTCTGAGATCCATCAAATTTCAATAATCATACTATACGGTAAGTCTGAAGATTTATCTTATTGGCTTAAAGACGCCAATTCCCACCAGCTGACCACGAGTTCATATTCCAGTCCACCTAATGCAGACGAGACCGCCTAATACATGACAGATGTGCTGAGGATTACTGAACTCAAACTATGCATAAGGTCAGTCAAGAGATGTCCTTTTTATATTAAAACCTCTATTGTGTTAATTTCGAATAATTTCCCTGAATAAGTTCGAACCAGTTTGTCGAACGAAACGTTCGCTGAGATTTTACAAATGTCTGTTTCTCACTCGACGCCTAATTATTTTTGAGCTATTCGGTCAAATCTTGATCACAGTTCATATGAAGCTCAGTCATAATCTGAGATAAATCTTTACTGGTGGCCCATTTTTGCTCTGTATGATACACGGTGAAACTTATAGGCAGGCCCAGGTTTCTTTGCTTTGACAAAAAGTCACTGTTAATACGTATCAGAAAAATAATAAACAGCTAAAATGAAGGGGGTGCATTTTGAACCATTCTACGCTAGTTACAGAGAGACAACTCTAAGTGTTACAAGGTGCACTTACTGTCGTCTTTTTCTCTAGAATGTTTTTCACTTCTCTTATTTCTTCAATAATCTTTTGATTATTCGGACATAAATTTTTCGCTTTTTCCAAATCTTTTAAACAATTGATGTAATCACCTGCTTTCTAAATATTAAAAGATTTAAGATTAAATATTGGTCACAAATAAGGAATGGTATATATATATATATATATATATATATATATATCACTGTTAATGTTCCGTTAGTTTTCGAACAGATATAGGGCTTCAGTAGGACATTTCTACTGCGTCCAATTCTCTGCAGTCCTCATTACCTAGCCCATCGATTACCAATAGAGCCTTATCTGTTCCTCGCCCGACCTCTGCCGTGTCACTCTCGGACTTATTTCCAGCTCTTCATTTCCTATTCGAATTCCACTCGAGCAGAGGCCTGGCGCACGATGTTATTCAACTGTTTATTCAGTGGCGTCAGCCAAATCTATCTCCGTCTTCTTCTACATATGTACTCAGTAGTGGGCTCCTGGTTGATTTGCTCCCGTAGTTTCTTATCGCTGATTCCTTCTGGCCATTTGATCCACAGTATGGAACCAGAGAAGTAGGCAGCCGTTGATAAAAGTCATCAATAACATGTAGGAAGTGTCACGCCCATGGTATGTCTCTGTCACTCATATAGAAGAATTGACTCACTTAACGTTTGTATTGAAAAACCGAATTTTTTCGTTTATATTGAGGTGAAGTGCAGAGCTTTTCCAAAATGACTTTAGACTAAGGAAGGTCTGTCTTACGCTTCCGATTCGACTTTAGACATCCTCATCCTTGCCAAGTGTTTGTAGTTGAAAGCAAGCTCCCTAGCCAGATAATAACTGAAGAAAGTGACCTCTCATATTTCTTCCACTTATACTGATTGCTGCTTGTTGTTGTTGGTTGATTGGTTGGTTGGCTATTTTCATCACCTCAGTCTTCTCTATGTTTAATTCAAGTCCTGTCTTTGTTGCCTGCCTATTCGCCCAACTTGTTGGTTCTCACTTGTAAGTCTTTGGGTTTTTGTGACACTAGACATAAATCATCTGTTAAATCCATTTCTTCTAGAATCTTCTAATTCATTCAACATATTCCTATCTTCGCACTCCCCAATGCCTCCAGCATAATTCAGTACACCACAATTAGGAATATCATCATCGATGATAGTACGCAGACAGTCTGGTCTTCACTTCAAACACCTCGGTGAGTTTCCCTTTGTGAATCGCATAATGCGACAGACAACGGCAACCAACGAGGGAACAGGCATAAAATGGACTGACACAAAAGACTTGGAGGATCTGGACTTCGCTGATGATATATGTATGATTTCCCATAAACTGGAAGATATGCAAATGAAAAGCAACAAGTTGGCACAAGAAGCATCCAGAGAAGATAGGACTTCAGATGAACATAGAAAAAACAGAGGTAATGAAGATTCCTGGCCAACACCAACAGCAACAACAACCACAGACAACAATCAGCCAGCATAAATGGGAGGAACCTGTAAGAAACAACCTCCTTTACCCACTTACCTGGGAAGTATCCTTTCAACTACAGGCGGAACTGACGAGGATATCAAAGCCAGAATCGGAAAAGCAAGACAAGCTTTCATTACTCTTAAGTCTGTTTGGAAGTCAACAGCACTCACCATCAAAAATAAGATCCGGATTTTCAACTCCAATGTAAAGTCAGTGCTACTATACGGACCAGAGACTTGGCGAGTCATAAAGAGCATCTCAAACAAACTTCAGACCTATATTAACAGTTGTCCTCGCTCAATACTCAAGATCAGATGGCCGGCCAGAATAGATCAGGTACAGGGATCTCTGGGAGCGAACCAACCAGGAACCGATTGTGCAACAAACAGGCAGGAAGAAATAGAGGTGGATTGGCCATACACTGGGGAAACCATCAAGTGAGTGACATCACTACACAAGCCATTGCTCGAGTGGAACCCGAAAGGGAGGCGGCGAGTTGGTCGTCATTTCAAGGGTGACTTGGAGGAGGTCATGTGAGGAAGAGATGAAAGCATGTGGGCAGACTTGGAGTGGAGTGAAAAAGTTGACAGAAAACAGAAGGCAATGAAGACGTTGTGGCTGAAGCCCTATGTTCCTCTAGGAACTAAAGGATACAATAATAATAATATATTTCCAGCTTTTAACGCTACTCCGTTGGCAGAAGAGGAAACGAAGACGAGAATTCACGTGGACACATGGAAGACAGAGTTCATGAAGATACTCAACCAGCCAACATTAATAAACACCAATTACCATCAACGGAAAAAATCCAGAGAAAGTTGTCTCTTTCACTCACTTCCCTCAGCACCGCTGTCTTAACTAAAGGTGGCACAGATAAGGATGTCAAAACTAGTTATAAGTGTATTAGGGTGATGCGGTAAAAACAGCAGTCCCTGCTGCCAAATTACGCTGTGTCTTCAAAACCAATTCCATTTTGCGTTCGGGAGTAACGGATAAGCTACCTAATTTCGCCTCTTCCATGTGCATCTACCAGTTTAACTGCTCCTGTGGAGCCAGTTACATAGGCCGTACAATTAAGCGTGTTTCTCGTCGAATTTCTCAGCATCACCCTGTACGGTTAAGCAAAGGATAAACAAAATCTATTCACGGCGTTATTCTATCTCATTTTGTGGATACAGAAAACAAGATTGATGTTAACCATGCTTTCACGATCATTTACCGCATACCTACGAATCTCAATTTTCCCTTAAGAGTTCGACTACTAAATATTTCTGAGGCTGTGGGGATCCATGTTAACAAGCCTAATTTCTGCATCCAAAAGAAGTTATTTCAGAAAGTATCCCTACCTTGGCCATCTAGGTTTGAATGATCCTGAATTTTGGCCGTTGTTCTTGGAACTTGAATTTTGGCTCTCGAGAACATTTCCCACTATGGCTAAGAAAAAGTGTAGTGAAAACCACCTGGTGCAAACGGGTCACAAGGCCAGCCAGCATTGAAGAATCCTTCTCTATCATCTACCAGTAGCCTAATAAATTCCAAAAATCATCGGAGCACCGCATGCTACAAACAGCAGAGGCTATTGCAATTCGTTTCAAACAACCAGTGCTCTGTGTTCAAAAGAAGCAAGTCCAGCCAGCCTCTACTACTGTCCTGGCCGGTCTTCAGTAGAGACTGGAAATTCATCAATTTCTATTATTATCTTTCCGAAGTTTTTCTGACATTCAATTTATTGTTATGTTGATGCTATTGAACTGTAATCTGTTGATATTATAGTTGATTCGATGTAATTTAAACTATATTAATCTTGTTCATAACACTTATTCATTCATTCATTCACCATAAAGCCTGATGAAGAAGGGGTTATAGAAAAGAATATTCTTTGTTCAGTATCCATTCTTTTCAAAATTTTAATGGGCATTTTTAATCAAATAAAAATAGGCTTTCATTACACTGAAATCAGTGTGGCAATCCACAGTGCCCAGTAGGAGAAACAAAGGTGATCCAAAAATTTTCAACACGTATATTAAGTCAGAGTTTCTGCATGTTTTAGAGACATGTCACATCACCGCAGTTGTACCTCTGAAGTCCTATTTTTTTTTCACTCAGAACGCAAGCAATGAATAGTAATAATCCCTCATCTTATGAAATCAATTTTTATTACATTCAGGTAAGAGGGATACATAAAAGAGAACATACATTTATGGGGAGTTCAAAAAGTTTAATTATTAGCTCTCAGAGACAGCCTGGCAAATCAACTGAACACATCACACAAAATCACATTACTTTTGCAATTAATAGTGTTCTCTGAGATGGTTGGTTTAGTTGCGGAGCTTTCATCGTCCTTCTGGACAACATCCTCTTTAAGCGCAATATTTGGCATAAAGTGAAATGATTTAAATTTCTTCATGAGTGATATAATTGCCTCTCCTGGTAACCACCTTTTTTCTATATGTATTGACCATTTTCTATTTTCCGCAAATAAACCAACCAGCTCAGAGAACACTGTTAACAGCAAATCATCCACCTGAGCTACAAATCTTCTCTGTGTATCGCATTACTTTGTCTAGGCGAACAACAATCTACGTATATGTAAGGTATAGAGTTTGGGCGGTGAGGGGAGGGAGGGAGGGGGGAATAGTCTGATGATGCCGAATCCAACTTATTTTAATAAGTTCTCTTTCACTGAGTGTTTCTCAGTATTTTAATAAATCTCAGTCAGACATCTAACGTCTCCCTTCTCAATGATATCACCTTAATACATCTTGCTCCACTCAAGCATAATTCTACTCAATACAGCATTGCTTGTTGACGGATGCAATGACTAAGCATACGACGTAGAATGTATATTACCATCACACTAAAGTAACAACAGATGGACTAATTAAGTGTTCTTTATTAACAACTAACTGTAAATTAGATACTTGAAAGCAGTCAGTAGAAATTTGCATAAAACTATATACTACTGATCGACTGAGATGAGTAATTGAATGCCACTGATATCAACCAACACTGCTTCCTGACGAGCCAGATACACCGAGGTGATCTAAGCACGTGATGACTGTTCCACTTGTTTTAGGCTGATCTCGTCAGTGGTGTGCCCAGTTGGGACCACACCCACTTTCTGACTAGTTACTTGGTTGAACTGGTCATAACATAAATCAAATTCACAGTTTCCAATCTTTACAATTCGAACTGCTAACCAATTTGCACATTGTGAATTTGAATCAGCAAGAATCCCTGGACTCCGGTTTTAGGCTTATTGACACTTTTTTTTCCTTCACGTTTCCCAGTGGAACATAGGACTTCAAGCTAGCGGCTTGAAGTTTCTGTAGCAGTAGTGTTTATTTTTACAGGATGGGGTTGCTAGCCTCATGCCCAACCAGTCCTCTTTACCAGTATTATTTCTGGCTTAGCGAGGTAAAGGAGTGCGTCGGCCGGGGATCCAACCCGGACCATGTGCATGGTTGACGAGCATCCTAACCGCTATGCCACCGACGCACCATTGACACTCATTAGCAAGTTGTATCTACAACTTCAAGGGAATAAATATCTCCACTGAGATTCAAATACGCATCATTCTGTGATACACTTAGAGATGTTATAGGCGAGCTATATTGTTTAACTGAACGATAGTTCCAGTCAAATTATTTTTTATAAGTCGAAAGATTAAACATTGCCTTGAATGGTTCACATTTCATTTACCAATCAACACAAGCATGATAAGCAATTATGTTCACCGTTTTCTGTAAACCATACCTGTAAATTTTCAAGTCTTAATGTGTATGTATCTGCAACTCAGCCTGTTGTGAGCATAAAGTAATTTGCCATTCACTAGGGGAAAGACGAATGTTCATCCTACAGAATATCTCAACAATTATCGATAACATTTATTTTAAAACTTTCAAATAGCCTTTCCAGACAAACTTTTTATGACATTTATTTCCCGATACGAATTGAAAACAAGCGACAAAGGGGTTAATAAAGCAGGATGATTTAACGAATTCATCAAATTTCGGTAGAACTCTTCCCTAGCTGAATACTCTACATACACGGATATATATACATTGAATTAGTCATGCAGAAAGACATCCTTGACACTTCAAACTGCATATATCAATTTGAGTGTAATTGTGGAAGCAAATACATAGGTCGTAGAGAAAGGCGATTGTCTACTCACATGATGAAGCATTTGCCAAAATGATTGACAACAGCTGATTGCAAAGTGCCAAAATCCTTAAAAACAAAACATCTTGTGAATTACGGACATGATATCGACGCGGTCAAGTCATTCACTATTGTCAGCAGACAGAGAAACAAGAAGATGCTTGCAATTGCAGAGGCTTGTAACATTATCTTACTCACTTTAACACTATTATTACTATTATAATATCTATTACTATTGGTATTACTCTGTTTGTCATTCTTGTTATATTCTCTATTGACTAATTGTTTATCCAAGTGATGTAATTGAAGCGTCATGCATTTTATCCTTATTTTGATCTCTTATACTCTCTCTCCCTTTATCTATAAAACATTCGCACCTGTCGTCTTTCTGCATGACTAATTCAATGTAGTTTGTTTACTTATCAGTTTTATATCTCCCAATGTAATTTCAAAACATGTATATATATCCGTGTATGTAGAGTATTCAGCTGGGGAAGAGTTCTACCGAAATTTGATGAATTCGTTAAATCATCCTGCTTTATTAACCCCTTTGTCGCTTGTTGTAAACTTTTTATGCTATTCATTGTTCGAAAAAAGATCTGGCATATTGACTTTAATATAAGGTGACACTTTCTTTAGATACTGCAAGGCAGATGACCGAAAGCGAAAAGAAACAAAAGGCTCTGACAAAAAACCATGTAAGAGCTTGTTACCCGACAAATATGTAGAAGGGAAGGCAGGTGGATTAATTTGATACACACTGGAGATATATTTAATTAATAACACTCATTAGGCGCACAAATGAAACACAAATGAGGGTCAAAAGGTTTAGCCTGCATCCTTAACACTGAGAAAACCATGTTCGGAAGAAATGAAATATTGTTTGTAGATAGTCGTGGAGAAAGTTGAACGTGATGGCGAGGGATCTAGCAGAATAGAGATTTTCCCTCGACGCCCTATTTTAATCTGAGTACAAAATCTATTAAAGATTACTAATTCGAGTGATTAATAGTACAACAGACAATAAAAGCGAAGGTGACACTTACTTACCTTTAGCGCTAAGGCTTTTCGATAAACTGCAATTGGACAATTTGGTTCTATGGATAAAGCCAATTTACAATCATTGACCGCCGACTGGTATTCATTAGTTTGTAAATATACCAATGAACGATTACGATAGATAACAGCTAATCGTTTATCACTGTTCAAATTATGCTTTAAACATAATTCAATGCATTCATTGAAATATTTTAATGCTAACTCCATATTTCCCTTTATCAAAGGAAGAATAAATCATTTTAAAGGTAAAACCGTTATGCTACTGATGGATTTGATTTCAGTAGCTGGTGGGAATTTTAAAAATAAAATCCAGTGGTTTAATCTCTTCTATGAAGAAGTAGACATCAGCTAAATTTTAAAAAACTTTTTAACCACATTTCATATATACATTAAATAAATCTGAAGCTTACGCTTTGGTTACAAAAAAGGCTTGCCATCAATTTCACTAACCTCATCATATCGATATGTTGGTACGGTGTTAGTTAAATTTTCATCCATTTCTTGTTGTTTCAGTCATCCGATGATTTGCTTGTATCACTACATGAACTCATACAGACTTTTAATTAATTTACAACATGAAGCTGAGGGAATGAAGGAGATATATCTTGCTGAATCGAATCATACTTGGTATGGAGCAACACAACGTTACATGATGTACTGTCGACCACTATTTTACTTGGAGAGCCTGTACGAAGGGCAAATAGTTTGCCGTTTGCGTACACTGAACATTTTCTGCTGGCGTAACACCAGTGTTTTTAAAGCATCCCTTAATTCGATCAGTGCAACGTTTTATTTTTTCAAGACGAATTTGTAAGTAAAGGAATAACTTCTGAGTAGATCTCTCCACAAGGGACCGCGAGACAACTGCATGAAACCCACCGCTTTTTTAGCATTAATCTACTATATATAAGTGGCTAATTCCAAGAAGGACTGTCCTCGTGTCTCATTCAAAAATCTGATACACGGTGTTTACACATTCTTGTAGGGAGAGAAATAATCACCAGTGTTGTCGAAAGGCGGTGACGAGATACCGCACAGAGTGGTGAAAGTTATTCTACATGGGTAAATTTTGTTTTGATAAAGTCTCACAGTGTTATACAGTAATGTTTACTGATGACGTTTCGAGCACAATTTATTGCTCATAATCATATCAAGGTAATCACACGACTTCCTAAATTCATTTATATAGTTCCATTGTTTTTCTCTTGATTTTCACTTGATTTGATTGGTAATAGTGTTTTCCATATTTCAGGTATGAGTGACGAGTCATTCCTATTGCATGTGTTGGGTGTAGACTCGATGAACAAATTCTAGGTAAATCAAGTGAAAATCAAGAGAAAAACAATGGAACTATATAAATGAATTTAGGAAGTCGTGTGATTACCTTGATATGATTATGAGCAATAAATTGTGCTCGAAACGTCATCAGTAAACATTACTGTATAACACTGTGAGACTTTATCAAAACAAAATTTACCCATAATGGAATTACACTCTACCACAGTGCACAAGTTCTATTCTTATATTATTCTACATGGGCTTGCAAATTGAAACCTAATGATTACACAATAATATCTTATACCTGACTATACAAAATTCAGTCCCTAATAAAACCTTCTGAAAGAAGTCAAAACCAGATTTTTTCTAAAATAGCCAATGAGTTTTTCCCCGATATCCACTGATTCTCCCTAACTAATGACAGTTATAGTGCTAATGTATACTGCAATTAACTTTATGCCTTCCCGAATATGACTAATGTATGCGTATGGAAATTAAAATTGACAAGTTTCTGTGTAACAGAAATTCTTATGAATGTTCTGACTTCATTTCCGGAGAACAGGACTTACAGAAGTAGACAACACCATGTCCATTCTCCATATTCATTATTCTGATCGATTTGGTTCTGTTTTGCGGTAGTAGTGTAACGTGGGAAGACAACAGCCAGGCAACAGATCGGTTATTGATAAAACTGTTATGTACTCATCGCCAAATTGTTATGTACTCGTCGCCAAATTATTGTTATGTACTGGTCGAGAATTTAATAGTCCTGACGCAAGAAAGACGGAAATCAGAAGACCACTAGGTTTGCGATGATACTTCTATTTTCCAACACAAGGAGAATCAAATGTGTATCACACCAAAGTAGAGTCACACAAAATTGTGAGAGCGAAATATATATGAACATCCAGACAAGTGTGTGAACAAATCAATAGACATTCTTAATATGAATGGCTAATTATAATGGAGTATCGATCCATATATATATATATAGCAAAATATAGCAGACATGTCAACAACAACCATATATGGATATATGTCACCAAGCAACGGACTGTCAACAAACACTCATATTATATATAATATAAGGGGAATATACATTGTTAAAGGAGACAGGTTCATCAAATTGAAATGGTCACAGACTAAGCGAGCAAACAGAAAGAGATCACCATATATATATATATGGATACATATTAAAAACAAACAGATATTTATAGATTTTTATGTACATTGTTAGCAGAGAAGCAACGTCTTCTGATTGGTTGTTTTCCTGCTAAAAAATATTCTGTCACCCTTTTGTTGCCGTTTCTTAGACAGTCCGGTGATATATCTGTGAATCATATCCGTCCATGCTACGTCTAATATGACTGCTTGTTGAATTCATCAAGTTTTGGCTTTATTCTTGTTTTCTCTGCTGACCCCAATGAGGGAAATAAATTGTTGCATAGAATTTTGTCTTGCAGACAGTTATGACCACAGTAGAATGGAAGATTTACCCCACTTTTCATTTCTGCTGAACTTGATTTCTACGTGCAATGCATTACATTTCATGAGTAAATTTCTCATACAAGTATTTGCAAAATATACAACAGGTAGTTAGGTACAGAGGCTCCTTTCCCGATTTTTACATTTTCTTTAGAGGATAGTAGAGAATAAGATGCATTATCATAAGCATAATGGCTGATATCAATCAGTAGGTACATATCAGGGAAACTCAATAAGGATGATTGAGTTACGTAATGGGGTGAATTATTCAGTGTGAATGAGTGGTAATCAGAGTGCACATAAACAAAACACAGGTATTTTAGTATCGCGTCAGAATTCGAGAGGAATGCAAGAGTTTGAAAAAGTTTCTTTTTTTAAAAAGTGGTTGAAAACAACTTCTCCATAACATGACAGTTTACCTCTAGACCAACCTCACCCATGTTTTCCCTCTGTTTGGATAGCTAAAGTTTTAGCAATACAAAGAAGACAGACGGATACTGTCATCGGTAGGTGACCATTCATTTTGTTTGAAAACTTTGATAAAAGATTTTGTAGACCATTAGTCATGAGTGTGGACAACGCTTTCAACTGTTGAACGATTAAACTTTAAATCAATCGAATCTTTACCAAGTAAGATTTAAGCGCCTTATGAAATGGCCGGAAAAAAGCCACTTCGCTAGGGTTAATTGTTTGTTTTTTATGAATGCATCAAAATCCAAATTTCTTTATTTTATATTCAAAATTGATTTCTGAATTCATCAGGATTTTAGCTTTTAATACACTGATAACTACTGTGCTATTTAGAATGTTTGACGTGTTTATTAGAAAAGCCTTTCTAGTGTCGATTTTCGTTTAAATATTACGTACTATAGAAGCATTTAAATAATGAGTATTATCCTTAATTTCATTTAGACTTATTATTTGCTTTAAAGAAAACAGAACAGAATTTTATTCAAGTGTTGGTTAGTAGTGATTTGATTTCATGGTTACGGGACTTCATCATGAAATGACATAGATTGGAGAGAGCAATTGGAAAAACTTGTAGGGATTACTGGACACCTGTTTCGTCTTAGTTTGGGAAGTTTTATCACTGCGCAGCTAATGAAGTTTGAAACCAGGACCTTCAGCCAGCCACTGCGAATTCATGGCAAGGCGTGACCACTATAGTGAATGTCATTCGTGGCGAGTATTTTTCCTCATCTCCGACCTTCTGTACCCTACTGATCACGATTTCCCACTAGAACCCAGGTAACCACCTACATGAATATGATCGGTCGCTAGTGAGCATCACTAAACATCAAATGGTTGGTAGGAAAATAACGACATCATTCTTTTCACTAGTATTACCATGTCGTGGACTCTTTTTAATCGCTTACAACATAAACAAAATTAAAATATATTAATTCCAATAATGTTTAGGTTTAAGAAGTAGAAACGGATTAACAAAATATTAATAAATTGTAGTAGAAATCGTCTACAAGCTCGCTTTGTAACGAAAAGGTCCTCGATTTTAAACCCGATGGGTCCAAAACGAGGAAGAAGCACCTGTCCAGTAACCCAGGTTTTCATTATTTCTCTGATGGATATCAATCCGTGATCAAACTTAAAACGGACAAAATCGCCGCAAACTAACTCTTAAAAATTAATCTGAGGCTTGTTAGTGACTGGCTACAGTATAAAATTGACTAGAGTTCTAGTGAGAAGTCGCGACCGCCAGCCAGTAAGGTCTCTATCTGGTCGACAGTGAAGACAAATACACACCAGCGATAACATAGTGGCTGGTGGCAGTCACAATAAAATCATCAACTGGTAGAAGTTAGAATTCCTGGGCTGGAGGCCATTGAGGAGTCGAGTCCTAGTGGTTGAATGGTCTACGAGCTTGATTTGTAGCTGGAAGGTGATGGACGGAACTCCAGCAGTTAGAAGGGCGTGTACTCCTGATGAGCCCCGAACTAGGCTGACGAAGCAGCTGTACCTCAGTGCTCCAGTTCTGTTTTTTTAATAGTTTTCTAAATGATATCAATTCGTGGTCTTGAAACAAATCAAGTCCCTTCCAACAAACTTTTGAAAAGTAATAAAAATAGTAAGCTTTCATATTATCCCACTACACATTCGCTGTCCTTGACATTTTTGTTCAACTTTCTCAATAGGAATCGATTGAAATCTCAAAAGTTTATTTATAATATGTTTGGTATAGAGGTGATGCAGTATTCAGGAATTAGGTTCCATCAGGACAGGGAAGAAATTTGCTAACTCTAATTTGAGCACTTGAAGATTGGTTAAATATTGTCATCGAATAAAGTACCTATCATTCCTTATATTCCGAGGGAGAACAGAGGACTCCAAGATTTGTATTTTTTAGTTGCTAGACTCCAAGCAAATCTTCCCTCTCTTTCCTTTCCGGAATATTTACCTGTCAGATTAGGTTAAATCGTGAGTTCATGCTGACAGGAATTCTAATAGTGAACCACCGACGCCTAATTAAACCATGTTCATACAATAAAACAGTCAGAAAATTACCTCTTTATAACACTGATTTCCTTTTTGTTTTAATTTTTCATAATTTGATATTGAACTTTTATCCTAAAATTTTAAATAAAAGAAATAAATGGTAAATATTTAATTATATCTGTCTGCGCAATGCTTTAGTAAGATTTAAAGATGAAGTAACCATTGTATTTAATATGGCCATTATATTGCCATTATTCAGAATACTTTATCTTAATGTCACCATTCCTTTCTCAGGCGTGAGGCTAGCAACCCAACCCTGCAAACAAAATTGCTACAGAAACTTCAGCAAAATGAACCTATTTGCACCAAAAGAAAAAGTCTGTGTGGGGACATGGAACGTCCGAACTATGTACGAGACCGGCAAAGCTGCCCAGATCGCCAACGAGATGAAAAGATACGGAATCCAAGTGCTGGGAATATGTGAAAGCAGATGGAATGGGAGTGGACTCACCAAATTGTCAACGGGTGAGTCAGTGATCTACTCCGGTCACCCAGAAGATAACCACACGCACACCGAGGGCGTGGCTATCATGATGTCACCAACGGCAACGAAAGCCCTGATGCAATGGGAGGCGATCTCGTCCAGGATAATGACCGCCAGATTCAACTCCAAAGGGAGGAAAGTGTCAATCATAAAATGTTATGCACCCACAAACAACGCAGACCTCGAAAAGAAAGAAGAATTCTACAGACAACTACAGGCAACAATGGACAATACTCCACCTGGCGACATGAAAATACTAATGGGAGACATGAACGCCAAACTGGGACCAGACAACACAGGAAGGGAACTCATCAGGGGTAGAGAAGCTCGCGGAGAAATGAATGAAAACGGAGAACTCTTCGCCAACTTCTGCGCCTTAAACGAACTAGTGATTGGTGGCAGCGCATACAAACACAGAGATATCCATAAGGCTACATGGGTGTCACCAGACGGGAGAACCAAAAACCAAATTGACTTCATCTCAATGCCGCTCAAGGAAGTGGAGGCGCAGCCTACTAGACACTAAAGGAAGAAGAGGAGCACACGTTGGCTAAGACCACTATTTCGTCGGTGGGACAATCCAAATCAAATTAAAAGCTTTCAGGGAAACAGGAGCTGCAGATAGACCACAAGCCAAGTTCAACACTCAAAAACTGAAGGACCAGGTTACAAAGGACATCTTCATTGCAAGCACAAAGGACAAAGCCGAGACACAAATCAACACTAGCGAAGAGGTCGGCGTCGAAAAGCACTGGAACAACTTGAAAACGGTGTGGAGTCAAACCTGCATGGAAGTTCTAGGCAGAAAGAAGATACAGGACAAACAATGGCTCACTACGGACACTAGGAAACTAATGGAAGAGAGAAGGATAGTGAAACAAAAGATTATCCAGTGCACTGACGAGCAACAAAAACAGGAGCTGAATGCAAGCTACAATACAGTGAACAAAAGAGTGAAGAAGAGTGCCAGGGAAGACAAAAGAAAATATTATGAAACCTTGGCAAACGAAGCAGAACAAGCTGCAGGCAAAGGAGAACTCACCACACTCTACCAAACAACTAGGCACCTTTCGGGCAAACGTTCGACAAGGATTAAGCCAATAAAGGACGACAATGGAAAGTCAATCACCAAAGAGGTGGAACAAAGAAAACACTGGGCTTAACACTTCAAAAGACTTCTAAATCGTCCGCCACCTACAACACGCCCAACAATACCAACAACGGAAGCAGAACTACCAGTGAACATTGACCCCCCGACAAAATCAGAAGTCCTGAATGCAATCAGGATGCTAAAAGCTGGGAAAGCAGCATAACCAGATGGAATCCCAGCAGAAGCTTTGAAAATAGACCCAGAGACAACAGCGGACTTGATGACTCCACTGCTGGAAAAGGTGTGGAAAGAGGGCAAAGTACCCGAGGATTGGAAGAACGGATACTTATTCAAACTTCCAAAGAAAGGAGACTTAAGTCAATGTAAAAACTGGCGTGGAATTATGCTTCTGTCCATTCCAAGCAAGATACTAAGCCGCATCATCCTGGAGAGAATCGAACAAGCCAACCTGGATGGAAAACTTCGAGGCGAGGCTGCCTATTATCACCAATGGTCTTCCTGATTGCAGTAGATTGGATAATGCGACAGACAAAGGCAACCAACGAGGGAACAGCCATAAAATGGACTCACACAAAAGATTTGGAGGATCTGGACTTCACCGATGATATATATCTGATTTCCCACAAACTGGAAGATATGCAAGTGAAAAGTAACAAGTTGGCAGAAGAAGCATCAAAAGATAGGACTTCACGTGAACATAGAAAAAACAGAGATGATGAAGATTCCTAGCCAACATCAACAGCAACAACAACCACAGACAACAATCAGCCAGCATAAATGGGAGGAACCTGAAAGAAACAACCTCCTTTACCCACTTACTTGGGAGGTATCCTTTCAACTACAGGCGAAACTGACGAGGATATCAAAGCCAGAATCGGAAAAGCAAGACAAGCTTTCATTACTCTTAAGTCTGTTTGGAAGTCAACAGCACTCGGCATCAAAAATAAGATCCGGATTTTCAACTCCAATGTAAAGTCAGTGCTACTATACGGACCAGGGACTTGGCGCGTCATAAAGAGCATCTCAAACAAACTTCAGACCTATATTAACAGTTGTCCTCGCTCAATACTCAAGATCAGATGGCCGGCCAGAAAAGATCAGGTACAGGGATCTCTGGGAGCGAACCAACCAGGAACCGATTGTGCAACAAACAGGCAGGAAGAAATGGAGGTGGAATGGCCATACACTGAGGAAACCATCAAGTGAGTGACATCACTAGACAAGCCATTGCTCGAGTGTAACCCGAAAGGGAAGCGGCGAGTTGGTCGTCATTGCAAGGGTGACTTGGAGGAGGTCATGTGAGGAAGAGATGAAAGCATGTGGGCAGACTTGGAGCGGAGTGAAAAAGTTGACAGAAAACAGAAGGCAATGGAGACATTGTGGCTAAAGCCCTATGTTCCTCTAGGAACTAAAGGATACAGTAATAATAATTCAGAATACCTAAACATTGGGAACAGCCATCTCATCTATCCTAGTGTGTGACTCTGTGAAAATATTCATCAATGTTTCCAGGAGGAATCAAATCTACATTAGGAATGCGGGAATTTCACCTTTTAATCAATTAGGTTGGAATCCGATGATCTGTAAATTTTGACTTCTAACAATTTATGATATAGGACTGGGGCGATTCAGTGTTACAGATACACACCTACTCTCAAATATTTATCTAAGGAGCCTACTTTACTTTTCAAATAACATTTGTGAGAGAAAACTCAACGTATTTTGTTAATAGTCAACGTACTAACCTTTACTGGGCCACTTATGAAATTTGTTGACCAGCATCTAAAAGAGCTGACATTCAGACATATTGACAACAGGAGGACCAGTCCGTGGATATCAAAATGATTTATCAGTAAAGCCATGAAAATTGTTGTTGTCAGAGCCTTTTCAATCATTTTTTGATTGGACACTAGTAAGTAGCTAGTGTGATGTGTCTAATCCTCTGTTTGGTGCAGACTGAATTCTATCAGTCACGTCTACAATGCGGCCACCATGCAACAAGGTGGCTCGACAACATGGTTCACTCTAAATAGTTGATATTAGATGGTTGGACACCGAAAAGCTCAATTGTAAAGTCTTTGACTGCAACACTAGGTGACCCGTGTTCGAATCTTAAAGGGGACATGAATCCTTCAAGGTTGTAGATGCTCCTTCCCGCATGAATGCATCATACTATTACAGACTTCCTGAATATTGCATGAACGAATTCAAGTGCTCCATCTGTACATAACTGAATCAATGGCTATTCGGGATCTGAAACTGGACGTCTGCGTTCAAAAGTACTAACATATATTCACTCTCCCTACTGTAATCAAAGTAACAATAAATTTACTTCATTTTTTTATGCAATTTCAGTATTATTATCATCCTTATTTTATTATCACTCTATTACTGTTTATTAATAAATAACTTTGCGTTTCATACAGATTTTATGTAAAAACACTTTATCGTCTTTCCACTAGTTCGTGTCCATTCTACACAATTATATAGTGTAATCATTTTTCACACTTATTGCGTCATTTCAACTTCTGCTCTTATTTGTTAATTTCCTAACCAATACTTCATTTTCATAAAAATTCATGACAGTTAACACGTGGACCTTAGATACTCTCTGGATGTAATCGTCATCTAATTTCTTGAGTATTGAGTAGTATTTCTCTTTCTTTTATTCATTTACGTTCCCAGTGAAGCACAGCGCACTTTAAGCTAGAGTCTTGAAGTTTCGTTAGCAGTGGTGTTCATTTTTTTGCGGGATAGCATTGCTAGCCTCATTTCCAACCTTCCCACTTTACCAGTCTTAATACTGACGCAGTGAGATAAAGGAGTGCGTCTGTAGCTGGGGACCGAATCCTGAACCACCTGAGTGGTTGGTGAGCATTCTGCCTCTGTGCCACCGTGGCACAGTATTTCTCTTATGTCTACTGAATTGAAAAAATGAGGTAGAGAAAGCTTACCGTGATTGCCTCTGTTGTGTGTTTATCTATGCAAGATTCTTTGATTTCAGTGTGACAATTTGTATCTCCATGAGATGTCGTTTTATTTGTAGTGATATCGGTAGTTTGTCTCTTCTTCTTTTCTCCAGTCATCTCTTCTGTTACTTTGTTAGTCAATTTGACGTTATTATTACTGCTATTTATTACACGATTACAATCATCGTCCTCATCATTATTACGATCACTGTGATCCATTCCTTCGGAAGTATTCACACTGCTCTTCACCTCAATGACTTCTTGTTGTTTATCCCCGTTTACTTCTTCTTCGCCTTCTTTTTTGTTATTTTCCTCTTCTTCCTGTATATCTTCATCATCGCTTTCTGAACTGTCTGAGGAATCACCAACATCTGTTATAGTCATACGTCGATATCCTTCTAAGCGGGAATTTTCACGTTTTGACTTAGCTATTCTTACATTACGCAATAAATTCTGTCAATAAAACAAAAGATAGGCAGAAAATAATAACAATAATTTCACAATAAAGTAATACATACAACTAGTTAACTAATATTCATGTCGAAATTGGAGAAACAAATGCAAGGTATGCTTGGAGAATTTATGCTGTATAAACGTTATGTAGATGATACTCTCATTATGGGTAATAATAGTAAATCTATTGAAAACTTTATTACCCTAGTTATTCCTATTCGTCCAAATATCCGAGTGACTTCCGAACTAGAATCGAATAATAGACTTGATTTCCTGGGTATTAGTATGACTAGAAGAGATGATGGAACGATCCAACGATCTATTTTTCGTAAACAGACATGAAGTGAACAATATCTTCATTTTACCAGTTTTGTTCCTATTCAGTATAAAGGTTCCTTAGTGAAATGTTTGTTCTCAAGGGCCCGCAATAAATGTACGAGCGACACATTGATAGGTGAGCTTCGACACACACATTCAGTTTTATTAGCTAATGGATATCCAGAAAAACTTTATCACTTGTCACAGTAAAGAAAGACCACATCTCAAAAAGACAGCTTCTGTACCGAAGAAAGCTATCTTCATTAACCTCCGAATCAAGGGCGATCAGATTATGCAGTTGACAGCCATCAAACGCACATTCTACGCCGCCACATCTCTTTTTCTCACATGCCGAACATTTCCAATCCCTGCACCTAGGATTAAAGGACGAAATTCTGTGGACTCTACTTCATCAAACTGTATCTACAAGTTCACCCGCAGCTGCGCTGACAGCTATACAGGTAGAACCAGCAGAATGTTCCAATGTCGTCGAAAACAACATGTTCCAAAATGTCTACTAAATCATATAGAGAATTCCAACGCGATTAATATTAATAGAAATCCAGCATCATCCATTGCAAAACACTTATTAATATCAGGTCACAAAATCAATATTAATGACTGCTTCACAATTATTTCACATAACTCTAATTCAAGGTTATTGAAGGGGATGGAAACAGTTTGGATTAATCGCATACAGCCTAAACTGTGTGTACAAAAATCAATAGACTTCAATCTTCGCCTACCCTGGACTGCATGACCTATTTAAATATGATTGGTCATTAGTAGTATGCACTTTTGTTTTTTATATAACTGAGTAATTTTCATGATCTTTATTTTATTATTGTTAACCATGTTAGTTGTAAAGCGGTTGAAAAGAAAATACGAAATGACGATATCATCTTGCGAAATTTGTCTTCTTAATGCCTTATTCTAATTAACTAGTGTTTGAATTGATGAAATGAATCTCGCCTGTTCATAAATCGCATTGATTAGTCACTTAATGTTCATGATATTTTGTTTCAGTAAATGTCTCAGTTCCGTCTTTACCAGTTTTATTCTTTTCAGTTCTGTTTTCTGAACCGTTATAAAAAAACTCCAAAAATTGACATATATATAAATAAAATGATTAATTATTGAATTGAATTTTTGATTTTCCCGTCGATTGATTGGACCGAAGTGCTCGGTCTCAGGTTGACATGTCGGCATCTTGTGCAGATGCTTCGACGATGTCTGGGGATTTGATTTGTATACAATTGGTGGATGGTGGCTAGCAGTGGAATCCAGGATAAAGCGCATTTCGTCCTATTTGGGACTCGTCAGCTGGATGTACCTGCATTTCTCAGTCGACGGGAAAATCAAAAATTCAATTCAATAATTAATATGACCCGTCGCACAAGAGGTGGCTCTCGTAGCCCAAGTGGTCTAGTGGATAACGCTTTGGGTTTGAAACTATGGGCACTGGGTTCGAGCTTCGATGGGAACATCACCACTCACTGAGGAATGCAGGTACATCCAGCTGACGAGTCCCAAATAGGACGAAATGCGCATCCTGGATTCCACTGCTAGCCACCATCCACCAATTGTATAAAAATGATTAATTGTTTATTTCATGATAAGCTGTTAACGCTTTGTTTGCGTTTTTATTCATCCTTGCCTGTGAAGAGACTCTTTTCAGTGAATTTATTATCAAACTGCCCAATCGCACATAGATGCTTTTTAAGAAATTATATCCGGTGAAGGAATTGAATCATAGGTGTGAATGCATAAAATAATAATAATAGTATGAAATGCAATCGTCTTTCTAAATCAATCAGTAAGACGTTATTTGCTGCAAAACTAAAAATGACCTTCACCAGTAGCAAAGTGCTTCTTTATCTCTGCAAAAGATATGCTTTCTCATCTGGCCGCCTCCATGTGCATCTATCAGTTCACCTGCTCCTCATGTGGAGCAGGCTGCATGAGTCTTAGCTAGAGAATGCTTTCCAAGCGGCTACGAGAACAAATTCCAGCATAGTTTTCGAAGAAAGAAAGAAATGTTGTGAAAAGTTCTATATTCTGGAACACTTGACCGACTTCTGTCAACTTTATCAATCACCTATCGAATTCATGCCTACCTGACGTATTTTTTCGTTCTAGACTTCTAAAGACAGCGGAGGACTTGGCCATTGATGAATTCAAGTCAGACCTTTGTGTGCAAAAGAAGTATGTACAATCTCTATTTCTGCCTTCGTCGGACAGGAGTAAGCATTTATTTACTTATATTTCTTATTGATTTTTTTAACTTAGTTCACTATGCTAAGATGAACAGCTTTCTATCAGGAATTAGCAAATAGTCTTCGTCTAACGGCCTTAAACTAAATCCTTCCAAATATCAGACTGTTAATTTCACTTTCCGATGTAAGCGAAAGTTAAATGAAGCTGTTGGTTCCTGTGACCCTTGCAAAATTGGTGATACTGATATAGAAATCAAGTCTACAGTTAAGTATCTTGGATTAATTCTTTCTTCTGATCTATCTTGGTCTTCCCATGTCTTAGCGATTTCTAAAAGAATATTTCGTCTGACTTTTTACACTAGGAAGTTGAAGCACTCAGGCATAACCCAACCACTCCTCTTACAGTTTGTCAACTCGCGTATTTTACCTATTCTTCTTTACTGTTCACCCTTATTCTTTCCTGGATTGCTTAAAAAAGACTATGTCATACTTCGTAGAACTCTGAAGACTGTCAGTAGGACGAGTGGTATCCCATTGGGCCATATTGTTGACATTGTCACTGATAGGCACTTGATGTCATGTAACAAATATCCTAAAGGAATTTTGTCAGACTCTAAGCACCCACTGTACGCGCAGCTCCAACCTTGTGTCTCCTCAGGTAAAACAAGAAATCTTTTCAAAAGAATTTATGCATGTGCGTCTAAGTATGAAAATTCCACTATACCATATTTGGGACGTACTTTATGCGATGAAAAAAGTATTAGGCATGAACTGACTAACCTTCTTTGGACTACTAAATAAACCATTCCCTCCATCCTTACAGTACCAAGCTTTATTGTCATTGCATTTCTTATATTTATAATCCTCGCAATTTTTTTGTTTTTATTTATTTATTTTTCATAAGTGTGAACATAATTTAAGCTGTGTGAATAACTGCTAATTTTGTATTTCCCCTCACTATACTATAACAACAGAACATTAGATCGAATAATCTATAACATGCTAAAGTTTCCATAATGATTCGACAATACTGTTTGAAACAAACTCACTGTTATTATTATTATTATATTTAATACTCTCAATTCGTGCTTCGAATATTTATGACTTTATATCGTAAATGTGGACAAATTCCTCTGGTTACTTTTGTTTTAATTTTTTAATTTAATTTATATTTTAAGTAAATCAGATGCAATATTGTGACAAATGCTGAGAATTCCATTCTGTATTATAAGTACTGTTTTTGGAATAAAGTAGATTATTATTATTTATTGTACGTTTCCTATATTATAACAATTAGTGTTATAATTACTGTCACTATTACTATTCCTACTTTGACCTGTTTCCCGGTATTATTTCACTTGTTCCACTTGTCATTCCAAATGCAAACCTTTTTCCTAATTCAAGTGTTGGTTTCCAGGGGTTTCATTTGATTAGTTACAGGATTTCATCACGAACTGACATTGGTTAGAGAACCATTATTGGAAAACCAGCATTCGAGTACTGGACAGATATTTCATCCTAGTTGGGGACTCTTCATCAGTAGGCATCAACTGAGGTTCGAACCCAGGACCTTCTGGTTGCAAGGTGAGCTCTTGGGCCAGCTTGTGGCGACTGGGATCTGATCCAATCATCCATAAATTCGTGGCGTTGAATTTTAGCTTATCATATTTCACACCATGTTATGTAACGTCTTATATTTTCCTGCTAATCCTGTAATTATACATCCCGTTCCAGCATCTTTATTTAAAATTATTTGATATTCAACTGTGATTATAATCACAAACATTTGAATTGCATTTCATACCATTATTATTTTCTGCATTCACACCAATGTTTCAATTTCCTCGCGGGATATAATTTCTTGCAAACCATATACACACGAATGTGCAGCTTCATAATAATAAATCCGTTGGACAGATTCACTTTGCTGAATCCCTTGTTTTGACCTTCTATATGTCCCACTGAAAATTTGTCACGAACTCATTAAAATGTAACCTAAATGTTTATACTCAAATATTTGTTAAAGAATAGCAATGTGGAACTGAAAAAGGAATATCCACTTTCCCAAAATGATTCCAGGATCCTGAAGATTCTGATGAAATTTGAATCGAACGTCAGCTGTTACACAAATATCACATGCGTTATCCACTAAACAACTAAATTATAAACATATCTTTTTCAAACAGACACCAGATTAATGTTGAAAATTATATTGCCCGCTTTGATGTTGTTTATAGAATTAGGTTTCTGTAGCAGGCTGCAAACCAGCCTGCAACCAACACACAGCAGGTTGACAGTAGAAGTAACAAAGACAAAACTTGAAGTGAACATTCAGAAGATGGAGGTGATGAAAATAACCAACCAACAATACCAACAACAACACCAAGCGCCAATCACTGGCAGTGGAATAAATTTAATAAAAAGGTCACTTCCTTCAATTATCTCACTAGGAAGCCGAGTTCCAACTACAGCGATTCCGCACGCATGAGAATATCAAAGTCGGGTGGGATCGGAAGAGAAAGACAGACAGACAGACAGACCTTCATCACCCTGAAATCAATTTGGAAATCTTCTGAAATCAGCCAGCATAAACAAACAAAAAAATTTGGATTCTGTTCCACACCAATGTTAAATCATTCAGTAACTTCTTCTATGTAGATCAGAAATTTACCGCGCTTATCACGGAAAGTATTCCTAACACAGGCTACTGCAGACTTTTGTCAACAACTGTCTCTATATATAATATCAAACGGTTGACTATAAACAATTAACAACAAGAAACTATGGTAATGAACGAACCAGCCAAGAATGTATGGAGATGGATCGGATACGCTCCTCTAATGAGATCATATAATGACATTGATTGGCAGGCTATTGCTAGAGTGGAAGGTGAATGGGTAACAACGAGTTAGGTGTGAGTCCGAAACCCACATGGAGGAAATCGTGTAAGGAGATGGTCAGAGATTTTGCGGATTCATCGGGCCAGGTGAAGAGAATCAGAGAGAATAGGACAAAGTGGAGATGTGCTGTTCAAGCCCTAGTTTCCATTCGGAAACCAACAGAATACTAATAATTAATAATGATGTTATATAAAATAAAACTGTTCCACTACGGGGTTATACTCTGCCATACTACCCAAACTGCATTCTCGGATCAATGAATATGAAAAGATGGTTATAACTAGATGGTGATTTCAACCAAGTTAAAAAAAAACTGAACTATTCTAAACAAGTAACAAAAGGAGAATGAATTTAAACAAACCTGAGCTTTAAAGTTTGTTGGATCTTGATCAGTAAGTCTTTCTAAATCTTTTTCAGCCTCTCCTAGATTATGTAATTCATAATATGCTTGTCCACGTCTAAATAAAGCTGATTAAAGATAGAGAAACTTGTAAAAATTGATACATATTTACATGTTAGCTTACAAAAACAATACATCGAATGACTTTATTACTAAGGATTAATCACCATCTATTTCGCTGAAACTATGGTATATTGTGCGTCAGTGGCATAGCGGTTAGGACACTCGCCGACCATGCACATGGTCCGGGTTGGATCCCCGGCCACAGAGGCACTCCTTTACCTCGCTAAGCCAGAAATAATGCTGGTAGAGAGGAAAGGTTGGGCATGAGGTGGCTAGCAACCCCATCCTGTAAAATAAACACTGTTGCTACAGAAATTTCAAGCCACTAGCTTGAAGCCCTACGTTCCACTGGAAAAATGTGAAGGAAAAAAATGGTATATGTGTTACTTGCAAATAGGTATAAATAAGTATTACATCGAGTTACATGTTCAACAAAACAGTGATAATTTAAGTGACGAACAAAAACAGTCAATGAAGGAGTAACGCAAGAAGGAATAAAACACTCAAAATAAGCCACTAAGAAATAAATAATGGAGGTTTTATTTTCAAATTGTAACATCAGTGCATGATTTAAAATTCCTCAATACGCATTGTATTTTTGGATATAAGGATAAAACTTGGGCACTGAGGTAGAGTATAACCCCATTATAGATAAATATAATAATAATTTTTCCTTCACATTCCCAGTGGAACATAGGGCTTCAAGCTAGTGGCTTGAAGTTTCTGTAGCAGTGTTTACTTTTACAGGATGGGGTTGCTAGCCTCATGCCCAAATTTCCTCTTTACCAGGTTTTATTACTGGCTTAGTGAGGTAAAGGAGTGAGTCGGCCGGGGATCGAACCTCGGACCATGTGCATGGTCGGCGAGCGTCCTAACCGCTGCGCCACCGACTCCCATTATAGATAAAATTTTATTTTAATAAAATCACACAGTGTTATACAGTCATATTTACTGATGACCATGTTTCGAGCACAATTTATACTGCCCATAATCTCATATCAAGGCACTACTCACACAACTTTCTTACTTCATTTATATTCATGAGTAAAAATTTATTAGACATTTGAATAAAAATCAATATAAGACTTGCGTGAAACAGAATGGAAGATAAAGTACATTCAGAACGAATGAACACACATCAGGAAGATTAAAAACGGTTAAAAGCAACATGAAAATAATGGTGAAACTAATAATCATAACATAAATAAAAGAGAATATATGGTATCTACCTGTAGTTTTACCATATATAAGGAGGGAACATCTGAAACCCTCCCCACGTAGGATTCTCAATAAAGCAGAAATTAGGGTGGCATTCGGGTCTACAAACTCACTCAGATAAGATAAGCTCTGTAGGCTAAAGGACCCGGTTAACCTAATTAGACAAAATAATATAATTTATAAAATACCTTGCAATCACTGTGAGTTAGGTTAACTACATAGGTCAAAACTAGTAGATCGGGAGTAGTGAGATTATTAGAACATACGAATTTAACGAACACATGCAACAGAAATGACTCAACGCAAATACCACAGATATGGAAGATATTATTACCACCATTCAGTCAAATCAGAGGAGGATAATAAATAATCTTAAAATTCTATTTCAATTCACATACATTATAACACTCTAACAAGTTATTTATTTATTTTACAATAAAAACACTCGTTTTATTTCCCATTGTGGTGAGAGCAGGCCGTGAGAAAATATGAGCAAGGCTGATTCAACAACCAATCACAGCAAAGTTAACGTGGCAAAATATGATTCGCAGATAGAGAACTCTATTTGTCGAGGAATCCCGAAACAACTAATCAGAAGCCTGCGTTTGTCTGCCTAACTTCTGATAAACAACCAATCAGATGACTGCGCTTGTCTACTTGCATAAGCTATAATAATGTATGTGAAATATGTATAAATACGTGTTGGTTTTCATAATAAAACGATCTGTTGCCTGGCCCTTGTCTTCTGTTGTTACACCATCTGATTGTACTTGATTGATAACACTAATATTATTTCCGAATGTACATTATCTTATATTGATTTTATTCAGATAACTAGTCACTTTTTTACTCAAGTGTATAAACGAAGCAAAAACGTTGTGTGAGTAGTGCCTTGTTATGATTTTGAGCAGCATAAATTGTGCTTGAAACGTGCTCATCAGTAAACAATAGTGTATATAACACTGTGTGACTGACTTTATCAAAATAAAACTTTATCCATTGTATTTTTTTTTGTTTATTAAGCATTGCTTCTCGTGTCTTTATCCTTTTTTTTTATTGCTGTGGGTTCCCAGTGGAGCATAGGGCTTCAAGCTGAAGGCTCGAAGTTTCGGTTGCAGTGGTGTTTACTGTTATGGGATAGGGTTACTAGCCTCATGTCCAACCTTCCCCCTTTACTAGTCTTATTACTGGCTTAGCGAGGTAAAGGAGTGCGTTTGTGGCCGGAGATTGCACCCTGAACCATATGCGTGGTCGGTGACCATTCTACCACTGAGCCACCGACGCTACCACTACCCTCTAAACAATCTTCACCCCCTCCCGTCTTAGTTACAATTTAATTACCCATAACATATCTGAAATGTCTTGACAACAATAACCCTAACTTACTCTTATTCCTTTCGGACAAACCTAATGTACACACACATATACATAAAAAATAAGTATATATAATTGTGACTGTATAGCCAGGTGAATCAATTCACCGTCGATAAAAGGGACTTTTCGCTGAACTACGTGCGTTTTGTTTTCATGAATATCTAGATGGGGATTATTCATGAAAAAAAGAGAACTACAGAGTCCCAACATGAAAATTTTGAAAAGAAAAATCAACAAAACACATACATAATTATCAGGATTGATTAAAGTAACACTAATGCAGCACACACACACACACCTTTTAAATTATCCGGTTCAGATTTCAACACTTTTGTACAGTCATTCACTGCTAAATTCCATTGTTTCTGTCGTAAGTCTAATAATAAAGAAACAAAAAAAATAATAATTCAACACTGATTAAATCATCTAGTTAGTATTAAATGTAAAAGTCTGAAAATCTGAGCAAGTATGCTCACAGATATATATCAATATTTACCTTAATGTACAACATATTTCTATCCTGTTGACGAGCACCTTTGGTCGCATGTGAAAGAAACTGTAGAGAGACTATACATCTGAGGGTGTTGTACTTAAGAGATACACAGTTAGTGCAAGTGAAAGTGTGTGTGTCACCAGGCTCCAAATGTAGTCTGAAGTGAAATGAAGCTAAGTGAACACATGATTCACGAGACTGATCACAAATACACGAATTACTTCCTCCAGTGGTTAGATCATTTAGATACGGTTAGTGATTATTAGTAATTGGCACAAGAGGTTTACATCCCTTAATATTTCTCACTATTTCGGTATTATTATGCTCATAATTTCAAGAAAAAATCATATGATATACAAAGCGTTAAGAGATATTAGTTGGGTGACCAGAGTTCGAGTCTCAGAAGGTACATGAGCACTTTTCAATGGTTGTAGACATACCTTCCTGAAGAGTGCCAACAGGCAAGAAACCTAGGTCAGGTAGGATTTCCTTCCGATTGCTTCCAACCATCTAACAACGCAAACAAAAAATAAACTGGAGGAATTGTAGTTACCATCAACATTTAATTACTAAAGAACTTTCTGTCTAGAATACACCACTGAACGTATAAAAATTTAAAAAAGTATTTCTGGATATTTTCAAGTATTGATTTTTTTTGTAGGGATTTTGTTTGATTGGTTGGAGGATTTCATCATGATCTGGCATCAGTTAGAGAAGCATTGGAAACTCAACTAGGAGTACTGGCCAGCTATTAAGTCCTAGTTTGGTACTGCGTACTGCTGAAGAGTACCAAACTAGGATGAAATAGCTGTCCATTACTCCTAGTTGAGTTTCCAATGGTTCTCTAACTGATGTCAGCTCATGATGAAATCCTCTAACCAATCAAACAAAATCCCTACAAAAAATCAATACTTGAAAATTAATCTGATGCTCCCTAGCGACTGGCCCTATTCAGGAAGTGAACCTGGGATTCTAGTGGGAAGCCGTGACCAGTAGGGTACAGCAGGTTGAAGATGAGGGAGTAACTCAACGGAAAAAAATCGCAAAATGGTCGCGCTATACCATGAACTGGAAGAAGCTTAATGGTCTACAAGCTCGCCTTGTTACCAGAAGGTCCTGGGTCCGAACTGTGACGGTGGGTGCGTACTGGTGAATAGTCCCAGACTAGTCTGACGAAACAGCTGTCCAGTATTCCCAGGTATTTCTGGAGAGTGTAGATTGAAATTTATTTTAATAGGGTAGTCAAATACACATATTTTGGCCTCTTCTCTCTTGCATTAGGTTAATAATTCAAACAAAATGATCCGAAAAGCTTCACAGATAAATGGATTTTTAAACGACAGTTGTAATGTCACGAATTGTTTTCATTGAAATTCAGCTACCTAGAACTGGTACTAATATACCAGCACCTGTGGACCATACTTATTGCATGATCTCTGATGATAATACTAACTAGTTGCTGAGTTTGATGAAGTAAGCAGAGAAAGATTGAGCTCACGATCTAATGAATGAGTGTTGATTGATGAGCCATATCTCCAGCACCAGTAACAAATAATCAAGGAGTAACCGTGGCTCGTTTCTTGGTCCTCGCTGTCTTCGGTATTTCCATCAATCTCACCTGTAATTAAAACAGTGCTTTCCAACCAGGTAATTAAAAGAGGTAACCCCCTGTAGACTTCTTCCATTAATCATGATTGGTGTTTGGTGTTATTCAGGTATCCTCATTAACCTGAAGTCCTGCGCCTTCTGCCTCTTGACTCCATGAGACGTAAGCCATAAATCATCGATATTTTAGGGCCTTTTTGTTAGTCCAGCGTATGCCTATCTCTGCCCACTACTACCCACAATCTACTATATGGTCCATCCACCACAGCCAAGATGACCATTGGCGATACTGGGCAGGGCTATCTTACTCTTGTCTTGCCTCCAAACGCTTCAGTCAGCTTTCCAGTGTAAATCATTTAGTATGTGACATCATCAACACTATCATCATATAACTGTTGAATGAGGTTAATCAATGTTTACGGTAATTACTTCAAAAAATCGACAGTCAGTACTCTACTAGGTTACGTTTAAGTCCAGCAACACTGTTGACAGAATATTATGTTTATTTGTTGAGTTTCAAATTTCCCTAACATATTTATTATTTATTGTTTTGAACAAACAATTATATACATCCACAAGCACGCACGCACACAAACAAACAAATAACTTACACACTAATGCTCGATTATTGTATACAGCACTTGTTTCATAGATAGTTAGACTTCGTTTGTAATAGTTCAATGCTTCAACAAAGTCACCTGATTTAAAGCACTAAATTTAAAACAATAAATAACGAAACGAAACCGTTTAACAAACATACATACATACATACATAAAAACGGAAACAAGAGTACTAAACACTGAACATAATAAATAGTACAGTTAGATAACAAAGAAGAAAGGAAGAATCACGTGTGTTTAAATTGATTATAATACTAACCGCGGGGAAATAAAAAAAGCCCTTTATGAAATATATCCACATATATATTCTAACTTAAAATTTACTTTAAGTCGTCTATTACATATTAACAGTTGATCTAATATTGAATTAATTATCTTGAATGAAGTCTGATAATTAGAATTCAACCACTAACAGTCAGGTGTTCCATATTTGATTTGAAAGGAATTGAATTTCGCGTCAACTTAATGAGTACACTTAATTAGATATACATATATATAGAGTTTTCATTCCAATAATATAGAGGGAGGATGATACTGCATGCATAAGTAAAAGTGTGTTTTGCAAATGAATATAGTCCTAAATATATTCTATGAGCTTATCCCGTGAAGATAAGGAACTCTTTTGAGTCATAACTTCAGTAGGTCTTTGAAGAACATACTTTCTTTCACTTTATTTTAAAATCGATTACTGAATAAGTGTTTGTTTTTACTGCACAATACGTAATGAACAAGATCTCAGCTATGCTACGCCAAACCAGGTTGTTTTACCCGTGTGATGGCCTGCATGAAGCGTGACGTCATTTGACGGCGTCCTCAGTGGGGGGTGTCTCAGCCATCTCCATTTCTTTCGGGAGATTTGTTGACCAGTAGGTTCTTAGTTGCTTCCTACGAAGAGTTCCTTGTAGCAAATTATTTTTAGCTGGCCGTCTGACCTCCTGTGTAGAGTCAGTTGATAAAAGTTTGCAGTGGCCTGTATGAAATACTTTCCGTGGCGAGTTGGCCATGTTTTAGACTCAAATAGAAGAACTGACTGACTGACTTAATACTGGTGTTGAACAGAATCCGAACTTCACTGTTTATACTGAGGCGGAGTGCAGAAGATTTCCAGAGTGATTTCAAAGTGATAAATCTCTGTCTCGCAGTTCGAATCTGGATTAATATCATCATCTGTGATGTCGTCTGTAGTCGGAATGATACTTCCTAAATAAGTGAAGGAGGTGACCTCTTTCAGATTTACACCGTTGATAGTAACTGGTTCAAGTTGTTATTGGCTGGTTGTTCATAACCTTTATGTTCAATTGAAGTTCTGTCTTTGCTGCCTGCCTCTTGGAACAAATTTTTGGTCTTCGCCTGTTTGTATGAAATTTATACATAGATCGTCGGCGAAGCTCAACACTTCTACAGTCTTACTGTCGGTCGAATGCAATCCTGTCTTCTTAATGCCTACTAACAGTGCTCCGCAGAATCTAGTCCACCACAATTAGGAATAGGTTTGGTGATAATAGACAGCTTTGTCTCACCTCACCTGGATTTATCGGCTGTTCAAACCGAATGATGTAAGCCTGATCTGTTAATGGTTTTCAATATACCATGAATTATTTTGATTGGACACTAGTAACTAGTGTGATGTGTCTAGTTCTTTCTTTGGTGCAGATTGAATTCTATCAGTCAGGTTTGCAATGTGGCCACCATTCTAGGTAGCTTGCCATCACGGTGTACATTGATTTGATGATATTAGACAGCTGGAGGCCCGAATAGCTCAGTGGTAGTAACGTCTCTGACTGCAGTACTCACCGGGTGACTCGGGTTCGAATCTTAGAAGGGATATGAGTTCCTTCAATGTGATTGCAGATACGCCTTGCTGACTGGTGAGTACGAACTAGCACGAAACCCAGGTGGTTCAAGACTTCCTGTGGCCGATTGCCTCCAACCATCTAGTATCATCACACCATGGATTAGCCTAGCTGGCAGATGTTCTAGGGTAACGGCTGATATAACTAGTTCCACATGGTCAGCTGAATTAATCAGTCCTTTGGAATTTGTAATGGACGAATATTAATCGATTCCTTTGCCTTCCTATTGGAACAAAGCGTTTTCAACCTTGAGCTTAGAAGTTTTACTAGCAGTGGTGCTTTATTTCCAGGGACAGGGCTAATATGCTAACGACCAACCTTCCCTTTTTTCCGGGCTTATTACCGGCTGAGGGAGGTTTAGGAGTGTGTGTATAGGACCGGGAATCGAACCGGCACCTTCCTCTTGGTCTTTGTTATTCTGCCATTTAGCCAGTGACACATATGAGTACCTTTAATTAAATAAAATACACGATGAATTTTCTTAAATGATTAAAAATGTCACACACACGTCGTTTCTTAGATGAATTTCGATGAAACAAGAGAGTATTGGTTTTGTAGGGATTTTATTTGATTGCATGGAGGATCTCATCATGAGCTGACATCAGTTAGACAACCACTGAAAAACCTTGGAGGACAGATGTCAGCTCATGATGAAATCCTCCATGCAGTCAAACAAAATCCCTACAAAAAATCAATACTTGAAAATTGATCTGATGCTCACTAGCGACTGGCCCTATTCAGGCAGTTAACCTGGGGTTCTAGTGGGAAGCTGTGACCAGTAGGGTACAGCAGTTGAAGATGAGGAGTAACTCAACGAAAAAAAATCGCAAAATGGTCGCGCTATGTCATGAATTGGCAGAAGTTAGAATTCATGGACTGGCCATTGGATCGGGTCCCAGTGGCTTAATGGTGTACAAGCTTGCCTTGCGACCAGAAGATCCTGAGTTAGAACCCCAGATGATGCGTACTGGTGAAGAGTCCCGAACTAGGATGAAACAGCTGTCCATTACTCTCAGGTTTTCCAGCTCATGATGAAACAAGACAGGTCAAATTGATAGCATATCATGATCTGGTTTAATTTCAAGGGACACCAAATTCGCTATGATATGCTGAAGCAATTTCATTCGAAAATTTTCAGTCAGTACTTAAGCACGTAGAGTGAGTGTGTGTATGTGTGTGTGTGGTCAGTTGCAAATACCCTTGAAATCTCCATAATACAGACTTCAGAATTAGCTATTTAAGTTAACTGACCTAATTTCAGTCTTATAAAGTGTGATTTTCTTGATTACTAGGTAACCTTATGACCTAACACCATTTATTGTTGTTTCTGTTATATATCTTGTCCACTGCATTCACTATTTTTAAATGCACATGTAGATGGATTCATTATGGCTTGAACCAAAAACAGTGGTGCCTACTACATTTCAGATGCTTTAATACATCACACTGATCAAGGCACTCTACTCAAACTCATGCATTCAGCCAGGTGATAGCTTACGAAGAGTTGTCACTTCAAGTGGTGACAACCAGTAGTGTCCGTCAAGGATGCCAACTATCCCCATTTCCATTCAATTTCATCATAGATGAACTAATGGAGTTAACTGTAGCTGCTTACTTCAGCGACTCAGGCATTGACTAGTTACCAAGGAATAATCTCGTTGACTTAGAATATGCAGATGATGTACTTCTTCTAGGTGAAGACGTTGACAAAATGCAGGCTTCTGAACACCATGAGGAGCAGCAATCTTCGACTTTGCACCTGTCAAATGTAAGATGATGCTATACGACTGAACTAGATTACATTGACTTCTGGCTTAAAGATACGCAGTGAAGTGGTAGAGCATGCTGATCACTTCACTTATTTGGAAGGTTCCTTCAGCTTCATCAACGGGTTGCTCGCTGACGAAACCTCAGCACGCGTACAGAAGACTCGCCTGGCATTCGCCAAGTGACCTACGCTACCTCTGGCTTAGTAGACATGATATCCGTTTGGCTGGCTTTGTGGCTATGGCTATGTATACTACTCAGCAGTCCTCTGTGTCCTCCTTTATGTGTGTGCGACATGGTCATTGAAAGCGGAAGGCATGATGAAAAGGCCAGATGTCTTTGGTTCCAGGTGCCTCCGTTTGGTCTTCCATGTTGGGTGGCGTAATAGAGTGAGAAATACGGATGTCAGGTTTTGAGAGCTGGGTAAGGAGGGGGAATTAATTGACGAGGTCATGAAGTTAAGTCGATTGAAAGAGATCTTTGGAAAATGTGTTACGCATGCCTAGCCATCGGTCGCTTTCCTCGACAGGTAACTGGAACTGCTGCATATCTGTGCAAAGTTCTGTGTTGGAACCAGTCATTCAGTCAGCCCTTAATTTCTGCTATTTTCCTTGCTATCATTGTAACTTTGGAGTATGGTATTTCTAAGTTTGACCACAAATCGATATCAGTTACATAACCACTGAAGATAACCGCTAGTGTACTAGATAGCTGTTTCGTCAGCCTAGTTTGGGATTCATCGAGACTACACACCCACTCTACTTGCGTTTGAACTCACAACCTTTCGATTACAAGGAGAGCTAGCTCGTAGACCATTCAGCCACTGGGACCCTACTCAATAGCCAACCGATGAGTTCCAACTTCTCCTTGCCCTGTGACCGGAGGATCCTGGGTCCGAACGCTTACGGCTGGTGTGTACTGGCGTTGAGTTTGAAACTAGACTGACGAGAAAGCTGTTTAGTACTTCCTGTAGGCTTTTAATGCTCCTCTAACGGATATCGATCCGTATTAACTAACACCTGAGAATATTTTATTTTAATTCTTTTTTTACAGTTATAATTTCGAGTAATCTGCAGCTGATGAGGACCTGTGAAATGAAATGATGTCATTTAATCCTGCAAATAGTATCTATCTCCCTTCATAGAAAAAAATGATTATAAATCCTTTTTAAAGAGCTGAACTGAGATATGAATTCTCAAGTTCTGCTTTGTCAGGATTACCCGTTGAGATGAGTTGAAGAATCGTTGGTAACCAGGGTGTATTGAACAGTTCTTTCGTCGTAGTTTGTAACTGTTCAAAAGTACACACTCATAATCAACTGGGGATTTAATCGAAGTCTTCTTAGGTTACTAGGCAACAGATGACATAAACGTTATATTCATGCAAGATTATCATGCAGGAACTGATTTACATTAACTCTTTGTTTTACGACAGATAAGAAGTGAGAGATCGATAGTTATACAGCTTTTTAATTATTTTTGAATAGTAACAACACACTTACTTCATTCCCTTTGTCTTTTTCTCTCTCGGCTAATTGTTTTCTTGTATGAATTGGCATATTAGACACTCTGGCGGCTAGTTCCTTGTAATCAAGTTTATGTAATCCACGTGTTTCAGCAGTGGATAAATTCATAGTTTCACCTTTTTCAGATTTACGCGCTGTCTTCTCGTGTTCTCCTTCTTCTTCTGCTAATTCTTTATCCCAAACTTTTTCCAACCTTGAAGTTGAATTTTTTTTAAATATTGAAAATTAGAATTTATGCGCTTTTTTTTAAGTTATTAGTATTCATATTTTGTAACTCGTAAGGATCTCAGTTAAGTGTAATGTAGACCTCAGCATGAAGAGATATCAGTTAAAGGAAGTGGTGGGCAGTTGTTTTGTCTTCATTTTAGGAGTCTTCATCAGCCCAAGCCTGAGATCGACTCAGGACCTTCAGGTTACAAGGCGAGCCAGCCGAACATTCATTCAACCACTGGCTTGGAACTGCGTAACCTGTAAATTGTGACTTCTGTCAGTTCATGATATGTATCTAATTATCGAATCTCTACTGTTCACTTATGTGATATTGTACATCTCAATCACATAACAGTCTATCAGTAGTACGTGCGCAGCAGGAGCTGCATCCAGGAGGTTCATGTTACGACATGGTCACATCACAGGCATGAAGGATAAATAGCCTTAGAACAACAGTTGCAATGTAACAGCACACGAAAGGAACTATGTAAACAAAAATAATCACAACAACCGAGAGACACTGGTATCCTCCTGTCCTCTGGGGAATGCAAGATAAGTATTTGACGATCATCTTCCAGAGAGAGATGGATATCCAAACAACATTGACAAAATATGTCTATCCTTGAATCAAGTGACGAAAACTAAAAGGAAAATCTTCTAAATGCTGTATTGAGGACATTTCGGAAATATATATACTTATAACAATATCATGTTAACCTGCAAGCATTGTGAAGCATTTTTATCAGAACGATCAACAGGCTAAGGGAGACTGAGTAATGAGCGATAAATCCGAAATAATCTAAATAAATAACCACATATATGAGCTACGCATGAGATGATTCAGTAACCTACTGTGCAATGGCTTTGAATTTAAAATGATAAGATTCGGGCTTGAGTCTCCAAGGGAACACCATCACTATCAGTCGGTGGGATATACATACGTCTGACATTAGATGGTTGGAGGCAATCTAAAGGAAGCCCTACATCACCAGTCAACAAGACATACCTGCGATCTTGAAGGAACTCCTTTCCTTTCTGAGATTCGAACCCATATCCCCCAGTTCTACAGTCAGACACTTCACCACTGAGCTATTCAGGTTCGTGATTGACACATTACACTAGTAACAAAGTATCTAATACAGTCGTCCAGGAGATCAATCGCGAGACTGAATAGCTCAGTGGTAACGTCTCTGACTACAGAACTGAATGACATTGGTTCCAATATCAGAAGGGACCTGAATTCCTTCAAGGTTGCAGACACGCCCGCCCTGCTGACTGGTATATGCCAGCTAACAAGCACGAGACCTAGGTGAGTTAAGGCTTCTTGTCGATTGCTTCCAAACATCTAATAACAACAATTCACAGTGCAACATTATGTCCAGCCACCTAGTGACATGGTGGCCACATTGCTAACTTGACTCATTGGTCGAATTCAGCCTGCACTGAACAAAGGACTAGACACATGACGCTAGTTAGGGCAAAGTTAAACTTTAAGCACCACTAAGTACCAATCAGCGAACGACCTTCAACAGACCAATCACGGATTTTTGATTAAGGAAAGCGTATATTTATAGAAAAAAGCATAAAATCTGCATTTAACTGTTACATAGGGTATCTTTCTCTAACTTGTGTCAGAAACATCTCCCAGTTTAGCCTAGGAGTGTAAAGAGAAAAGTCACACCACATTCTGTACATGTATTTATCCAAATGACTATAAATGAGATCCTTTTGAGATCGATTTATAGACGTAATTTTATTTTTCAATCTTGTCTAAAATCCTTCTATAGAATTTGTGTGTGTCTCAGCAATGGGATCCACAAAATCACTGGAATGGTTCACTCTGTGATGAATACATCCAAGAGATGACAGCGAGTTATAACCTTTCCACTGACCAGTATGTTCTATGGATCCCTATTTCGCAAGTCTAGTAATAATAGGTATTAAAGTAGTTGACTTTCTGTCTGGTATTCTCTCCAGGAATTCCTTCTTCAAAAAGGTGACATATAAACCAATCACCAAAACATTGTTGGCTCGCTGACGACCACGGTTGTATTTTTTCTTCAATAAGACAGTTTCGTCCACGATTACGATGACACCTTCTCCGTTTAACAACGAAGTAATTCTCTCCATTTTCCATGAGGCGATATCTCTGCAGTACTGATACCACTGAACCAACCAACAACCATAGATTTTTTTTACCGTCCGAGGACCCCAGCCTGGAAGTAGACTTCAGGCTGGGGTCCTCGGACTGTAAAAATCTATGGTGGAAACAATTGGTGACATGGCTCAAATCGTTTTCAATGGCCGGCGCAGATGCATCCACTCCTAGTGACCTATGATCTCCAATGAAACTGTTTTGTTTTTCTTTATTACTCCTTTGTCTCACACCTCTACTCACTGTTTCTATTATGCTTTTCTTGTACTTTCTTCTCTTGCTTCGCGTGCTACACGGAGTGTGGCGACTTGAACTTCCGCACACTTGTGCAAAGTTCTATGTCGAAAACAGACAGACAGACACTGAACTGTTGACACGAGGCTATTTTCGGTCTCAGCAACTGCGTCTCTCACAGGCTGTTTTAAAACCCAGTAGTTACAAATATATAGAATCTGGGTTAGGGAGAGATGCGACCTAGCGAAAAATGTTCCTACGGATTATTAAAATCATCAGCTTACCTTCCCTATTACTAACTTGTCTCAAGCGAATTGCACAACGATGGACATATCCAACAATCGAACTGCTAAAGCTTTTCATAACTCCACATGAACAAGTCCTCTCCTTGTTAAGCAATCCCAAATCCAGGCAATAGTGCAAAACCTTATCCTCATCGAACTGAAAGCGTAAGTTCGTTAGAGCAAACATTTGATACGAGTCAAGCGCTATACAACCTTGAACTCACGTGCATGAACCTCATTGAACTGTTCGAGGTCGTTGGCTGATTAGTAGTTAGTGGTGCTTAAAGTTTAACTTGGCCCTAGTTAGTAACCATTTAAAGTTTTCAAGGAGACTAAACTTGCATCCTTGATTCCACGGTTAGACATCATCAACCAAATAACTGAATATATCTGTTTTGTCTTCATACTTAGCCTCTATGAATATGAATCATAATAATAATAATACTACATTTGTTGTAATACAGAGGAAGACACAGGAGTATGGACAGAAGAGAAAGAAGAAGATTAAACTATAGGCGGCGAATAAATGTAAGTAAGCATGAGATAAAAGACAAACGTAACTTACTTATCCCATTCACTATAATCTTTTGGTTTCAATATTCTTCTACCAAAGGTATTATCACCACTTGAGCATACCTAAAGTTAGTTGACATAACACATTAAAATAACATCATAATAAGCAGAAAGAAGAAAATTTGAATGGATATTTAGAAATATTTGTATTTATTATTTGTCTCTGGGATCAGTTGTATTCATTATTCAATTTAAGATGAATATTTGTTCAGTCAGTGACCTTATTGACTCAACAAGCTATTCTCCTTGGAATGAATTTTCCTCCCAGTCCTACTACGCTAGAAAGGTTGTTTACACTGCTTTGGATTTCTAGGAGTAAGCCATTGTCTTCCTTGAAGAGCAATGCTAACCGATATATGACTGTAGCACTGAGTGCTTTGGATTCAAATCCCCTTTCCTTTGAGTTTTTAGATACACCTGGCTGATGAGTGCTAGTAAGCGCGAAACTTAGATCTATGACGTGTCGATTGCATGTAACCATCTAACAAAATTGTAATATTTGTATCTCAAAAACACAGAGATAGGTAAATGAGGATGTAATTTCACATAAGAGTAATGATGAAATGGATGTCGAACGATATTCACCTTGTTAGCAATATAATGCACTGGGAGTCAGAATTAATCAGCTTCTTCCTACTTAGGGTTACAATAATGATGAAGATCAGTTAGTTTATTGATTAAAAAGAAATGCCCTAATCAACGGCCTAAGCTTACAGTAGATTTGAAAATATTTCTATTAAGAAAACCAAGTTCATCTCTAGATTTAAGTTGTTAACACGACCACCTACAGGATAACTGTCGAAAGAACAATGTAGGACAGTCAACAACTGTATTCTAAAGGAAATCATTGCTTCTGGTCACATGGCATCAGTGTAGTCGTATGTTGTAAAGTAAGATCAAACCATTTAAAAAGTATTTCGCCTGCTGCTTCTTCTTCTTCATGAAGCCAAAGGTTTAGCAATCTACAAGAAGAAACCTGAACTTTGTGTTCAGAAAAGTTTTATCTAACCTCTTTTACCACCATGGCCTTAGTGCTGACTTTTTTCGCCCTTATTTTCCGGAGTAACTGTACGAAAAACAGCTTCATGTAGTTTTTTTAACGCATTTTCAGTCTCATACACTGATACACTTTGATTTATTTTGTTACTAACTAACAGTCATCTCTGACTTCTATTGTCAATTAACATTGCAATATCTAAGCTCCCGGCTAAATCAATGTACAGTTTTGAAGGGAAGTTATGAAAGCAGAAGTTTTTGTTGACTAGTGTCTTCTTATTATGGCATTATATGCTACCATAATGCCTGAATCCTACTCTTACGTGAAGCTTTTGACAGATGGTTTGATTCATATACATGGGGTGTAGAGTACCTTACTAGGTTCTTGAAGACGTAAAAAGCCAATGGTTGTAGGGTTTTGGTGATATGGTTAAAAATCTTTTATAAGTAGTGCAAATGAATGTCAATCCTCACTATCTTCGTGGTTCTATATCTTTAGTTCGTGATTCTCCTCCACATATCTCCGTTCATTGTGATTTCTTTCTCTTCACTTACCTGCACTTTTTTTATTGTGGCAATTCAAATTGTTGTAACTGTGTGCAACATTGGATGCTGAATATTCAGTTCAGTTTATTTATTACTGAAACTAAAGTAAATTGTTGGCTACTAACTGAAGTAATGAAGAAAAGTGATTAAAGAATAACGTGATGTGTCCCTCAAACTGATGCTAGTGTCTGCAGGACAAAAAAGAGCTTTACTTCAGCTTGCAAAGGATCAAAGAAATTCATCAAATCAACTGAACTTTGGCCATTTTACCCTAAACAATCAATCTGTCTATCTATGCGGATTGGAAAATATGGCAGACAATTGGATTTTCAATGGACAACAGGCAAGCGACTACATTGTGTTGTGGTTGTGTATTTCTATACTCTCTTCACCTCATTGTTGATAAATACACCTTCAAAAGTGTGATATTATCCCTTCTCTAGTTGAGGCAGTGTTAAGAGCAGCCAGGCCATCCGGCTATGTTGAACCAGGCTAATGAGTCAGCAGGTTATGTGGCCAAAGATCAGGTCTAGCAGAATCGATGGCCATACAGCAATCATGAGTGTGATTTCTAGTTGCAGCCAACGGGAAGCGGGCTCGAAGTCGTTCAAACAACCAAACTAACTGACTTCCTAGAAGCTAATGACAGTCTAGAAGTGAAAAATTTTTTATAAGTGGGAATATAATAACATACTTCGAAAATTACTTCACTTCAAATGACGTTTAATAATTATGAGCATAGTAGTGGGACAAGAGGTATGCAAATAAGATATCTATTAGTTGAACAGCCATAGTTTATCTATATATTTTATGCTGAGAAAATCGAAAGAACAGCGTGCGGGTGAAAAGAAACCACTACTCATACTGTGGTGAGACGTGGCTGCTAACCAAAGTTGGTAGACAGTAACTTACGTCGATGTCTGTATCCCCAATATTGGTCGTGAGAAAAATGAAAACAAAGACTACGTATGTGGATACAGTTAGCATATAGGTGATTTGACATTCAATAAACGGCCACAAAGAGATGAAAGACTAACTTTCAGTGAGAAACAACCAATCAGAGGACTGTGTTTTCCTGCTAACAATAATCTATATAATGTACATGAAAATATATAAATATGTGCTGATTTCCTTAATAAACGATCTGTTGCCTGGCCCTTGTCTTCAGTTGTTACAATACTACTACTACTATTCAGTTTTTCCACAGCCTGATTCTATTGTGGCGAGTGCTACTGATTACTACTATTAGTAGTATATAAACAGACATTCATCAGCCGGCATAAAAACATCAAATAGCAGGGAGACACATTTGATTTCAGAGTAGGTAAGTGATACAGCGTGCGGAGATACATGGGAGACGATGTGAAAGGAACACAAACAAAAACCCAATATGAAGTCAGAAGTACTACAACACGAAGATCTGTGCAAATGGTGATTTGAAATAAGGTATGCATAATTTGGATATACAGAGCTACTGGAATTGAAAACAAAAGCCAAATTTAACAGATAATGAAGCTCATAGGACATTTTACACCCGATCTGAAAATGCTCTTCATAATACAAACTAAGACGCAAAAATAATCAAAATAATAATAAATCTTTAATTGAATACAACTTTACACTAACTAATTGATTTATCAAATTGAACTACTTACTCGTAACGCTGGTTCATCATTAAAGATAACTGTTCGTCGAATAGGTGGTAAGTTTTCATTATCATACTTTATACACTTTTCTGCTAATTCGTCATCCTCCTCCTCCTCCTTCTCATCGGCTAGTTTTTTCCTAGAAGTTAATTTCTGTTTTGTTCTTCTCAATGAAGAAGAAGAATAATAGGCGTCTTCATCATGTTTCTCATCGGACTCTTCATCTGAAGACTTCATTTCATTAAGCCAACTCTGTAAGTAGAACAGAAATTAACCGGATAATAAAATTATATGGATTTGGTTTCATGAGAAAGAAATAACTGATGATGGATGAAAGCAACTCAGTGAACTGTACATTTACATGGGGTCAGTCTCAGAAAGAAGTCTACTAGAATTGAACAGATTAATGATAAGGCTTCTTAGACGGTTGGAGGCAATTCATAGCAAGTCTTGCCCGACCTGTGTTTCGTGCTTGTTAGCTGGCACTCACTAGTCAGGAAGGCGTATCTGCGACCTTGAAGGAATTCGTGTTCCTTCTTAGATTCGAACCCATGTCACACAGGGCTGCAGTCAGAGACGTGACCACCACTGACCTATTCACACTCGAGACTGACCTCCTGTAGGACTCTCTTGAATACTTTCATTGGACACTAGTAACTAGTGTGATGTGTCTAGTCTTTTGTTTAGTGCAGTTTGAATCCTATCAGTCGGGTATACAATGTGGTCACCATGCCACTAGGCGGCTCACCATCACGGCGCATTGTGAATTGTTGATATTAGGTGATTGGTAGCTTCTAAATATGATGCTGTAGTTAAAGCTGGAGAAGGAATAAGACAGTTCAAAGTGCGAGCAAAAACTGATACAAAGTTATTACCATACGAAGAGGATCTTCAAAAAACCGTTGTCTTTGTGTTTTTTTCACTGCTAAGGCTTTAGCCAGTCATATGAGGACCTTGATTTATTGACACAGAAGACACTAGTTCAACTACTACTTCAACTTTGGACATAGTTTCAAACTCAAGTGTCAATAATATGTTTGGGTATTGGTATTATGGCCAGTTATATGACCTTCTTAACTGCCTGTTTGTTTAACTTGCCTACTTCGATGTGGTTGTGTTCTCTGAGCTGGATAGTTAATTTGCGAAGCTTTCATCGCCCTACTTACTAGGCAACATCTTTAGCGCATACTTCAATTTGAACTGAAGTGAGGTTTTAGATTTCTCCACGAGTTTATTAATCATCTCTCCTGGTGACCACCTTGAACGTGATTGGTTGTTTTTGTGTGTATTCACACCTTCTAGGTTACTTGTATTGGAACTGATTGTTTCTTTGACTTGAACTTTGACCTTTTGTGTGTGAGGTTGCTTTCTTGTCAATTGATAAATTTCATCTATCTCGATGTGGCTATTGGTTGATGATTAACTGGAATGCCAAGCTTCTAAAAATTCTGTCTAATATTTCCTCTGTCTCTATCATAACTAAATTCGCCTACTTGTTACGTAATACGCTTTGTTTGGGACTTGCCTCCATATCCTTTCCATTGACACTTAATTACTTGTGATCAAGTTTGTCATTTTCAAATTTTACAGTTCAAAGTGTGGAATCACTAGGCCTTCCTTTTTGAAAGTAAGAGCAGCAACCAAGAAGATGGTAAAGTAGTATAATGGCCTAGTATGAGATATTGGCAAACGCTCACGTGAAACGATTGTGCTTATTAGCCACAGATGGAAGTGATCTAACCACTGGACAGTTGTTTCGTTCATATTTCCAGTCCGTCCAAGTCACACTAGTCAGAAGTCAAGTGGTTTGAACTGATTCGGCCCTCTGGGCTGAATTAAACCGAAGGCCGAACACCTGACACAATAGATGAGCACAGGATCAAAAGAGTGAAGTGGTAAGCCAGTGTTCAGATCATTTGGTTCTGGATAGTAAACAATAGTGCTGGATGTGAGTCACTTATAACTACTCATATGAATCAGTAGTATACACTTCCACGTCATATTATTTCTTGTAATCAATCTTTTTCGTACTACACTACTTCTACCATACTCTGAATAATCTTTACAACGTTAGTTACACTTTAATTAATATTCCCTATTCCATAATGAGATTTTAAACTTATTGTTTTTTTTAACTGATTAAAAATGCCCATTAAAATCTTTCAAAAGAATGGATACTGAACAAAGAATACTCTTTCAATAACCTCTTCTTCATCAGGCTCTACAGTTAGGTATATAGACATTATAGTGAATGAATGAATTAGTGTTATGAACAACATTAATGTTGTTTAAATAACATCGAATCAACTATAATATCAACATAAAATAAGCTGAATATCAGAAAAATTAGTAAAAATAATATTACAAATTCATGAATTTCTAGTCTCTACTGAAGGCCGACCAGGGCAGTAGTAGTGGATGGCTGGACTTGCTTCTTTTGAACACAGAGCACTGGTTGTTTGAGGCGAATAGCAATAGCCTCAGCTGTTTGTAGCATGCAGAGCTTCGATGATTTTGGGGATTTATCAGGCATCCGGTAGATGATAGAGAAGGATTCTTCAGTGCTGGCTGGCCTTGTGGCCCGTATCCACCAGATGGTCCAATATTGAACTGTTAATGGTTTTCACTACACCTTTAGTTGGCCATAGTGTGAGGTGTTCACGAGCACAAAAAAATCAAGTTCCTAGAGCAACGGCGAATATATCTCGCTCCACAACAAGCTCAGTTGAATTGGTAGATACAATGAGAAGTGGCTTGTTTGTCTAGGTACTTCATTTTTCAGTCGAGGTAGCACCATCGGTCGTGTAGAGAATAAGACGTGTAGTCCGCCAGCATTAAAAGGCGTCGTAAACAGAGTCTCTCCTCTAAACAGTACTAAAACAGTTAATACACCTTAAGTTTGAATTTCAGAAAGGGTGGAACACTAGAGCACACATACTGACAGCCTCATACACTTATTTCTCTTTATGAATTTGAAAACAGAATAAGGCGGCACCATCATTGCATATTTCGTTGGCTTCTCATCAGCTGTAAATAACTCGAAGAAACTATTATGCTTATGTACAGAACAGTTTTAACAAACTTGCGAATTTTACATGATATCATTTGACAAGAGACTGCAAGGTTAATGAGCGGTCATCAGAAAATTACACTTATATGTTTTTTACCCAGATAGTTCAAGTTTAAACATAAACAAATGTTTGCATATATGGGCAAAGGAGTTGGTTAATAAATACAAGTGGTGAATATGATGATAACTTATAAATATAAATTGAGTAACAATGTAGTGAGTTAAACTCAAACCACAGGAGCAAGAGACAAACAAACTTACACTATGTTAGAAGGGGAGGAGAGGTTAAGGCCGAAGATTGTTTAACAAATGAAAGTGAGAATAAAGGCATCCAGTTACCAGAAAAAGGAAAGCTGTATAAATACTTCTTTCTGAACACATAAATCGGGTTTTAAGGCGTTTAACAACAATGGCTTTGGCAAAACTTGAAGAGAACTGAACTACTTTGCCTATTGATAATTATAAAGGATCGACGACGTGCCTGGCAATGTCACTACTGAAAGCCTTTGTTCCCTTGAGACGCGTAAGCTCTTAAGTATGTGTTCAGAGAATCTAAGATATGCCCTTCTTTCTATCCTCCTAGTGTGACCCCTGCCACTGACACGTGTAAATTTGTATACACAGTTATAGCTAACATGAGAAGGGTATCTGCCGATATTTCACTGCATCAGAGAGATTTACGGCACCAATTACTGATTTTTCCTAACAATCTGCGCTCCAATTCATTATTACTTATAATACTAACCCACCTAATGTGAGTCACTGAACGAAGATACTTGTGGCCAGAACCCTCAGTCTTTTCACAGTTTCTACCTCCAATACCTACGCATGAATGGGTAGTTAGATATCACACTCTCACCAAAGATTACTGTAATTGGTAAATGCTAAGCTAGCCTTTTGAACCTGTTCTGATTTTTCGGCAGAGATCAATTTGTTAAGACTGAAGTAAACTTCGAGGCGAATGAAATGGTCGACGCATTCAATTATCTCACTACCTATGCTTCAACCTAAATTTAGCACAGACCAATCTCGCAACAATGTATTACATTTGGTGGTGGAAAAACACATCCAGAACATCGTCATATTTTTTGCTATGTGTATTCAACAGACTCGGCATTCTGCTGGCATTTTCATCTGAAACGACTTTCTATAAATCAACAAACCCTTTCAGTGGTGACACGCCAATCCCTGAGACACTGAGGCTGAGTAGAATCGTGTCCATCAGCACCTCTGTAGTGGAATTAGGTACGAATGTTGGTTGTGCACATTCCTAGTACGCACCACTAAGTGTCGTCACATCATACAACCACTCTCCACAAACGCTTGCAGGACGCATTAGTATTGATAAAGTGCCTTGGACACAATAACATACATTTCCAGCACTTCTTTTATAGCTAAACATTGTCAGAACAATTATTTCAAATGCACTTCTGAAGTCGAAAAATATTGTGTCAGGCATTACTAAGCATGCCTACACTTCAAAACCTGTCAAAGATTGCAGGTCTTTCACTGCCTCCATGACGGGGAATTGAAGTTAGCCTAGATTTTCTGAGTGTTCTTCACCTGGATTTTGTCGCTTAGTCTTCCCAGTACTTTTGTAACTAGAACCTTAGACAACGTGTTTAAAAACCTAATCGACCACGAATTATCACAAATACATATATTACTTTTTTCGTTAAGTGAGATGATCAATAACTTCTACCAGTCTGATGAAACTAGCTGGAAATCCTACATATTAGCTAATTCATAACCACCATTCATGAATACCTCTAAATTTATGCAGTCATGTCCTACTGCTGTCTGATTTTATGTTAGAGAAAGCTTTGCCAACTATTTACACAGATGGAGAACGAATTTTCGCCTCCAAATCAGTCTGAAGTTGGATGGAAGAGACTGCTGTCAAGCTGTTTGCCGGCCTAACCTCTCCTTAAACTGATCCGTTCAACTTCCCCACTGTTTCTTTTGAACTATTAAAGTTCAGATCTTCTTAAAAACCACTTCACTCACAACAGTTTTATCAAAAATCATTTTCACATTCGTACTAAATATTTTGTCGATACTAATTACTGCTAATCTCTTTTTCACATCTTTCCCTTTCATCACCAACAAGTATTCGCAGCTTTGCTGGTGGCTGTAGGACAGCTTATGCTTAAACAGCCTTCCATGCCCATCATCTTTTGTCCCTTTACTTGAATTATTTCAAATGAGATCACAGATATTCACCTACTCTCATGAACTTTTGTTTGCAGGATGTCAGTATTATTCTCCACTTTCTCTGCAGAAATCTAGACCATGTATCCGTTTGACTTGAACTGAACGTGATTGTCATACTTTGACGTCTTTAGTTATCTTTCCCAAAATAAACACCTCCTCTTCCCAAAGTACATACGGGCCTAACTAATACAGGATCAAAGTATATGTAGGGTTATTAGAAAGGACCCTCTCTATCGATAACATATTAATAAATGGTCCATTTGTGTTCATCCTTGGAGTGTTATGGGCAGTAATATGGTGATGCACTGTCTGTTAATGTGCTTCACATTGATGTCGGTCAATATTAGACAGTTATCTGAACATAAGGGTGTGTTTTAAGCTGCAAAAAACTAAAATTATTGATGACTATTTTTCAGGGTTAACTAAGTAATAACAACTTATAGTGAAAATGGTCTTCACAATACGCAACTCTCAATTAGGTTTACAGTTAAATAGACTTCATGCTATCAAACAGCATAATAATACTGCAAGATGTTGAATTTCATTAACATCTAAATAATTATTACCTGAAAATCTTGTTCAATCTGAGATCTTTCTTCTTTATCCAGCTGAGTCAGTCTTACGGGTTCTACTGATTTCCGTAACACCCGGCTGTTAAAACATTCAAAAAAATCGCCATGTTAAGGATAACACTTTTCAAAAGGTTAAACTCTCCTCTAACTAATAATATGCTAAGAAAAAATGATAATATGGCTTTTCTGATAAGAAACATGGCACTTTATGATACTTTAGAATGCTGCAAAAAGTTGATTAATGCAAGAATCTTGTGTTAAACTATTATCGTTTTTACAGATACATCTTCCAATTTTTTTATACCATATTGTGTTTACCGAGTAAAAAGAAAGAGTACTTTTGGATCATATGGAAATCCCTACTGGAACTATTAGTTAATTAATATTCAAAGTAAATAATAGGTTTATCAAACCATGGGACTTTATAGTTTTTTAACAAGTGTTAAACATAATATGCAGTAAAAGGTACTTCAATAAACAAATAATGGTGACGTGACAATTTGAATGGTTATATTATCTGGACATTGCTCGTGTCATAGAATAAGAAAATTTAGGTAAAATATCTCTTTTACTGAACTAGATTGTCTGTTTTCGCCGCAATATGCGACTTCACAGCCTGATTCGGTTACAAGGAAGAATTTATCAAAATAAACTACCTCAAGGGTTCCACAGTTATGACGTAAAATATTTTATACATACAATTACCGACAAGCGTGATGATTATGTTCATCCTTTTGATTGACTTGTTACACTAACCATAAATCGCATTCACCATAGCAGTGACCTATGAGCATTGGAAAGATATTCAAAAAGTGACAGATTATTCGAAAGAAAACTGATTCTTAATGCATCCTTCCTTTAGCAAGTTAAGTCTGTCATCATCACATTAAGCTACACATCAAATGTACAGTTTTCACGAAAATAAAACTTAAATCTTCACCACGGAATGGAGACAGTAATTCAAATTCAAGCTGTTCATACAGTTTTAACGCGTACGTATATCCAATTAGCTAAGGACAGTGAAAAAAGCATTTCTGATTTTTTTGAATTATATATATATATATATATATATATATATAATACATAAGATATCTTATGTATTTCACAATTCAATGGACAACCTTTCTTGGTGAACAGCTTTTGGTTACATGTTAATATATATATATATATATATATATATAAGCCAAAGCAAAAATCCGCAGGCAATCGGGGAATTATGTGGGTAATTTCGAGATAGACTACTGCAGAGATTTTGAAGAAACGCATAAAAATTCCCCTCACTTCCGAAAGCGGCACCCTTTAGTTCATTCATAACCAACCTGAACAGGCCGAAATTCTGGCAATTCGTGAAATTCACCACATACACCACACACGTTTCATGATGTTTTTTAACAGGAGAAATCAATACACAAAGTCTGTTTACCTGTTGGGATTCAGAATACGTATTCTTTCTTCACAACATGATTCTAGCTCTGTATAACGACCAACTTCACCGGATCTATATGTAATAACTTTCCAATATACATTAGTACCTCAAAGTTTTCATTATTTTCTCCAGCTCATCAACGTCATTACAGGAATTAAGATATTTGAAGTCCAAGTGTGAAATAGGAATGTCATAAGTTTTTGTCCGCTCATTGAAGTACACACTATCAGTCATTATCGAATTGAAAGCTAATGTAAATGGGCACTTAAATATCCGCCGTTACTAATAATCAACAGTAACATGTCAAAAAAGAATTTCAATGTCCACTAACTAGTACTGAGCATTCTGAGAACTAGTTATTATAATTCATGTGTGTTTCTTCTATTAACCCTAATTATTAATGTAAAAGCAGTCCTTGATCCCCAGTAGCTTTCAATATTGCCTTAATTCTACCTCTATTCGCATGTTCAGTGTTTCAGAGGAACCAAAAGGAAAAAAGTATTTTGTCATCTAAGTAAAGAGTATGAATGTGTGTGAATTTGAATACGTTAATTTCATAAATAGATCTGTCGCATGCCAAATATTCGCGTACAGCCTTCCGATGTTGTGCGAAGTCTATGGAGTCATCACTTCGCTGCCCGTAGGGGTCTTCGCAAAGATTTGCTATCCAGTTACCTTACAGTGTAGTATATTCTGTGGTGTCACCATTGTAGTTCTTTATGCTACTAATCAGCAGATCTTTTCATACTGGTGCTTCTTTTAAAATATTTTGGAATCAAACTTTTATGTGACCAAAGATGGAGCTGCACGTAGCCTTTACATGACTTGAGAAGCCACTAGAGTTGCTGCATTTGGTTTTCTGTGGATGACTTGCACTCCTGCACAGAATCAGGTGAAAGTTTCCTCATGTTTCAAACTTGAATCATGATTCTTTATTATGATGCGGTTTGCGCTTCATTTTGAAGCTGAGGTAGATGGATTAAAACCACAGACGTACAGCGGGGTCTTTTGAGACGTAGGAATGAATATTGTCTTACAGTTGTGAATAATGAAAGTCATTCTTTTATCTCTCTCCCGCTCTTTCAAAACCAGTGGCTACATCTAAACTATTCGTATTCTATGATACGCTTGGAGAGATTTACATGGTCAGTCTTGTTAGATATCTTACCACGTCTCACATGTGAACACCTCCAGGCTGTCAGATAGATAGAATTTTTCTAATCTTATGGCAACAAATCAGAATGACGATTGATTCGTGTTAAATAGGGGATCTAGAACAGAACCCATGCTTCACAAAAGTCCTATGTTCAATCTAATTTCACGCCATCAAAAACTGCAGCTGTAACGAGGTTAATATGGTCCTCATAATCCAAATTGCACTGGAGAATTCAAAACTTTCAAAACAGTACTCCAAGAGAGTCTCTTCACATCCATTTGTTGTTGACTTTGGAATCGCCAATCCATTAAAACCAGAATCTGCAATTCAGTCCTAGATTTCAACCCTCAACAAGTAGAACGTTATGCTCCAATGACTTCCTAAGTCCAGTCGAATCATCACTTTCTCCTCAAACTCGGTGGAAATAAATTACTCTGACTGTCCAGAAACGTCACCGATCCACTTACTGCTGATAGTATACAAACCTCAGAGTGTACTCTGTTCACTAAAATGAGTTTTAAGTCATGTATAAGCAAGTGAAAATTTCATCGCTTCTGTATTCATATAAATCAGGGAAGATAAAAAACATCCCGCAGAAATGCTATTACATATTTTATAATCTGCTAACTTCTCAACTATGACTGAGTGCTAAATTCGACTACCGTATCTCGATCATCTTGGTGTTTTGGTTCCGATGAACTCAATTGAACTTCAATGCCACTTCTTATTTTGATTTTGAAAGACAGTTGTCGCAGGCGTTACCGTAGTTAATTTACTCACAATGAATTTTCTCTGTGCTAGTCTCAACCAGTTAATCGTCAGACCTACTACAGCCTGTTAAATGTGGTATCCTCAGCTTATAACAGAATCATTAGAAGTACTGCTTAACAAGCAAACACATCAGAGACATCGAGACGGTAATGTATGACTCAAAATTCCCTTCGTTAATGTATCTAACTGTTAGTCAAGTAGTTAAGCAGATTGACCACCCCGCCAGCGCAAAATTAATTTACTAAAGCTGTCACATGTGTAGGTCATTTAGAGCCCTCTAATCATTTCAAAAAGTTAAGCTCTGCACCATGGCTGTCACCAAACATCAATCGATTTTCAATGACATTGACTCTAAAATGTCGTTATGGAATAATGTCGCTGATAACGACATCAGTACCATACCACAACCCTGTTTCCCGTCTAAATCTTTTTTCTGCTGCTTGTGATAGGATGCGAGTGAAACTATCAGTTACGATTTTATGATGCATGTCTAATGATACCAGAATTCACGCAGAGGGGCGTGGCTGAAAAATATGCTAAAGCTATAGGTAGCCATATCGAAAACCTCAAGGCAGCTCCTAGTCTTCGTACTTAAATGCACATTCCACGAGACTCATGGGCGAAATTACCTAAATTCATCTTGTAAATGATGGGCTAGACGTGTAAATGTCCCTATCGTTTATCAATTTAGTTGAGTGAGTTTTGGGATTTTGAAATTTGGTGGGGTACATTTCTATTATGGATAAAATTTTGTTTTAATAAAGTCACACAGTGTTATACAGTAATATTTAGTGACGACCACGTTTCAAGCACACTTCATACTGCTCTTAATCATATTAAGGCATTACTAGCATAACTTTCTTGCTTGATTTATATACATGAGTAAAAATTGATTAGACAGTTCAATAAAATCAATACAAGACTGGAATGAAACAGAATGGAAGATGAAGTACATTCAGTAACAGAACTAATATTACCGATAAAATGCAATTGGATGGTAATTAAGACTTGTATTGTTACTCATTAAGATGGGAAATAAGATGCTTTTATAGTAAAAAAACAACTTATTAGAATGTTATAATGTGAGTTGAATACATTTTAAAATTATTTATTATCCTCTGATTTGACTGGTAATAATATCTTCCATATATCTGGTATTTGCATTGAGTCACTTCCGCTGCGTTCCTTCTGCGGTTTTCTCCTGTTTACTATTTCTCACCCTCAAAGCACTCTCTTGATAATAGTAATTAATAAGGCCTAATTTCATACGACTTGTGAATATATAGTGCATGCATTTTCAGCGTACTTAGCTCAAAATCATCTCATTTCATTCAGTATTTGCACGTAGAAAAATAGTCTTAAGTATATCAAGTGGCGTAGCTCGGTTGCATATGAAGAGAGAACCATTTCTCTACAATTTTTCTTAATTTTCTTCAAGAATTAAACAATATTTAGCTAAAAGCTAGTTCAATGTGAGCACGGGTACATGTGGTGGTCATCTGATATAACTGCACGATTAAAACTTTTGGCAGTACAGAAGAGTTTAGGCCTTTTGAGGGATGGAATTCTGGTAGATCTGTGATTTAATCAGCCTGGATATCGAGGCAAGTCAGAGATGGGTAGTGTGAGAACTTGTCGGACGTAATGAATGGCGGAGAATCCGGAAAGAAGTACTGGCAACTGAAAGACCTGAGATCTAAAATGTGCGTACCTATGTAGGGTTCTGGGGCAGAAATGACTTGGTCATCCGATATGTCTAACCTTCTCATCAAAACGGTTAAGCACTGCGACGGAATCTTCAAACTATTTGGTAACAAGGACGCTAGAGATGATTTAACCACCTCTCCAGACATACGGGACTCCTAATTGTGTTTACAATGAAGAAGAAAGAGTAAGAACTACTGAGTTAGTTACTGACGATATCTGTCAGTATATATGCGTATGCGAAACTATAGAAAAACAATAATACATTCTCCTCATATACAAGAAATGAGAATACGTTATTACCATTTTATAGTTTCGTATATGTATATACATCAGTGGAGAGACGGGTTTCGCGATCGATGCATGAGAAACAACTAGGGGAAAGGGAAAGGAGGACAGGTAAGTGCAACGCGGAAGATGAATCAGAATAATACCGAAGAACTGTGCATATTTTTACTCTGCAATATGGCAGTCGTGTTTTACCTTTTTCTATGTACTGAGTTGCGATAAGTAGTTCCGTTATCAATTGCCTTGGCTTCTAATGTTTGGGAAATATAGAGACGAAGTTTTGAAGTCGTGCGTCTAAAACCCATGTGTTTGTATTCGAAAAGCTATCCAGTGTGTAACAATGTTCCCTCGTATGCCATCCGATAAATAAATTAACTTCAAATCACACACAAACACATCGATTAATTTTAACACGTATGCCAACTTAAGCTGATGTTAAGCACGAAGACTCTGTTCTCAACACATGGAAAACCCAATAGAATATAGGCCAAGCACCGTAGTGATGACCGAGAAGTAGGAAGGTGCGTTGATTCAGGGACTTTATCAACCAACGAAGTAACTGTGTAGTGGTGAAAACTACCAGTCACCCTTAAATTCACGACGGAGACCGAAGATATGAAATAACAGAGTTCAATTCCCTATGTTCACAACTTGAGTCAAAGCTACTGCTCTGCCGAAAGCGTTAAAAAGAAAAGAATACAAATCCGAAGACACGGTAAAGAAGTGATAGATTAGGCAAAGGAGGAAGTGACCGTGAATAACACTGACTCTTCGCTGGTGCGGTTTATCGACTACCGACTTTGACAAGAAATAGGAACAGAGATTATTTGTCACGATGGACAGTTGCTAACATGGGATGGGACCACATAATTTTTGTTGATGACTTCAGCACATTTCTCTTCAAAATTTTGCAAGAAATATAATGAGTAGTTTTGGCGAAATCAATGGTTCCTTCTCACTCGGCTGTTAGGAAACGGGAAGTCAATGATGTCCATCTTCCCTAAATTATCTATGGTAAGGCCGAACTAACAGAAATGGGCTAAGCCATCTTATCGGAATTTCTACCGAAGGTTATATGTCCACTGAGGCGGAAAAACGGCGGGGTGTCTGTTGTGAGGTGTGAAAAATGTCAAGAAGTGAGAGACCAACCATTGTGACTTAAGTGACAAGAACTACCAGAGAAATCGCGCTTACGTTCCAAAAATGCGTACAGCAGGTCTCGCCAAGAAAGAAGGAAAGCTAATTACAAACGAGTGTAATTTACAGACGGATATTGTTGTGAGGACGACTGAGCACCACGGTGCTGGTGCAGTAT